TATTTAGTATTTCAGTCCTACTAGTCCGACCTCGAAGTGATGAAACAGCGTTACTCAGTTACGTTCTCCAGAAAACGCAAAGCCAGTGTAACGTAAATCAAGAACGTGATTCATATAGTGCTCAGTGAATGGACTTTAATTTAACCACACCAGAGCTGCATACACTGAGAAGGCCGATTGGGGACATCACGCGCCAGACCCTCGAGTGGAATCCAACGGGGAAACGACGAGTCAGGCGTCCGAGGGTGACTTGGAGGAGATCATGTGAGGAAGAAATGAAAGCTTCCGGGCAGTCGTGGTGCCAGGTCCAAAAGACTGCAAAGAACAGGGTGCAATGGAGGCCTACTACTGAAGTCCTATGTTCCACTAGGAGCCCAAGGGAAAAATAATAAGTAATAAGAGCTGCAACATTTCTCAGGTCGAAGTGTAGAAGAAAACTCAATCCGAATGTACTAGGAATATCACAAATGTGGAAACTTGTCAACTTTTAAAATGGAGACTTTTATCAAAGTACAAATCAAATTATGGTTCTCTGCATAAAATAAAAGAAGCATCTCATTGTTTCCCTAATGACAAACATCGTAAAATAATTAACTTGTTGTGCATATTTTTTAAAGAAGTAATTGGTCATACGAGAGAATCTGTCAACACCGCTATGACTGTTTCGTGAACTATTTCATTGATATAAAATAAATGTACATGGTTGCTCAACCCTAGATGACTACTTAATTTCACCTATTCTCAAAGATCACTTAGTAGAGCGAAATACATAATTACGGTTGTAAACGAGGCTATATTTCCATGTCTCAAGTAGTCGAAAATCCCTGATACTATTTCACTGGTCTAAATGGTAAATCTTACGTGCTCATTTGACAGACTACAAACTAATGAGAACTTAGCAGTGCCTTATAATAATAAGATTCCTAACTTTGAGTACAAATTATAGTTGGTAAGTTTTGGGCTATATACAATTGCTCTGACCTACTAAGATGTATAGTCACCATTAGTTTACAATCCCACTCAGCATTGTAAGGTTTACCTAGTGGTCTGAATTTTGGTTTAGCTATTTGAGGACCATCAAGAAACCAAAAACACTGCCAATTTCGGATGAGAATGTTCAAGAATTTCATACATGCTGTAATGCAACTTGCAGTGAATACACACTTAAAAACGAAAAATTTTAATATCAAAGGTTATTCGCCGCGTTGATAAATAACTGTGTAAACCTAGTGTATTTCATAACGCCTTATACTGTGGTCACCACAAATAAATCCAGCTGCTATAAAATTTGCTTCCGCAGATAGTATTGCACTTGTTAATCTGTTTGCCCAATAATCTGGCAAACAGATCGCATTATGGCATAATAATTCTCGACTATAAACAGGACGATTTGTCAGCAAGTCTAAAAGCAGTGATGTCTGACCCAAACTCAGAAGGCGAAATGAAGGATGAAAACATTTTAAACCTACTCAGTAGTTCACGATGAATTATCACACGTACTTAGGCCTTTGAGATTTAGATTATCGAAACATTCCTCAGGAAAATAATAACGCCATTTTACAAAACATGAAACATTATAAAAATCCTGACGTTTAAAATAATTTTGCTGCCTGCTAACACCTTATTATGGTTATTAATACTCATGAATACATTGAAACCTCTGTTAATTTCGCAGACTAAAATTTTCTGTCGTATAGAAACCTAGTTCAAAGTATTTTTTTATGCTTTCCGGCAAAGAAGGATATGCATCACTCCACACGAGGGCGTCTACATCAGTTGAATTTCGGCAGAAAAAGTTAACCATATCAAATCAGTATTGCGACATGTTTTCCGCAGCTACCAGTGAGGATATCTGAATATAGCATCGAAAAGATTTTCACGCCTAAAATTGCCACTAGTTGTATAGTTCTGTTTCTCTCCATATGGCTACCAAATACTAACAATTTAAACCATCGAGTGTTTTCTTCCCATAAATATAACCACACCTTATCTCAGAAACACCACGTTCAAGCTCCACCAATAAAATAAAACTAAAAGCGCGAGCTAAACGCACGTATTCCATTTCCTATTTGAGGCGTATTCGACTTCAGTAATTCTTTACGAATTAGGCCGTACACAAATAGGATATTAACAGTTACTACCTTCACACCGAAGAGATGACAGCGCCCATGATATACACAGAGATTATTCCAACAGGAATACTTGCTTCTGTAAAACATGTGTTCCAGAAAAGTAGCATGTTATGATTCCAGTAAGTAAGCACGAACTAGCTGTTTATTTGCTGAGGCTGATACCAAACAACATAGGTAACTCTCAACTGGGAGGCATAAATATTTTTCGGTTTTTCTGTGTACTAAATGCAATAATATTTTATTTGCAGGATGTTGTTGGCCTGACGAAACATATTACATGTTAGTGCCCATAAGAAACGACTAACTACAACTTAACACGTCAACCACTTTAAAGGTCTGATGACTGCATAAAATTGACTGAAAAACTGTACATCTTTACATTCTTCTTCTTTTGACTCTCTATAAAGTAGTTGGTCGTCACATTAAAATCCATTATAATGATCCAAATATGTCTTCTCTTTTATCCAACATGAAAAGCAAACAACACGCCCAATATCAAACTAGTCACATTTCCACTAACAAGGAGCCAACATTGTTTGACCTCGCACTCTCAGTATGCTCATACAGTCACTAAATTTGCACTGGTTTTAGTGTAAAGCCCTTGTGACCATGTAGATTTCGTCGTCGAAACTGGAAGAGCTTGAAAATCTTTTTGAGTCTGATTCAATAGGAATAAAAATTAGAAAATGATTCGACAAAAGTTGCTTTAAAGTCTCAGTTTTAAATCTTTACTTTGAGCAAGCTAAACATTTGGAGCTACAAATTTTATTCTGCACCGTAACTTGAGAGGAAATACGCCCAGAAAGACACTTCTGCATTTAATACACAGTAAAGGTTAGTAATGCAGCTACCTTATTATCCAAGCACATAAGAAATAATTTATTTAGAATAAACACAAACGTAGGCATTTATAACCTGTGACAACTATCATAGATGGGAAGAGCCGAGACTTTTAACATCGTTGAAGTTTATGGAGTAAGTCAAATGAAGACTGCCTCTCTACTTTTCAGAAGAGCTTTTAAAGAGATATCGAGTACTTGATCACACTTTGTATCCAAGCGAGAGTGTAGTAGTTTTATTCAGACATATTTGTGTGTCAGTCCAAATGAATATAAGAGGTAGATTGACATTGGTTATTACATACATACATTTCTTCAGATTTCATGCCATTCAGCTTCCACTCTTCCCACCACTTTTGAAAATATTTTAGACATCTCTCAATCTTGACAGGTTACGACATAAACTTCATCTTGTTTAATGTCGAGCCGTATCTCCATTATTACGTCTATTCAGCTTTACGTCAAGGCAAGAAGAACAAGAATCGCAGGGTAAATTGAGCTCATATTTATTTCGAAACTCCTATTCAGCTGCAAACAGTTTGGAGTAAATTCACAATTATTACGGGAGAGACATACTTCTGGGTTGGGAAACGTAACCATGTACATTTTGGAATATAGATACACCAGGTAAACTCATTAAAGAAAGTTGGCACTGCGAATAATAATGATAAAGTTTGTCCATGCCAAAAATGTCTGCGGGGCGTATTTTTTTGGAAGTGGACTGAGATAAGGTGACATACTTTGGACGGCTGGTGAGGGTTAGGCGGTGTCTGGTAATGACAACAAGTGGAATCTTAGAGGGACTTTATGACGAGAAGTCTGATACCTGTGGAAAACATTCAAGACACCAATAAGCCACCCAGAAAGTGAGACTTAATGCCTAAGATTGGATATTGCTTTTCCTATTCAACATCTTTTTCCCCACATGGTAAATGTTGGTGAGTTCTAAGGTGTTGAGACGATGATGAAATTGACCGTTGTTGAACTAATACCTAGCAGAGTCTGAAGTATATAAAAAGTACTACATAAACCCCAAATTCCTTCAAATGTCCATTGTCTACTACCGTTGTGAGTTTCACTCCTTGTTTATCCCCATATTTTACGCTGCATCCTTTAGCAACTAAGGTGTGTAGGTGCAGTATAACCAAAAGTGAAATTAAAATGGACTCAGCGATGACGAGTCTTAGATTTGAGCGAATTTCAAGGGTTTTCAGCTCATTTAGGCAATTTCATCACAATTCTCAATGATATTACTACGCCTCAAAAATTTTCAAAAAAATCTTCACTTTTTGACAGCAGAAAAATAAAAGGGGTTTCTAAATGACACCATAAAACCGAAAAATCCTAGTTATCAAAGCGAACACCTTGTAGCGTCACACACTTCCCCAAAATCAATAGCCTAAGGTTTGACGACTTTCCACATTGATGCTGACCTTGATAGTTTAACTGGACTCGCTAAGCTGAAGGCACCCGGTCAAGCATCCTCGCCATTTGGCCCGCTGTCGTGTTACGTTGCACTACTCGTATTCGACTCTCTAGCCAGTCAGTTGGAACGAATCGGTATCTTGGCACTACCATCCAAATATACTATTGCATCCGACTACGCTATCGTGTTCTCCCTTGGTCTCGTATTCGTGGGTATATAACAAGTCCAATCAATTAGCGATTGCTTTTGCGCCTGCTAGCTTGCACAACGACAAATCATAAACCACTTTCCCGAAAACATTTTCCACAGAAGACTACCACACACAGTTTAGCCAAAAAGTAGAGGGAACTACCTTCGTCTAGTTAAGAGAAATCTTACGGATAGCAGTTACGAATTTCATCGACTGAGAAAATTAAGTGTTCATATAAGAAAATAATACAACCTAAAGAGATTATATGCAAAGTAAAACCAACCTAAGCTCAAACATAAGAGGTTTTCCGCAAACTAGCGGCATATTTTGGATAAATTTCAAGCTATACAAAAATATGGCATCAACTTTACATGATTCCTGTATAAGGTCAACTTCTAAGGAAACATATTCACCTCAGTAGGCTTTTGGTTTGAAGTAGATTCAGTGATAAATTCAATTTGTCCAAAAGCGTTTGTTGGACCCATTACTTTCAGACAAGTAGACTCTGACCATTCTTTTGAAACTGCTTTCGAACTCGACTCTAATTAATGGTAACATTATTAGGAGTTATTACCAAACATATAATGGTTCTCTTCATATTCCCCACAAAAGCACCTGTTATCAAAATATCACAAAGACAAAAAACAAACCGATTACTTGGTAAACTTTCGGTTGAATATTGTGGGTCTGGCACAAACTTAATGCATTCTTTGAAAGTGAAGTGCTTTAAAATGAAACTATACTTTTTCTAATTGAGGAATGGTTATTTAAATAGGTCTTCACCAACTTCTCTCAGATCTCTAGCATTTTCTTCTAACCTACCATACCTCTTGACTGTCAAACGTGGATTTTCCAGCATAATCACATTGACAGAAACCTATCTATATATTATAAACGTTTCAAGGTTGACCAGCACAATATTGCACCTGTTTGATGAATACAAACAAGCATCGTAACTTCTACATGTGTCGCACATTTTATATCTACTGTCATATTATCCCTTCGCACAATTCTCTCGTTTTTTATTATCGATGCGCTCTTCAGTTTTCCGTTTCTGGCCCCAGTTGATGCAAATCGCTGTCTTCCGAGTACAGTGATGGTAAGCGACACTTACAAGGGTTCGTTCTCCTCCAAAGTGATAGATTAGCATGCGTAGGCCACGATATTATTCTCCATGTAAACGAAAGCTCATGTGTAAGAGCTGCATGAGTCGTCACACATTAAAGTGGGACTCCTTCGGTGCCAGTGTACCGATTGCCATTCAAGAGATAGTATGTCAAATTAACCTCAGTATATCAGATGGTTCCAGATGGTTGTTTACGGAATAAGGAGGTTTCCTCTGAATTGAATTCCTTGTCCAGAACGAGCGGACCACTGTTGCTTGAATCTGAGGGCTCGGGGATAGGGACAAGTGAGGGAGAAAATATTAAACAACAACAAAAGACCATGTTATTAGTGGCTTAATTTGCAAGTCCACACCGTGATCTTAGATGGATTTCAAGTTTGTGTCTGTAGGACTCTAATGACCTTTCCAGAACTACTTCTGTGAGGAGGTATTCCAAGGTTCCACAGATTTTAGGGAGTAAACGTTACTCCGGATGTCTGTCCCGTTGTGTCTGTGCTCTAACTTCTTTCCCCTCCTAAGACTCGTATTAGTGCTCAACTTGAACGGGCGGAGGAGCGGGTGAACCGAAATACCCAGTGTTATACGTCATTTTCATGTCACGTCTCAATTTTTTCCAAAAGGCATAGGTTCTGTGCTGTCATGCACTCCTCTTATGACTTAAACCTTGGTCTGCGAATGGATTTGGTGCAGTGTCTTCGAGTACGTTCCAGATCGTTCCTTCCTTCATGAGTTGAGGTTGGAATGGTGATAATCTTAAATCCTAGGTGGTGCCTGTTGGAACTACTGAATGTTTTGTGGGGAGTTGTTGGGATTGAGTGATTTTTCGAGTTGGTGTTCATCATGGACGGACAATAGTTGGAGGAACATTGGAAACCTAGGAAGACTGGACAGCTGTTTCACCTCAGTATGGGACTCCCCGGCAATCGCTTGATTGACGGCTAATTCACTCTAATTAACTCCAACGTTTTGATAGAACAGTTGTGGTTGACGTGATCAAAAGCCTCAGAATGTCCGGGGTGTTTGACCTACGTGCTTTAATCTTGGTTTATGGCATCTTTTTGGGGTAAAACTATCAGTTCTCCCGAGGCGTTACTAGGTCCTGGCTACTCGTTGGCGGACTCAAGGACAGCGAATGTGAGGGCTAGGTTCAGTCATATAAATGAATAAATGTTTTATTCCCACATCAAAAAGCTTAATGCTACAGAAGCCAGTTTACAGGCACTATCACACTGATGTATCTCAAGGTATCCACAAGACTTTGCGAGTCCTGAATGTTGGAGACGGAATGTCGGTGAACTGTATTGAGAAGGGCAGTAGATCCTGCTTGTCATGAAACGGACAAAGGCCTCTTTCGCTGTGGATCATAAGTCTTTTCATTTTCCTCTTTCTTCAAGTGGTGGTTGGTATTGGAAACCAGTTCACTATGGGCCCTTTTATGTTTTCAAGGGGTTCCTTTCTCCCAGCCAACAGCTTCTTCTTTACTACCGCCAACATATTTATGAGGCCTCCGAGGGTATCGCTGACTGGTATGCTTCAGGGTCTGCTGCTCATAACCAGGTTCTATGAGATCGATGCACTCCTCCTTGGTTATACTTGTGCGGCACCTTGGTGCCAACCATCACAGCCTTATTAGCAACTTAACGTGAGAGGGGGCAGTTTACAGGCATCATCACACTGATACATGTCTAAAGAAGCAAAATTTAATGAATTCATAAATTTTATCAACACTCTCCGGCTGGATACTCCACATAGTTAATTGTGTACACCGTTAAGCAATGGAAAAGAGCATACGTACATACATACATACAATGTAGAGTGATACAGATTTAGGTGGAATAACATAGGCTGACCGAGTCACACATATGGTACCCAACAGACGAAATTAACAATTTGCTTTTAAGCATCAGCAAACTGCTAAGTATCCAAAATGATCTGTCATCCATATGTTGTTTTAAATTTCTATAATATCCCCACATATCATCAAAAAGGGTGAGGGAAAAGAAGCAAAGAACTTTGGAAAAATCTTTATTTCCTAATCCTCCGAACGACACATTTCCACGCAATCCTGAAGATTACTTTCACAATTTCTGTGATGTTTCTCTGACTAAAACCCGGTCTGAGACGTTATCCATGAGATTTAACCTCTGTGTACCAGCAGCGAATATACGACCAATAGAAGTTGAGGCCCAGTTTGAAAACTTGTATGACCAACCCAGGATTCTTCGTGGTGTTTCGAACGACAATAAAAGTTGGTTCAAGTCCAAAGTGCTAGATATTGCATGCCAATTTTGAACAGTCTTCTAGCCAAAAAGCACGCATTTCTTAACAACACTGAAGATCCTTTAGTGAGCTTCGGGAAAACAAGGATCTTGCTATTCTGGGTTCTAAGAAGGGAGAGTGTGTAACTTATAAACAAAACACAGTATATTACAAAGATACACGAAATTCTCCCCGACAGCTCAAAATGCATGTTGGATAGTTATATGAAACAGCAAACGTCATCTATTGAAATGTGGATGGAACAGCAACTAAGGCAGCTCCTCAACGCTAAATGCCAAGACGAGACCACATTTAAAAGCATTAAATCAATTGGATCACAGATCCCAAAGTTATAAAGACGAGCGGAAAATACTTACCAGGTGTGCCTTTAAGGCCTATATAATTAGTGATAAATTCACCATGTCACAAAGTAGCCCGGTGCTTATGCGGAATTCTCCAGCCAGTGTTCCGTAAAAATAAGTACTTTCGGCTTGAAGTCTTATAAACACTTTGAGATATATCAACGTGATGGTGCCTGTAAACTGGCTTCTGTAGCATTAAGCTTTTTGATGTGGGAATAAAACATTTATTCATTTATATGACTGAACCTAGCCCTCACATTCGCTGTCCTTGAGTCCGCCAACGAGTAGCCAGGACCTAGTAACGCCTCGGGAGAACTGATAGTTTTACCCCAAAAAGATGCCATAAACCAAGATTAAAGCACGTAGGTCAAACACCCCGGACATTCTGAGGCTTTTGATCACGTCAACCACAACTGTTCTATCAAAACGTTGGAGTTAATTAGAGTGAATTAGCCGTCAATCAAGCGATTGCCGGGGAGTCCCATACTGAGGTGAAACAGCTGTCCAGTCTTCCTAGGTTTCCAATGTTCCTCCAACTATTGTCCGTCCATGATGAACACCAACTCGAAAAATCACTCAATCCCAACAACTCCCCACAAAACATTCAGTAGTTCCAACAGGCACCACCTAGGATTTAAGATTATCACCATTCCAACCTCAACTCATGAAGGAAGGAACGATCTGGAACGTACTCGAAGACACTGCACCAAATCCATTCGCAGACCAAGGTTTAAGTCATAAGAGGAGTGCATGACAGCACAGAACCTATGCCTTTTGGAAAAAATTGAGACGTGACATGAAAATGACGTATAACACTGGGTATTTCGGTTCACCCGCTCCTCCGCCCGTTCAAGTTGAGCACTAATACGAGTCTTAGGAGGGGAAAGAAGTTAGAGCACAGACACAACGGGACAGACATCCGGAGTAACGTTTACTCCCTAAAATCTGTGGAACCTTGGAATACCTCCTCACAGAAGTAGTTCTGGAAAGGTCATTAGAGTCCTACAGACACAAACTTGAAATCCATCTAAGATCACGGTGTGGACTTGCAAATTAAGCCACTAATAACATGGTCTTTTGTTGTTGTTTAATATTTTCTCCCTCACTTGTCCCTATCCCCGAGCCCTCAGATTCAAGCAACAGTGGTCCGCTCGTTCTGGACAAGGAATTCAATTCAGAGGAAACCTCCTTATTCCGTAAACAACCATCTGGAACCATCTGATATACTGAGGTTAATTTGACATACTATCTCTTGAATGGCAATCGGTACACTGGCACCGAAGGAGTCCCACTTTAATGTGTGACGACTCATGCAGCTCTTACACATGAGCTTTCGTTTACATGGAGAATAATATCGTGGCCTACGCATGCTAATCTATCACTTTGGAGGAGAACGAACCCTTGTAAGTGTCGCTTACCATCACTGTACTCGGAAGACAGCGATTTGCATCAACTGGGGCCAGAAACGGAAAACTGAAGAGCGCATCGATAATAAAAAACGAGAGAATTGTGCGAAGGGATAATATGACAGTAGATATAAAATGTGCGACACATGTAGAAGTTACGATGCTTGTTTGTATTCATCAAACAGGTGCAATATTGTGCTGGTCAACCTTGAAACGTTTATAATATATAGATAGGTTTCTGTCAATGTGATTATGCTGGAAAATCCACGTTTGACAGTCAAGAGGTATGGTAGGTTAGAAGAAAATGCTAGAGATCTGAGAGAAGTTGGTGAAGACCTATTTAAATAACCATTCCTCAATTAGAAAAAGTATAGTTTCATTTTAAAGCACTTCACTTTCAAAGAATGCATTAAGTTTGTGCCAGACCCACAATATTCAACCGAAAGTTTACCAAGTAATCGGTTTGTTTTTTGTCTTTGTGATATTTTGATAACAGGTGCTTTTGTGGGGAATATGAAGAGAACCATTATATGTTTGGTAATAACTCCTAATAATGTTACCATTAATTAGAGTCGAGTTCGAAAGCAGTTTCAAAAGAATGGTCAGAGTCTACTTGTCTGAAAGTAATGGGTCCAACAAACGCTTTTGGACAAATTGAATTTATCACTGAATCTACTTCAAACCAAAAGCCTACTGAGGTGAATATGTTTCCTTAGAAGTTGACCTTATACAGGAATCATGTAAAGTTGATGCCATATTTTTGTATAGCTTGAAATTTATCCAAAATATGCCGCTAGTTTGCGGAAAACCTCTTATGTTTGAGCTTAGGTTGGTTTTACTTTGCATATAATCTCTTTAGGTTGTATTATTTTCTTATATGAACACTTAATTTTCTCAGTCGATGAAATTCGTAACTGCTATCCGTAAGATTTCTCTTAACTAGACGAAGGTAGTTCCCTCTACTTTTTGGCTAAACTGTGTGTGGTAGTCTTCTGTGGAAAATGTTTTCGGGAAAGTGGTTTATGATTTGTCGTTGTGCAAGCTAGCAGGCGCAAAAGCAATCGCTAATTGATTGGACTTGTTATATACCCACGAATACGAGACCAAGGGAGAACACGATAGCGTAGTCGGATGCAATAGTATATTTGGATGGTAGTGCCAAGATACCGATTCGTTCCAACTGACTGGCTAGAGAGTCGAATACGAGTAGTGCAACGTAACACGACAGCGGGCCAAATGGCGAGGATGCTTGACCGGGTGCCTTCAGCTTAGCGAGTCCAGTTAAACTATCAAGGTCAGCATCAATGTGGAAAGTCGTCAAACCTTAGGCTATTGATTTTGGGGAAGTGTGTGACGCTACAAGGTGTTCGCTTTGATAACTAGGATTTTTCGGTTTTATGGTGTCATTTAGAAACCCCTTTTATTTTTCTGCTGTCAAAAAGTGAAGATTTTTTTGAAAATTTTTGAGGCGTAGTAATATCATTGAGAATTGTGATGAAATTGCCTAAATGAGCTGAAAACCCTTGAAATTCGCTCAAATCTAAGACTCGTCATCGCTGAGTCCATTTTAATTTCACTTTTGGTTATACTGCACCTACACACCTTAGTTGCTAAAGGATGCAGCGTAAAATATGGGGATAAACAAGGAGTGAAACTCACAACGGTAGTAGACAATGGACATTTGAAGGAATTTGGGGTTTATGTAGTACTTTTTATATACTTCAGACTCTGCTAGGTATTAGTTCAACAACGGTCAATTTCATCATCGTCTCAACACCTTAGAACTCACCAACATTTACCATGTGGGGAAAAAGATGTTGAATAGGAAAAGCAATATCCAATCTTAGGCATTAAGTCTCACTTTCTGGGTGGCTTATTGGTGTCTTGAATGTTTTCCACAGGTATCAGACTTCTCGTCATAAAGTCCCTCTAAGATTCCACTTGTTGTCATTACCAGACACCGCCTAACCCTCACCAGCCGTCCAAAGTATGTCACCTTATCTCAGTCCACTTCCAAAAAAATACGCCCCGCAGACATTTTTGGCATGGACAAACTTTATCATTATTATTCGCAGTGCCAACTTTCTTTAATGAGTTTACCTGGTGTATCTATATTCCAAAATGTACATGGTTACGTTTCCCAACCCAGAAGTATGTCTCTCCCGTAATAATTGTGAATTTACTCCAAACTGTTTGCAGCTGAATAGGAGTTTCGAAATAAATATGAGCTCAATTTACCCTGCGATTCTTGTTCTTCTTGCCTTGACGTAAAGCTGAATAGACGTAATAATGGAGATACGGCTCGACATTAAACAAGATGAAGTTTATGTCGTAACCTGTCAAGATTGAGAGATGTCTAAAATATTTTCAAAAGTGGTGGGAAGAGTGGAAGCTGAATGGCATGAAATCTGAAGAAATGTATGTATGTAATAACCAATGTCAATCTACCTCTTATATTCATTTGGACTGACACACAAATATGTCTGAATAAAACTACTACACTCTCGCTTGGATACAAAGTGTGATCAAGTACTCGATATCTCTTTAAAAGCTCTTCTGAAAAGTAGAGAGGCAGTCTTCATTTGACTTACTCCATAAACTTCAACGATGTTAAAAGTCTCGGCTCTTCCCATCTATGATAGTTGTCACAGGTTATAAATGCCTACGTTTGTGTTTATTCTAAATAAATTATTTCTTATGTGCTTGGATAATAAGGTAGCTGCATTACTAACCTTTACTGTGTATTAAATGCAGAAGTGTCTTTCTGGGCGTATTTCCTCTCAAGTTACGGTGCAGAATAAAATTTGTAGCTCCAAATGTTTAGCTTGCTCAAAGTAAAGATTTAAAACTGAGACTTTAAAGCAACTTTTGTCGAATCATTTTCTAATTTTTATTCCTATTGAATCAGACTCAAAAAGATTTTCAAGCTCTTCCAGTTTCGACGACGAAATCTACATGGTCACAAGGGCTTTACACTAAAACCAGTGCAAATTTAGTGACTGTATGAGCATACTGAGAGTGCGAGGTCAAACAATGTTGGCTCCTTGTTAGTGGAAATGTGACTAGTTTGATATTGGGCGTGTTGTTTGCTTTTCATGTTGGATAAAAGAGAAGACATATTTGGATCATTATAATGGATTTTAATGTGACGACCAACTACTTTATAGAGAGTCAAAAGAAGAAGAATGTAAAGATGTACAGTTTTTCAGTCAATTTTATGCAGTCATCAGACCTTTAAAGTGGTTGACGTGTTAAGTTGTAGTTAGTCGTTTCTTATGGGCACTAACATGTAATATGTTTCGTCAGGCCAACAACATCCTGCAAATAAAATATTATTGCATTTAGTACACAGAAAAACCGAAAAATATTTATGCCTCCCAGTTGAGAGTTACCTATGTTGTTTGGTATCAGCCTCAGCAAATAAACAGCTAGTTCGTGCTTACTTACTGGAATCATAACATGCTACTTTTCTGGAACACATGTTTTACAGAAGCAAGTATTCCTGTTGGAATAATCTCTGTGTATATCATGGGCGCTGTCATCTCTTCGGTGTGAAGGTAGTAACTGTTAATATCCTATTTGTGTACGGCCTAATTCGTAAAGAATTACTGAAGTCGAATACGCCTCAAATAGGAAATGGAATACGTGCGTTTAGCTCGCGCTTTTAGTTTTATTTTATTGGTGGAGCTTGAACGTGGTGTTTCTGAGATAAGGTGTGGTTATATTTATGGGAAGAAAACACTCGATGGTTTAAATTGTTAGTATTTGGTAGCCATATGGAGAGAAACAGAACTATACAACTAGTGGCAATTTTAGGCGTGAAAATCTTTTCGATGCTATATTCAGATATCCTCACTGGTAGCTGCGGAAAACATGTCGCAATACTGATTTGATATGGTTAACTTTTTCTGCCGAAATTCAACTGATGTAGACGCCCTCGTGTGGAGTGATGCATATCCTTCTTTGCCGGAAAGCATAAAAAAATACTTTGAACTAGGTTTCTATACGACAGAAAATTTTAGTCTGCGAAATTAACAGAGGTTTCAATGTATTCATGAGTATTAATAACCATAATAAGGTGTTAGCAGGCAGCAAAATTATTTTAAACGTCAGGATTTTTATAATGTTTCATGTTTTGTAAAATGGCGTTATTATTTTCCTGAGGAATGTTTCGATAATCTAAATCTCAAAGGCCTAAGTACGTGTGATAATTCATCGTGAACTACTGAGTAGGTTTAAAATGTTTTCATCCTTCATTTCGCCTTCTGAGTTTGGGTCAGACATCACTGCTTTTAGACTTGCTGACAAATCGTCCTGTTTATAGTCGAGAATTATTATGCCATAATGCGATCTGTTTGCCAGATTATTGGGCAAACAGATTAACAAGTGCAATACTATCTGCGGAAGCAAATTTTATAGCAGCTGGATTTATTTGTGGTGACCACAGTATAAGGCGTTATGAAATACACTAGGTTTACACAGTTATTTATCAACGCGGCGAATAACCTTTGATATTAAAATTTTTCGTTTTTAAGTGTGTATTCACTGCAAGTTGCATTACAGCATGTATGAAATTCTTGAACATTCTCATCCGAAATTGGCAGTGTTTTTGGTTTCTTGATGGTCCTCAAATAGCTAAACCAAAATTCAGACCACTAGGTAAACCTTACAATGCTGAGTGGGATTGTAAACTAATGGTGACTATACATCTTAGTAGGTCAGAGCAATTGTATATAGCCCAAAACTTACCAACTATAATTTGTACTCAAAGTTAGGAATCTTATTATTATAAGGCACTGCTAAGTTCTCATTAGTTTGTAGTCTGTCAAATGAGCACGTAAGATTTACCATTTAGACCAGTGAAATAGTATCAGGGATTTTCGACTACTTGAGACATGGAAATATAGCCTCGTTTACAACCGTAATTATGTATTTCGCTCTACTAAGTGATCTTTGAGAATAGGTGAAATTAAGTAGTCATCTAGGGTTGAGCAACCATGTACATTTATTTTATATCAATGAAATAGTTCACGAAACAGTCATAGCGGTGTTGACAGATTCTCTCGTATGACCAATTACTTCTTTAAAAAATATGCACAACAAGTTAATTATTTTACGATGTTTGTCATTAGGGAAACAATGAGATGCTTCTTTTATTTTATGCAGAGAACCATAATTTGATTTGTACTTTGATAAAAGTCTCCATTTTAAAAGTTGACAAGTTTCCACATTTGTGATATTCCTAGTACATTCGGATTGAGTTTTCTTCTACACTTCGACCTGAGAAATGTTGCAGCTCTTATTACTTATTATTTTTCCCTTGGGCTCCTAGTGGAACATAGGACTTCAGTAGTAGGCCTCCATTGCACCCTGTTCTTTGCAGTCTTTTGGACCTGGCACCACGACTGCCCGGAAGCTTTCATTTCTTCCTCACATGATCTCCTCCAAGTCACCCTCGGACGCCTGACTCGTCGTTTCCCCGTTGGATTCCACTCGAGGGTCTGGCGCGTGATGTCCCCAATCGGCCTTCTCAGTGTATGCAGCTCTGGTGTGGTTAAATTAAAGTCCATTCACTGAGCACTATATGAATCACGTTCTTGATTTACGTTACACTGGCTTTGCGTTTTCTGGAGAACGTAACTGAGTAACGCTGTTTCATCACTTCGAGGTCGGACTAGTAGGACTGAAATACTAAATAAACCCTATATTTTGATCAATTCCCCATGAATCTTGAATTGGAGGATTTGAAGAGTACATGGTATTCTCAGACTGCTGCTCCTCCAAAATTGATCTAGTTCTCTAAATCAATGATATTCGCGAATGTGTTTTTAGGCTGCATAGATCATTTTCATTCTCATACTGTAATGCATGTCTACTCTATTGTCTCATTTTTTTTATAGCACTTCACTCCATATCACAAGTTTGAAGTAATGTTTTCAGGCCTTATTGTGAGTCATGTTAATCACATGTAATTCTTTTCCGTTTGTACCGCTTTTATTCCTTATCGTTATTCTCAGTTCGTTTGTGCTCAGTCCACCATGAAACAAAAAACTGAATGCGTTGACGATGTATACAATTATTGTGAAACATGGTCGATTTCGCCAACAGCAATCAAAATATCCACGTAAGCTAATTAAGCTTGGCAAAAGCCCTACCATCACTAGCATACACCTTATTCAAGCCATAAAGCGACTTGTGATGAAGGTGGCTGAATCCTACAGAAGGGCTTAGATTTGTGCGAGAAGAGGATCATCTCTAAGGCATTATGCGTTTTTCCATATCCTTCTGTAGTCAACAGAAACATGGACTAGATATCACCTAAATATAAAACACACTGATGAATCACATGGACAACATCAAATAATATGCAGAGATATGGTCACAAACACAACCTTATCTCTATATTTCTGGCCGACTTGTTACTGATGCTATCATCCACCCTAACAAAATATTTTATGCCTTTTCAGTCTTATTTCTAATCACTCACTGTATGCTTCAAAAGTAAGCAAGACCTTGCTCTTTTATTCATCACTGTGCATGCAAAAACTTGAATAAGGTTGTTCTTGACCTGTCTACTAAACTGTTCACCGAAGTTGTGACCTTCTTTCTATGACAATACACAATTGCAATAACTCTACTGTTTTTGCCGAAATCCAATAAATCGGTTTGATATAAGACTGAAGAACGTGAAATTTATTTGCATCTTTTTCGCGATCTAGTGCGACGATTTCCCATAAATTGGCCTAGACTAACACTGCAGTGGGAGGACTAAGTGTGTTCGATGGATATTGTCGCGATTGAAAGTGGAGTTATACATTGAGGTCAGAGGAAGAGAACTACTCACACCTCGATGAATAACTGACAATAATTTCACCTCAGTGTCTACAAGTTGGTTAAACAGTGTCAGATAAAATTCCACTGAATATAAAAGATGAAGTTAGCAGCAAACAACATGTGCTAGAACATATCGAACAGTAATTGGTAAATCTGTGAGGAAAACAGATTTACTTTCCACTTTGCATTCTTTAACGGGTGTATATCATATTTTTAGGTGATTCAGATAGCTCTCGACCTGCACAACAAACTTTATATACCAACAGAGGTCGATCAATTCCATCTAATATAACACAACAGAATTAACGTACCGAGAAGTAGTATCCGAACTTTTCGTGAGATGGAAACAGCAGCTGGTTTTGAGTGGCTGGAAGGATTCTAGGAGTGTTTCCAACTGTTTGTTCAAAAATGTTTTGGTGACGACTTGTAAGCAGGGACAGGTTGCTTTCACTTACCGTTAACACGGTTAGCATTACAATATACATGATAAGATATTCTCCATTTAGACTGCAGATCAATTTTTAGCAGAAAAGGTGGGAAATATACAGTGATGTCACATAAACAATGGTTGATGTTAAGAGATCTCATCTCAGAGGTAAATGGACTTCGAAAGTACATGACCCTGATAAGTACTCAACTTGTGCACAAAAGCTTAGTGTATGTAAATAAAGCTGCATATATAGCCTGAACTACGTATTGTTGAAATAGTGTGTTGCTTTTCTTTATGCCTGGAAGGTTATATATTTTAGACAATGGGAGATTTAAGTGAATATAATCAAACAGAAAATCTCTATAGCCTGTTTATTTTAATAGGGAATTTGAGTCGCTGTATTATTCGGGTAAGTAACTTACGATGGACATGGATAATCTTTTGTTAACGTTGTTATACTGAATGCAATGATTTACTTTCATGTTATCTACTTATGGTGAATAATATGCCAACACGCAAAGGCAACTTCAACATTTCTGTAAGTTACGCTTTGAATAATCTAGGTGAAACCACACAGCATATAGATAAACTTTATCATATCTATACTTAACACATCATTATATTTATGCTTTGTAAGTGTATGAATGCAAAATATTCGATGAAAATGACAATTAGGGAATAGTCATGAAAGTGTGAAAAGGCCAATTTTAATGTGTCGAGAAAACCGGAAGGAATTCTGTGCAACCAACGATTCAAAATGAATCCCTATAAAACATGTTTATAGTGTACAGCATGCTTGGAGATATGTATAAAGCACCATTTCAGAATATATAGTCCTTGAAAGGAAGTTCATATACACACGCTTTTCAACATAAACAGTACAAAACTCTGAAAAAGGAAATGTTTATCATGAAAAATAAAAATTCTTGAAAATATTAATCATCATAAAAAAAAACAACAGAAAGTAGAACAGATATAAACACATTTGTCATATAAAAGAAATTATCACATCAAAAACCTTAAACACAATGTATCTTAAGTACAAGTGGTTTAAGAAGTAAAAAACACAGGATATGCATGATCACAAAAAATCTCAAGAAAGATTCACATTTAATTGGCTGGCGGATAAAAGTCAGACCAAAATAAACTCAGATATGAAGAAGATCAGATGGACTAATTCCCATCAGATATTCTCTGACTTGTCTCCATTTAGAACTATGCCGATCAGATACAAAAAGGTCTGGAGAATTTAAGTCTGATCTGGAATCGAATGAACTGTCAGCACAAGCAACGTTTTGCAATGGAGTAGAAGTTGAATCAGAATACCTTTTGTATATCAATTCTTTCATATTTTCGTCTGCTAACCAGAAGTTCTGAATAATTGACATTAAACACTGCAAGTCATTTAAGTTAAATTGCATATGATCAATCCACTTCCATGAATCATTGGGAGAAATAAAGTTCAGGTTTCCAAATGAATTATCTTTACCAATTTCAATGGTGCTAGGCGTAAATTCATTGATAGCAAAATTTTTCAGATTACGAGAACTATCACTCATTTTGACGTGTTTTGACTGAACTGACATAAGTGTGGCAACAAAATACTTTAGAACATCATCAGAAAATTTCTCTGACCATGAAAAATATGATGAGTCAACTTCATTTCCCGTTAAAAATGTGTATATTAAATGCTATAAAATAAAATATAATAGCATATCAAATGAATATAATGCAGATCAGTTGAAATTCACAAAGTAAATCAAGACGTGGAAAGAGTAGTGAACATGAAATCTAAACCGAATTCAACTTAACACAACTAAACATAGCCTCATGTACCAGCGCCAACAGGTGTAAAGCCTATTGGCAGTAATCAATGTCAAATTCATTTTAGATGAATCAGTGTTTCAGTCTGTAAACCACCGATTTACAACCAAATAAGTACAAATCCTCACTTATAAAATTGGGAAAATATAGAAATTAGGCATGATGTTTGTCTTTTTCTAGTTGGATGTCAGGAAGCATACGTAAACAACAGTCACAAAAATATGAAAAAGTTATGCATTCAGAACTTTTAAAACATTAGATTTATAGAATAAAGGCCATTTCAACCATTACTACTCATCAAAGAATAAGGGATTTTGCCTGAACTTACTGGATCTATTGATGCCGCCAGCCAAATAAGTATTTCATTCTCATTATTTGATTGCTTATTAGGACAACTGTGCATATTATGATCGTAGATTGCAGTTGCAAACCAACAGCAAATTAATGATTCTTGACTATAACGGTCAGCAGTTGATTGATTCGACTGCATATGCTGCAGCGCAACTGAACCCCAGTGATGAATTATCATACTATCCACATTCTGATATTGTAAAAGTAAACCAGCTTCAGGTGATATGTAGGGACTAAAATAAGGAAGAGAGTCTATTTATTAGGTGGAGAAAAAAATGATTTGAACAATATATCGTATCGACAGGCATTTAAATAACGACATTCCATCCTCATCACCCATTTCCACATGAATATTATTTCAACCATGCATACTGGCGACAAAAATCATATTAACAACAACCTATATGCCGTCATTAGTAAGCTTTTGCATGTCCCCTGAGTAATCTTTCGAAGCAAGAGCAATCAATCAAAGTGATTCACTAAAGCTGGAAAAAAATTACTCACAGAATACTGGAATTCAAAACTAAGTGGAAATGAGTACAATAACACTGACGAAAAGTTACTTCATTACAGTGTATATATGGACTCCTCTGTCTTGACGATCCCTTATACTGAGAGAGCAAAAAAGTTATTTTCCTCCATGGCTTATAGTCTATTATTAGTCAGTCTACTTTACATGGGAGTGAATTAAACAGGGTAACACCTACATCAAATATTTTAATCTTTTAAAGCATTGGCTTAGTTATCTAAAAATATCATGCGTTCAACTTAGACTCTACCTTCGAAAAATACGTAACATTTTTTTTCTTTTAGTATTCACCAACAGACAACTAACTACTGATTGAATCTTTCTCTAATCACCATACAAGGGAAGATGGTCAAAACATCCAGATATTTCGGAAGAAAACAACATATACACGTACGGTTCACATAGTAATAGGATGTTGAAGTAGGTCAAGAATTCAATAATAAACTTTTGATGGTGTTGTGTTCTTTAAGCTGGATGGTTTATTCGTGGAGCTTCCATTATCATTCTAGATAACATTATCAGGAAGAAGTTTGTACTGGTGATTTTGTTTAGAATGATAACAAAAGCCCCACGAATAACACATCCAGCTAAAAGGACACAACACCATCAAAATTATCCTCCTGTGCTACAAACGTTCTCCATCATCTCGAAACTAGTAATAAACCACCTAGAATTATAAGATGGTCTGAATTCAACAAGTCAATACACCTGAAAATATAGATGGTTCGCACTCAAATCTTTGTAGACGGATATAAAATCAAACTGAAGATAGAAACATATTATTAAACTTGTGAATGACATTTACTGCTTTGAATGGGTGGTGTGAAGTATTTTTAACTTCTTGTCAAAGTAGAAAAACAGCCTCAAACTCATCGAGGGATTAGTAACCTTCACAACTTATTTTTGATAAGTAGTAATTAGTGGTTATATCCATCGCATATTTTTTTAGATACAAACTGATGGTTCATTTCATTATGAGATATGCCACTAATTCGTTTGGTCATAAAATCTGCGTTCTGATATTCATTCGCTCAGGATTTAGGGACAGCCATTAGATACATACACTGCTTCAACCTTGTGAGCAAGAACATGATCAGTCCTAACACCTTATTTTACGTTCGATCAACAACCAACTCGAAACTTTCTCTGTAGAACAATGGAAACCAGTAGAGCAATAAGTAACCACTTCATCTTAATTTCTTACTCCATGATGCATCAAAACGTCGAATGAAGAAGTGTTAAATCTTGTCATAAGCATATTACTGTTACATAATTTGAGGTCTATTGATTGTTGAGAGATAATTTGACCATAATTCAAGAAGTCTTCATCAACTAATCTTTGAGTGGTTGTTAAAAAGCAATAATCGTCAATCTAACTGAGTCTACGACTATCGAATTTTTACTCATAAACCAAAACTTGTGGGGTCAACAAATTTAGTATTGAAAACATATACCGACACGATACGCTACACTATGTAGTAAATGACTGTCAGTCTATCATAAACCATCGAAGAATATATTAGGAATCGCCTAACATTCGAAAACGAATAAAAATATGAGTTTCATTCATTTCGTACAGTAGATACACGAAATATAAGGTTATATGTATGATTTGTCTAGTAAAACATGAGAAAAATAAACATCCTTCGGAATTTTCGTCCCTGTCTTGTGACAACTCAGCTACGATAGGGAAATCTGGGCACAACCGATTCACACTTACTCGCCGTATTTACTTGGAATAGTAATTTCCATTGCATTACTCGTACCGTGCAACAAACCTTTGCTAGTTTGAGCAATTAGTTCTGCAGCTCCAGCGGCAGGCTTTGTTACTACTCCGACAAGGCCACGACCGAAACCACCTAAAGTAGATAGTAAGAAGCTTTGGTTTGACGGAGTGGTTTCAGATAAATTGAAAATGCCTTCTAGAGACTCAGATGCTGTCTGATTGTCTATTGTTTTAAATATAGCTTGCAACGGTTGATCAGCAACCCCAGCTATGGCGCTTAGTAAACATAAGCCAAAACTACTGAGTCCCAACTGAATACCCTCGCCGAATCCCTTAGGTGTGCGATGTCTTCGAATGTGATCTTGATGTTGTTCATAACGCGGATCAAGAGAAAGGTAATCCAAATTTCTAGCCAAACTTGAGGCCATACCACTGATCGACAAGAGTAACCCACTGAAAAGCAAAGCAAAAACCATTCATCAGATTTCGGCATCCAAATTGAAACATCAAAACTGCATGAAAAATGAAATGGTATAACACTAGTAGTCCTCTAAGTACTAGCCTACAACAACATTATCATTATCGAGATCAATACGGAACCAAGCATTACTGCGTAACAGTCCAAACCGCCACACCTCATATCGGCACATCAAGTAACAAGGCAATAAAATAGAAGATGAAGAAGGGAAGAAAAATCGATCAGAGAATTCGTAGTCGAAGTGGGAAAGGAGAGGTAGAAAGAATAAGAAGATGATGAGATTAAGTAGAGTGGTAAAGATGAGGATAATGTATGTATGCATCTCTGCCACTGACATTGATTTTGAGCCATGTCGCCTAGAGTCTCTACCTAGTGGTTTCTTTTGTCCCACGGACCCTAACCGGCTAGTCTGCATCGCCCTACGTGGCTCAAACGAACAGTCAAGGACTTCATGCATTGATGCCATGTTTTAGTATGGCCACCCAGAGCTTTTTTCCAGCCTGAACCTACCTGGGCCAATATTGTGTAACGAGGCAGACGATGGCTAGGAATACGTTACACATATCCCACCCATCTCAGTCGATGAAGGCTCACAACCGTATCAACTGTCTTATTTCTCCTGCCTAGAACTCTAAGTTTGACTTCTGAGTTACTCACGTGGTGACACCACGAAACATGGCCTATGCTACGAAGGCAGCGGTGGTCAAATACCTGAAGGTTTCTCATATCTTCTACCTTTAATGCACATGATTCGCAGTCATAAAGTAAAGCAGAGCGGACTGCAGCACAGTACACTCGACCCTTAATCGACAGTCAGATATCGCGGATGCACCGCAGATGGCAAAAACCGGTAAAAGCCAGTCGAGCCTTTTGTATCCGTGCCGAGATTTCTTCGGCCACTGACCCACCAGGGCTGGTCCGGCTTCCCAGGTAAGTGAAGTGTTCAATGGATTCAACCAGTTCACTCTCAATTGTTAGTTGGGATACCGTTGAAAACCAGTCCTAGATCAACAGTTTGCACTTACATCAACAGTAAACTTGCGGATTCACTCAACTGCTCACCTAATTGTAACTGCACTTCTTGCAGAACAATATTTTCTGAGTTGAAGTTGTAGTTTTATAAAGAACTTAACATACTGGCCTATCTTTCTGAAATTCTCATTATTTGCATCAGGCTTTAGTGCAGAGCTAGTAAAACAGTTCACAATAATTCAGCAATTCACGAAAAAGGTTTTCTATATGGGTTAATATACCGCACTTAAAATCCCTTTGACATAACTTTGATTGACGCTAGGAAGTAGTGCTAGTAAGTTAGTAAGCAGAAATCAGAGGGACGTCCTGGCTTCGTGCTTTTTGGTACTTTTTAGTAAGGTGTATATGCAGCCTTCAAGGAACTGATGACCTTTCTGAGATTAGAACTAGCATCACCTGGTGTTGCAATCAGCGACTTTACCAATGAGCAATTCAAGCCCATCAAAGCGCCATGCAATGGTGAGCTTTCTAGCCTAGTGGCCACATTGTAAAATGACTGGTAGAATTCGGTCGAAAGTCAGGACTGGGTAACATGAAACTAGTTGCTCTCCCGTGACCAATCAATGCAAAACAGTGTTTATGAGGCAAGTCGAATGACACGCCTTTATGTATGCACGATAAAACATTATGTACTTATTTATTAGTGGGCTCACTTTGATAATTTACACAATAAAATTCTTCGTTCTTGGCATAACTTTTTTCATTCTATACTTTTCCTCCTGTCAGCTTTTCCTTTTTATGCTAACAACAGTTGTGACAACGTAAACTGGGCACAAAAAAGTGCTAGGTTTTACATTGTTGATGACTGTTCGTCTAACTATAGCAAAATTTTCCACAATTATTGAATGAACTAGTTACATGTTTTCAAGCTAAAAGATCGAAACCTTTTCGTCTATTGACTATCTTCAACCGTGAAATGTAAACCAAGTTCAACAGACATTTCCTCTGTTATAAAAGCTTTCGACGAGGGGACAATCAAATGAAATAAAAGTGTTGATTCACTTTAACAATTAAAAAAATAATACGAAGAGTTACATATCCATAACTACCCAGTTGTTCGACGAGTAAGTGAACTTAATCCTTGAGTGAGACGATATAAGAATCCAATATTCCGGTTATCCTTCACTAAATAATTCGCACCAGGTGATGTTCTAATATCAGGGGCAAATATAAAGGAATTTGTATTAAACGAAGTAATCATGGATATACTGTGTTCATCTTCATCAATTTTCTCCTCAGATGAACGTAAGTGAATCAAATCATTAAAACCATTCATGAGGGAATACAGCAGACCAGTTACATTGCCCAATAAATCCAAACTGCCAACTAACCAACCAGAACGGAACAACATTTGGGTAAAATAGTGAATTGTTAGTAAATGTTTTATAGAACACCAGTATACCAATGAACCGGATGGAACAGTAGAACAGTATTGACTACTATTAATTTCCTCCTCAAAATTAATAAGTTTGAATGAGGTGAAATTCAGAGGAGCTGAATGGCAAGATAAGTAAAGACGTAACATTGCATGCAGACTTAAATTTATTCTGAATGAATCGACAACCAATTGTTTAACTAAAATGTTTGTTTCATCAATGATTTTTGGTTGTGGAATGGTTACATCATCAATTGATGGAGTTTGCAGTTGATGTGATGAAAATAATCCATTGAAAATAGGTAGAATACTACTAAATGATCTCAGGAAGTCATAAATCAAGGAATCTTCCAGATAGACATCTAAATTAGGCGGAAAAAGAAACAGGGTTATCACTGGTGATGATGATAATAGAGACAAAAATCCTTCTTGTAACAGAATTAATGATGACCATGTTGAACTGAATTGTAGGATTGATTTTGGCCTTCTCAATCTAACTGTCTGTACAATCACAGGAAAATCGTAAGTATTAGTCCATGAATGACACCAATTATCTAATTGTAAGTGTTGCAAACTAATCACAACGTTGAATTGTTCCTTTACAATGAATTGTTTGTCCGATAATTGAATGTTTTCATTGCTTATCAAACTTGGATTTTTCATCACTAGAATAATGCATAAATCTACTGTTGTCAAACGGACAAACTCATCTTGAGGTGGTAACATTTCATATACATTGTGTTTTAAGGCTAATGAAGGAGAAGAAAATGAAGATGATGGGATGGAGGGTGATGACAATTTTTTTTTCTGATAATAAGGACCATTCATAATTCGATTTTCAAATGTTAGCAAGTGAATACAGAATTTGCCGACAGTCAAATGAACTTTATTTAGAGGATCGACAGAATTCAACAAAGATCCACATGATACAGATAACGAAGGGATAGAAATTGCTCTTTCATCATCAAATCTATTAATCAATTGAATAATCAGACCGAATGAGGTTTCGCTGAGTGAATAGTATGCGTGAATAGATAACTGATCATTGATGTGCTTTTGTGTTCTCCAAAACCCTTCCGATCTTCCTGATATATTGAATTCACTAATAGAAGAGCATAACTCCTTAAGATTTATACTGATCGGTTTGTTTGAAGAACTGCTGTCTGTATCTTCCGTTTGCGCATACAAATTTAAATCAAGCCGACTAAAATGAGATGGATGAAAGAACTTGAAGCATAGGTTTTCTCTACTATTAACATTTCGATTTACTGTATCAATGTAAAGCAGTTCTAATAGAGACTGGGGAATAAGTGATAATTGAGAGTTGGGATAGATTTTATGCGGATACCAATTAACTAATGAACTTTTTAAATTCGATTCCATTAAATCACTTAAAAGTTTTGTATTAGACCAATGTTTTTCAGAAGATTTAGATGTTAACGATGATGATAGTTGGTCTGATAATTCGATAGAGTAAACTGATGATTTAGCACAGTTGAAGAAATGCACTGAGAAGGGATTCAGATTTTTAAAGATTGGACTTTTGTTTATTTGTATAATTATTTGACTTGTAGATATCTGCTCCATTGTAGTGATAAGTAAATTTGAGTGTACGTTGAAGTTGTTAGTTGAACCTGTAAACGTATCAACAACAACAAAAGCAAATAAATACAACTAAATGTTCACCTACAAATGTTTCTAATACGATTAAGGATTGCAACCAGGATTAATTACATGTGTTACGAATCATCAAACTTAATCTCAATAAAAATAGCATGTTTCAAACATGAAGTTATTATCAATGTTCAGGTGAATACGCAAATGGGTAGCCTTTACAGAAAAGGAGTAGTTATTGTGTGGCCAAAGTTGTTTTATATAATGAACAGTTTCGTTCAGAATTCCACCAATTTTTTGCTCATTTAACATTTACAAAACTAGATCACTGAGGGGCCGAAGTGTACTCAGTTTGGAAAAAGGCTCGGGGTGGCCATACTAAAACATGGCATCAATGCATGAAGTCCTTGACTGTTCGTTTGAGCCACGTAGGGCGATGCAGACTAGCCGGTTAGGGTCCGTGGGACAAAAGAAACCACTAGGTAGAGACTCTAGGCGACATGGCTCAAAATCAATGTCAGTGGCAGAGATGCATACATACATTATCCTCATCTTTACCACTCTACTTAATCTCATCATCTTCTTATTCTTTCTACCTCTCCTTTCCCACTTCGACTACGAATTCTCTGATCGATTTTTCTTCCCTTCTTCATCTTCTATTTTATTGCCTTGTTACTTGATGTGCCGATATGAGGTGTGGCGGTTTGGACTGTTACGCAGTAATGCCTGGTCCTATGTTGGTGATGATTATGACATCGCTGAGGAATGTTGCTAAATTACTAATCACAATAATAAATCACTCCATATGTATCTCATCTTTAATGTTATTTGCGAATAACATGTACACAGTAATGGCGTGACTACTCTAAGCCGTCTCTAATGGGAGAATACAATTTATTAGAAAACTATCCAAATGTAAGGGTAACCAGCGTAAAGCATTCCTTTTGGTACTACTTTCAAAGTAACCAGAATTTGTTTCGAACAGTTTAATCTTATAGAAGAAGCGTAATGACTATCGTTTGAAATTCCGAGATACTCAATTGAAGAAAGTTATATCATAATATATGTAACCTTTATAGGTGGACATGAGTAGACAACACTGTACTCTTACGATAATATTATCAAAGCATTTAAAAGACTACGTTTATAAAATTCGCGATGGTGGGAATTCCAATTTTGACATACTTTCTAAGCTGACTGGAGCAGTCACTTGGTAAAGGTATATAGGTACTGAAGAATTTTTGGACAGATTTGCTGTATTATAGGGAAAGGTTGGGACCCTATGGAGTGGAAAGATTTCTGACCAAATTGCATGAACGGTTGAACTGACAGAAATCTGCATACAGTACATTAGTTCAACGCTTGGCAATGATTTATTGATACTATGAGGAAGCGTCCACCATAGAACAGATGTATTATCGCTTTGACATGAAATTTCTGTAACCTCATTCAACTTCGATTCACATGGCTAATATTGAAAAGAAAGTAAACATGTAACAGAATAGTACGTTTCATGAGAAAGTATGCAGTAATATGTGTTCAAAAGCATTATTTATCTAAGGTAATAGAATAAGATTATTCAATAGTAAAACATATTACTATATTGCATTTCAGTTTGTGCATTACATACATAACACAGTGAAACAAAATTATTCATCCGATGACTTTTCAAAAATAATTCATTTTCCATACCTTGATATAAAGGACAGACAATAAATTGTGTCCCAAACTTTATACTGTACATCCAGATTGATAGCTGCTACGTTGACGGGGTGGTCGAGTTTGCATATCACAAAGACCGAATGATAAATGTTAGTCGAACACATGTTCCATTAAAATCCTACCATACTACAAAGGTCTGTTGGATAGTGGTAATACAAAAAGCAGTTACCGTATAAATACAAACAGCTACTTTACGATGGGAGTCACAGAATGATTTCGTAAAGTTCGCAGGATAAGGTGTGACAGCAGTAAGCTGTTTCCTAAAGACGATTCGCATTACATACGAATGCACTCTTGCTAATGAGAACGAGGATATAGAAAAGGTCAAGCTCTGAAACAGCAATCCCCAAGGTGACAAGTTTCCTTGCTACACAATAACACAATTCGTAATCCAACAATCTTTCTCAACCTCTCACCCTGCGAACATTGTAAACGATCCAAGCCAGCAACAAACAACAGGTGTCTCTTGCCAAAACTTTTGAATATCGAGTTACGGATGTATTCTGCGTTTCTGAGACAGATATTCAGAACACGAGTGTGGTTATTTACTTGACCTTACCTGGCCAATGCAGTGAATCTGCGGAATTCCCTTTACAAGTGCATGGAGACTAAATGGCCAGCTTTCGTGAACTCGCTGGTGTAAGTATAGCACTGAGTTCTCGAGCAGAAGGCACATTTCTCGACTGGATACCAGTCATCTGTGAGCCACTCGACTTAATGAATCCGTAAGAACTAGGAAGGACAGTGGAACTGGCCGATGATTACACATAATCTGTGCCTACGCGCCCACAAAGTGCACTTTGGATGATGGAAAGGACTAATTCTATCGAAAACTATCAATTTTGCTACAGAAAAAAATACATTCAAACATAATCATAATAAGGGGCGACTTCAACACCTAATCAAGGAAGTTGAGCTAATCGGAAAGGCTTCTTAGAGATATCTACGGAATCTCACACCAATGAACAGAGAACGGTGATCGTCTACTGCAACTATGTTCTCACAATCACTTGGTCCTGGCCAGCACTAACTCTAATAGTAAGGATAGACTATGCCTTACATGAAGCCTGCCAACATCAAACTGACACAGACAGATTATATTTCTGTAAGCCATCGTTGTAGAAGACTAGCGGAGGATTACCGCTCTTCTTGGAGTGCCTGTTCGGACCCTGACCATGTGTTAGTACGGGCTTGTATATGTTTGCGCCTGACTGGTCTCAGGAAACAGGTGGCAATGGAGCCTATAAATGCTAGACTGGAAAATGCGAATATCAAGTGTATATTTTTGGAGGAGATAGAGAAGCATTTATCGGAGCAAGGTAGTAATTTTCTTTTTAATGAAACCTGGCGTGACGTTCCATGTGCCGTAGAAAAAGCGGTATAGACAGCTGGTAACCTATATCCAAAAGTTAGTATAGGCCAGTAGATTTCCACTTCCCCATCTAAACTAAATGAGGTGAAAAGATTTATTCCATTTGACCCTGACTACAATGAGGAGCAAAAGCAGCTCAAACGTAAATCTCTTAAGGGTCTACACAGTAATCTCCAGCAATGGTGGGTGGCGACAGCGAGAGAGATGGAGAAGGAATCAGAATTAGGTAGTACTCTACGGTTATTTCGGTTTAGTAGGAAAGCTGGCAAGAAGAGCACGATGTTTACAGAGGCCTGAGCTGAAAAGGATAGGTCCGTGATAGTCTGCCACGACAAGAGGCTAGAACGCTGGGCAGAACACTTTGATGAATGTTACGATTGGCCTGATTGCTGAAGAAATCTCAATTCAGATACTAAAGGTCTGTTCGGCACTTTCCAACTCACTTCATCCCTCGCGACGACCGAACGTTCGACTAAAGGGTGAGTATACTGCACTGCAATTCACTGTCGTATATTGCGACTATGAGAAATAATCTCTGAGAAACGAAAACACAAAGAGATTTCATTACAGGTATCTTCATAGCATTGCCTTGTGAGAAATTTCGACGTTCAGCAAAGGGGAGCAAGGCAAGTCAGTCGATGAGGTTGTAAACAATCACTAACTCAGATGGTGTGGAAATGCGTTGTATATGTGCAGTAACCATCCCCTTTGATATCCAATATTTACCGAAGTTGACCAAGGTTGGGAGAAGGCCTGTAGTGGTCAGACCAAGACAAGACGCCTCTCCTTATACTATCCGACTATCGGTCTAAGCAATGTAAGGAGGTTCAGATTGCTGGATTGAGGTCCTCAAGACGATAGGAATCGACGGTTGGAGACTCGCTAACGTGGCTTAAAATCGGTCACAATTGCGAAGAGGCATTCATTCTCTGGAGTTTCTTACAATTCGAACATTTTTGAAGACTTTCATATTTCGAATTCTTTCTTCCTCACATATACCTTTTTCTCCTTTGATATCACTCTTTTTATGTCCACTTGCTGTGTTGTGTGGTGAGGAGTCAATGCATTCTTACGTGAAGTCCATCGACGATTTTATCCATTTATCCTTCTAACTAGTAAATAGTACTTAACACCACTGTGTAGTATATCTAGTAAACAAACTAAAATGGAATTACAATCCACCACAGGGTATACATTTTACTCCTGTATCATTTCAGCAGGTTTTGTTTCAGTTTGTCGTCATGACAGTGTAAGTAGTATATTTTAAACGATCTAAAGTATGTCCCTCCGCCTCCGCTTTTCATATTTCATTGTATCTTAACTTTAACAAATTTATTTAAGAAAGACGTTTTCTCATGAAACACTTGCAGAATGTTTAAATGACAATTACTAAAGACCTGCTATATTATTTAAAAAATATGAAGAGGGTATTACAATCAAATGATATGAAAAGATCAAATTAATCTTAACATTATCACCTCCATGGTTAAATATGCAGTAAGTGAAACTTCAACAGCGAAAGTGTTGCAGTTGACGTAGGGAAATGAGAGTGAATAAGACATCACCACTCTAAGTGAAGTAATCCTCTTCAGTGACAGAAGAAACACCTAGCTTATACATACATCTCCCAGTGAGTGTGAAAGGGAATACTATCTGATTTCGTTGAAAAATACAGATTGGTTCCTAAAAGAGTGTACAAAATAATCCATAACGACTTAACTGAATTGTTTTGAGTGAACTGAAAGCGACACAAGTGTTATCTATTCATGAATTAATATCGAGTATGAGACCATGTAAATACATGTAATAGGATAAGATGAAAATAATATACCGTATGATGAACAATAAAACGTACATGAATAATTGATGAATTGTTCATTTTTGTAACATTCTTTTGTTGTATAGGAATAACAATCGGTTTTATCCTTAGTGTTTTAAAATCATCGTAAATTAGGTGTTTAACATAATATCTTGGCTTAATTGATATAATAAAATTCTTATCACTATAATCACCACTTCGTTCAGTCAATTTATTCGCTTCATTTATTTGATAGTTATTGCATTGAAGATGAACAATTAGACATAGAATTCTATTTTCTACCAGTATATTGATGTATGCTATAGGCATATTTGGTAGAGCGATAGTCTTCATTTTACTGTTCCAAGTAAATGAACTTAAGTTCCAGTCTGATTTTATTGTCCCATTTGTACAGTCAGTTGGTGGCAACTGTATAGATAATGTTTCAGACCAAAACACTTCATCATTATATACAACACCCAGTTGAAAATAATGCTGAGAGAAGTGAAGAAGAAAAAGAGGCAGGAATAAGCACGAGTTTATTGAAGTGAATAACAAACGAGAATTAAACAGAATTAAAGTAATAATGATGATGGTGACCTTGAATTCACTGAAATGCATGTTATATAATTACGCTAGACTAACCTTAAAGGTAAAAATATAAAAGAAATTTGTTAGTGTATATGAATACGTCTAAGTTGTGTATTAACAAGCATGTATATGATCAAATAATTTATTATTGGTGAGAATATGTGAAAAAGCTATGGTTTGACAGACTTATATTTACGATAAGATAAAATGATTTTTGACTAGATGAAAGCTAGGATGTCGAAGCATTCAAATAAGCTGCCTCTCAAATTACAAACCTGAGGCTCTACTAATTGACATGAATATGGTGAAACTTTGACCATGGCGTTTGATATAATTCCATATTTCTTTGTGCTGTATAAAATGTGTTATTTGATAAGAAAATATCTTCCTCTATTATTCAAACAAAAATACTTGTCTTTGAAATAAATATGAAGAGCCGTCGCCTAGAGGAGCCAGTTAACTTCAGAATAGGATTTCACTGTTCAATGTACTCATATACTGAAGGTCTGTCATCAGAGGTAGTGTAATTCAGTTCATTTAATCTACACTTTCTTTCCACATTTATAATCACCTAATCAGAATGTCATAATATCCTTGAAGTACTTAGAGACTTGGGAAGTGGTGCTGACTCTGATGCAACTTTGCGACTACAAGACAGCCGAAAGTATGGATTAATATTACAATTTTCATATTCTAAGTTATTATTTTACTTGGAGTGAATTATCTAATCACTACAAACGGGAAGGCGCTTGACATAGATGCTTATTAGTAATCAATGGGATAAAAAAAGGCATCCATGATTTCACTGTCAGCCAGAATTCAAAACTATCAAAAAGCATGTACACTAGACGTTTGAAGAAACCACAATACGATGACAGTGTATTATTACAACTCAATCCCTACAGGTTTACGAATACGGTTATGAGTTAAACTTGTGTGAGAGCTTCTCATACTAGGTAACTGCTCAACATTAAAAAGGTGGAACATGATCCGAGCTAAGAACCTGCTCAAACGTACGACGAATGTTAACTTTAAATTTAATGGTGAAGTATACAGACAAGTGGATGGAGTCAGCTTCGGCTCACCACTGGGTCCTATATTAGCAGATCTTTTTCTACAGAAATTAAAGTGCAGAATTTTCATTTTACTGTCGACATACGTATGATAAATTCATCCTGAGCAAAAACTGCATGCAAAGATACTCACCAGATTAAATACAGTACACCCACGGATGAAGTTTACATATGAGGAAAAGTCACAAAGCGAGATAGCTTTTCTCGATGCTTTTCTCTCAAGACGAAAAGATGGGTCGATAACGATGAACCTGTTTAGAAAAGGTGCGTGAACACGACAAATCATATTTTCTCAGCTTCGTCCTCCTTCAGTCCAAACGAAATTAAACAAAAACTCCAAGTTACAGAATAAAGGCTATACGTTTGGAAGATATAGCTGAGGAGGAACTGGAACCTTTCTGTGAAATACTGATCAAAAATGGCTATTTTGATAAATTCATTGAGAAACATATGGTTGCAAAAATGACAAGAAAGGATGTTTCAACGGTTAGCGAAAAACCGCTATACATTGGGGTATAATTTAGAGGTGACGTGCTCAGGAAGATATTAGTCGACAAACTATCAAGATCGATTCAGAGAACTTTTAATGCCAGTATATTACAAACTTCATTTTTTTACAAACCCACTGGTGACACGAAGACTGAATGATGAATTACCTAGACTGATCACTTCCTGTTGTGTTTATCAGTCTGACTGCTCCTGTGGAGCCATTTACATCAACCGTTTCCCAAGGAATTTAATCTCCGGTGCTCGCAAGCACCTTCCATTTTGGTTAAGTAAAGATGTAGTACAGACCATTACTAGCTCCATATTAGCACACTTGGTTGAAACAAACTATAAACTGGATATAAATGAGTAGTTTTCCATTATGCATCGGGTTCCAATCACTTTTCAAAAAGGTAACCGGCTCCAAATCCTTCAGTCTGCAGAAGCAGTCGATCAAACAACCTGAGTTGTGTGTTCAAAAGAAGCAAGTTCTGTCGCTACACCTACCGTGTTGAGAATTGATGAGTAAACCATTAATAAGAAATCATGCATAATTCTTCCAGTTACCCTCTCAACCAATTTGTTCCGAGAATCAGAAAAAATAATGAATAAAGAAACTGGTTTAAAATCAATATTTGATTAATCACCTGATTTTTTGCCAACATTATACATTCATTATTTCCCAGTAGGATATCTCGTTTTAGTTCAGAGGATGAAGGACTATTTTTCATAGATGGTAACTTCAAACGTAAATCAATACCAGCACGATTTATCAACAACAATTGCGAGTGTAAAACAAGCCGTAAACTGTACTGTAGTGAGCCAGAATTCATTAATTTCATTCCGCTACCATTGAGCAAATAATCAAGATAATCGTTCAATGAATTATTGGTCAAATTGAATCTAGGCATTACACCTAATGTTGTTATGACTGGTAATGAATTATTCTGTTGAACAGATTTAGATAAAAGATTTTCCAAAGGAATATTGCACTTTATTGTCGAATTATTATTATGACGATCCAAATAGGTTATAGCCAGTTTTTTCAAAATTTCTTGACCCGATAATCGAACTGGATGCGAAAATACAGGTTCACCATCACTAAAATTTAATCGAAAAGAGAATGATGGTTGTAAACCGCATATATTGGCAAATGTCTGTAGCTCAAGTTTTGAACCCTTTAGTATTACTGTTTGTTACCTAAGTTTAACTTTGCTTTGCAGTACTCAAGAAGAGTACTTACACCATGATTTGTGCTACTGACAAGAACATACAACTTCTATACGGTGGGATAACACTGGTAATAGCAATTAGAGTTGAATTTCAATCGGTAGACATTTTAGAAGAAGAAGCATGGAACATTGAAAGAAAATGAAGAACTTTAATTGTGTTGGATGTAAGGTTTTAATGTGTTATCAATACTTAATGTAATTGCCTACTAAAAAATTCGGTTACTCTTTGCCAGTCTTGAGTTTTACAACACTACCAACTTGATGCATACAGATTAATGGAAACAGTTTCATTAGGAAAAGAATGTGTAAGAACAAATTTGTTCTAAAGAGTAGAATCAAGAAATTTGGGTAAATATGCTTGTTTATTTTTAGGTACAATAGAATTCATTCGTTTGAGACGAATAATGAGGTTTTTTCGTGGCTTAAAACAGTCTACTGAAAATTCAAAGGATACAAAAACGACTCATCTGGTTGACAAACACAGCCAAAAGAACACTCTTCACAAACTAATCGACTCTCAGAGCTTTCTTAAGCCCTATAACGTCTTCGATATCTCAGTTTCTCGAAATGAAACAGTGTTAACAAGTGCATTGAGACCTATCACATTTTTATAAAGTATGAGTAGGTATTATGGCGTTACGAAAAGTTTTTTTATTTGTCGATACTACGTGAACGTAGATACGTAAACATCAATGCATCAAACACCTATTCACTGTACAATATGGGAAATCAAAATTACGGTTTACTACACGGGGTTAACAAAACATCAAAACTACTCCAAACTGTTGCTGTAATTTGGAAGTAAACCAATGAGGATTCACACAGGTTTACATCATACTGCTATCAATTTATAGCTCAAACAGAGAAAACAGTTATCAAGAAATACTCAATGATGTTCAGTGGTTGTCTAGTTCACATCAATCAGCGACTAAGAAACTCCCTTGAAACTGACCGATTCATCGAAAACTATTCAAAAGAACATACGAATATGTTGGTAGATAATTGACTTTGCAATCCATAATCATCTGAAAGCTCCCTAAAAACCTTCAAATATTACTAAATTACAGCAGTCTCTTAACAAAAATTGTGTTAGGTTACTGAGATGAATGAACTAGATTCTAGATAGGTTGTTTATTTGATGTGACCCATTCATTCTTAAGTGAATCTATACCTGACACTGAGATTGTTAACACAACTCAACAAGCATTTGAAACAAGTATTTTAAAACATTCGGAGTTACAGTTATAAATGGCGTAACTAGAATTTTCACCATGACTTATTTTGGAAATTAGAATGCTCAAACTACGAACTGAGAGTTACTCCATCCTGACATATATACAACAGATGAGAGTAGAAAAATAGGATGGTGTACACTTATGATTGACACTAATAATTCAAAACCACTCAAACCAGTCAGTGGTGATTTTAATCGGATTAAAGTCACCTAAACAGTGAATAGCACTTTGGACTAGTACTATATCAAATGTGCTGCTATTACGATTAATAATAGTCCTCCCAGGTAGCTATTCAAATTCTGAGTAGAATTTGAGTAGATTTCAAGTGCGAACAATGGTCAGAAGCTTAGACCGTGAAGTTAAAACTACTCCACTTTGACGAAATGAAGCGATATTACAAAGAAGGAGTGAATGTGATAAAAATCCCGATCTAAGGGAAACCAACAGTTGCATATTTTCATCTTGTAGGACCACAGTTCTTTAAGGAAACCTACTTAATTCAACCAAGACTGTGAGAGCGACTAGGCCTAAATTTCTAGTGAGAAATTACTGCAAACAAGTATTAGTTTGGATCTACCAAGCAACTCTTTAGGACCTTCGTAAAACTGAAGAATTCATCACCCTAAAAACATTGTAAGCACAGGTTGTAAAACAAGTGAAATTTGTGAAATATAGGAAATGTAAACCATATTTAATGAGTTTACCTAAAGAAAAGTATGTAAAATGAAAAAAAAACATGATAAAGTGTCTTACGGTAGTGTGCCGGTTAAAAGTAAGTCGTAGTGGTACGCCAGTTGAATAGGTTTGGTCAATGAATATGGACACTGGCAGGATGAACTGAATGTACTCATACCGTGTTCAGATGTTACACCAACAGATTCATGATGATTACAAAAAGCAGGTGAAATAACTTCAAATGTTAATGAATTAGAATTTATTATTTGTTGAGGACTAATTGCTTTAGTTTCCAGTTTCAAGGATATCGGCATACAATTCAAAATCTCAAAGAATGGAGATATGGTGATCTGTACAAAAAGATAAAGAAAAAATGGAATTCGGTTAGAATAATATAAGTTATTATGTCAATTACTGAAACAGTTACCTTATCGAATATGATCTATTTATACTGGAAAAAGTATTAGGAAATAAAGATTGTGAACTGCATAAATGTAAAACGATAAGATTAGATGAAAAACAAAACTATTAAAGATCTGCTGGTCATTGATTTAATTATTTTGAATAGCTGTCATAGGCTTCTTAAGTGCCAGAGAAAGGTTAATATATAGGTGTAAGCCCAAATAGGTAATTTCTCAAAATCTACAATCTTCTTCAGTTAATGTGGCTATGGGTATCCTGTACTTATATTTCTAACTCATACACATCCAATTAAAATAATAACCAAGGATAACAGAAGATCAAAAAACGAGTCCATAGATAATGTAAACTGACAAGGAATGTCACATAATGTTTGATTACTAATATGATCAATAAAATGAAATTGAGATACGACTGACAAGGTGAGTGGAAGATTGGTTAACTGTCAATACAGTGCACCCTCATTATCTACTAACGTTTTGTATGACCGGGCATATTAGTTCTGCATCCCATGAAATCGAACATTTCGGCTGGATTTATCTCATAAAAGTTCATTTATGTATAAAAAGGATGTATTAATAAGTTTATTAAGTAGTTTTACTCTTATATCTCACTCTTGAATGTGTCAGTATATCTATCACAATAAGTGTAATCTTCATTACTTGATCGGGTGGTTAGACGTGAGTTCTCATCGATGCTTTTTATCAAATTGATTAGAAGCAATAGAATATGTTTTTCTATTTATATCACTGCATCGGTAAAGTCTTAAAATTTATGTAGAATCGGGTTACACAAAAGCATCCAACAGAATACAACATATGCATTGTATCAACACAAATATATCTATCTCAAATGTATGTGAAGTCATAGAACGAGTTATTTTACAAGAAACGAACATGTATGATTTCTCAAACTGTTCAACTAATAATGAGGAATGCAACTGATAACCGTTACCTTAACGTCGTGGTTGCGGTTGGGCTTATATATCACAACAACCCAAGGAACTACGCTGATGGAACACAATTTTCTTTTAGGTACTATCATACCAGAAAGGTTAGTTCGGTAATAGTAAGATTAGAAGCAGCTACTCTTCTAGTGTAAATTGCTACAATATGATGACGGTCTGAGGGAAAAGTAGTGTCACTGGCTTACGGAGGTTTGAAGTCAGTAAGGTGTTCCTCGTGGATGACTAGCGACACGATGCTGATGTTGCTTTTCCAATACAAAGATGGAAATAGCAAAAGTCAGTCATCTAAATAATACATTCTAACCCTTGCCTTCCTGTATACGAGTTTATGTGGTGTAAGTTTTCCAGCTGGATTTAAGCCAATCAAAATTGGGCCCTAAACTTCAAGAGTTGACGTGTCACTGGTCATAAACAGATGTTCTATGAGCTCTGCGATCACGTACTATCTTAACCAATTTCTTTTCCAGAAGTTCAAAAAAGAAGCAACCTTCCATGGTGTGAACAACCGGGAAGTTTCAACCGCACTCACAAATCACTCAGTTCCCTCAGATTATTACCAACCTTCCACATTTTTACCATCTACTGTTCATTCACTACTCTCTTACCGAAGTTAAGAAGGTTGCAACTAATCCAGAATGAGAAAGGGCAGAAGGGTTAGTCCCATAGGTACTTGACGACGGTTGCAGAGGATGACTGTTCGGGTTAACTGAAGTGTTAAGCAGCGCATGGTAGTCAAAAATGATTATATCTGATTGGTCTCAACCACTGACTGTCTCAGTCTTCAAAAAAGTCAAGAAGTCCTATTGTGTTGACCACAGGGGGGAATCAACCTGACGAACATAGTGTTTGAGATTTTAGGTTCTATAGTTATCAGACATCTGAGTGAACCTCAGGAACAGTCAACCCGGGAAAACCAGGCAGATTTCAGACCTGGCCGTGAATGTATCAAACCGATATTCACCCACTGCCAGGTTCTAAAACAAAAACACATTTATGAACCCCAAGAATGGCTGTATTACTCGACATGAAGGCGATATTCAACTCCAGTGGTCGAGGAGTCTTATGATAGTGTCTCTCACCACAACGGCTGCCGCATCAGTATATCACCTTTCTAAATCCTCCACACTCAGAAACCCTTTGACGTGTCATAGCTTATAGTGATTTGTCCGGTGAGGTGTGCACGTCGACGTGTCCATCAAATATATCCACTCTTCCAATTCTTATTTACTTTCATCATAAACAGCTGACACCAATGGTCGGAGACTCTACATGATATGGTTCATAATTCTTCGCAATGGCAAAGAAGCATTCATATGATATCTTTATCTTAACGGTTATTCCGAATTTCCTAATTATCTTTTTCTTTCTCGTTTCCTTTCTACAACTTTCTATTAATTGCACTACTTTCTTCCTTATCTCTCTATCCCTTGTCTTGGTGCCTTTTACCTTCATGTGTTGTTATGATGTAGAATCGAAAACCGAAATGCACTTAGCAACCACGTGCCAGCTGTGCAGTAGACAATGAGCCACACCTACTGTCTGAGGACTTATGATACTATCTGACTGTCAAACATTCAGTATGTAAAGCAGTGTTCAAATCTATAGCCCATCGGTTGAAAGTCACCTCCGAAAACCAGTGAACCACATTTATACAGATATGAAGTGCGGTAGCTTGCATCGTTACATACTAATATTGGTCCAAAGTTAACATTGATAAACTTGTGATGAAGTTTGTTTCCAACAGCATGAAGTAATCGTATGCTGAACGGTCGTTATAAAAGTCAGTATTTTACCACTGACAATTAGTCTGAGGATGATTTAAATCTAAACCAAATTGAAAAAGAAGTATATTTTTATTACATAACTTACTAAACAAATTGGTGGAGTAATAAAACTTGTAGCAAAATATTCAACCGTAATAATGGCATAAACCTTGGGAGAGCCTGTCGACGAACTCATATCATCATTTAGAGAAAGCTGTCGATAGAAAACAGAAGAAAAAAACAGATATTAGAACTTTAACTTGATATGAAAACCAACTTAGGGTATTGCTTCCATCGATGCTGAGATCCAAACTCTTCAGTGATAAGTCCTGATTTACATATCAAAAGTTTGAGAAGTAGATTGCTTGTTCATTATACATAAGTTAGTGACTGTATCGAGCGAGTAGAAAGTACAGAAACAATATATATATTTTAAATCTTTGAAAGTTATTATCAAACTACAACAGATGTATCAATGAGTGTGAAATTAATGCTCTGGAAAGACAGTTTCCAAAGAAATTTCATGAAAACATAACACTAGTTGTCAAGGTTGTCATCTCTTACACTTACGTACATGGTTCGCTCATCAAGGTCTATTCTCCACTCTGTTTGTAAACGTACAGCAGAACGATTTAGTAAAATGAAATACAGATACATTACATCACCTATTCTTCAATGTAAATCAGACTGAGACTATTCGAAATTGGCATTATCTACATTATTGAAACAAATCTACAAGGTATAAACTTGTAGCTACAATACATCACACAAGCCTTTGAAATAGGGTTTACTAAACCCTCCATTTTTATTTTGGCTCATGGTGACCAGTTAACTGAGATCATTTGGAATACTTCAGTGTCTATCATTGTTTATTCAGAAGTTTTTACATTCTGCTTAAGGGTATGCAGCAGGAAGTTTGGAACACAAGCTTTCAATTACTGAGATCTTAATGAGACCGAACCGTGGGCTTTCCGGTAACGTAGCTAGGAAGGCTTCTAATGAGCTCTTCAGACTTTAAATAAACCCCAGTAGAAACAAGATTTGTGGGCTACCACATGATGACATATGTTTCGAACTGAGTATTTGGTGTTACTCAGATAAGTTTATCACCTATTTAACAGTAGATACTCATTGTATTCACCGGTTTTCGATTTGAATACTATAATAACTTTGTCTCATAAGTACATTTGGAAAAATGAGACAGAATACTCTGCATATTCCAATCAACCGTTATCTACGAACTAAAGAAGAGTGAAATAAATTTACCTGAATAAGTGTTCTGTGACTTGTTTCTGTTTGTGAATTGAATTGATCAGGAGATGGTATCTTAAATGTCAACCATTCTGACCAGAATTTATTTTCTAGTAATTTTCCATCCGATGGAAAACTGCTGTTCATCGAAAAAGCCATACACAGATCACGCTCAAGTGTTTTATAACTTGAAGAAGTTTTAGCACATGTTGAAATAAATTCCACCTCTGGTCCAGTTGAAATACTGAATAACTGAGCAATAGGCTGTGAATTTTCACTGATAGTTTCATGCCAATTTAATTTGGTTGATGAATTTTTATTTGAAACAGGAATAGTGGTAGAGAGTTTCTTGACAGGAATGTTATTAGCTGAAGTACTCAGCGCGCCACACAATTGAACAGGTAGTAAGTTTCGTACAACGACATCCGAATGTAGTATTATCTTTTGTTATGAAACGGAAAGCAGAATGATAAGACTAATGTTACTTTTTAAAACACTAGTTTGAATATACGCCAGTAATCTGAACAGCATGTATGCCAATAAGTAAACTCCCGGACTGCTATATCTTACCCATTGCATAATAAAGAGAAATGCTACTCGATTTGTGATATAGGAGGAAATTTCAGCCAATAGCTTTATAATTCGCTATTACCAACGAAGACTACCGTTTCTATTCACTTTCATAACACAGAAAAAGTAACTTTTTAAGATTTCTACTTGCTTCACTGTTCTAATTGTAGTGCAGTGAAACTTTGTATATACCTTATAGAAAAATCTTGTGTGTAAAGTTTTGCAGGACTATTGGAAAGTAAACATACAAAATTTGTTATTTTTCGCATATATTGTCGAAATGAACCGAATTCATCACAACATGATGAAGACAACACTAATAAGGAATTTCATATAAATGATAGAAAGTACCTAGCAGGGGAATTCAGAACGCGGTTTCTTCCTATTTAGGACTCGTCAGCTGGACGTGCTTGCCTTCCAGTGAGCAATTCTGCTCCCACTAGGACTCTAACCTGGAACTGGTCACTTCAAACGCCAGAGGGTTATCCACTAAGTCACTGAGTAAAGGTAGCAACTTCTTGTACTACGGGTATAGTTTTAATGTTGTAACTTTTATTATCCCATCATTGATTGGACCGGATTCGATCGGCCTCTACTGGTATATGGACTCCTGCGCAGATGCCTCGATATTGCCTGTTTCAATTTCACACAGACCGATCAAATTCAGTCCAACTAAGGAAGGGATAATAAAATTAACAACACTAATGAAGAATGTTCAAATTTCGCATTCTAACGAAGTTCCATTTATGATCATGCCTACCTATAGTCACTTTGAGGAGTCTATATACGAAACAAGAGTTATACGATGATTGTAAGAAATTATAATCAACTTATGTCAAGTAGATGGGGCCTAACTTTACAAGTAAGTAATTAGACTGTAGTTACATGCGTCATAGGAAAACTCTAGACAGATTACCCCCAAAAAGTGAAATTGTCTAAATACCGTAAAGAAAGTGTAATTCAGTGATCTGAGAGATTACCTAACAACAAATTCAAACTTACCAAGCCTACTTAAAGACAGATAATTGAGTACGATTACTAGTCGCCATCGATTAGACTTATAGCTGATCAAAGAAATTATTGCAAGGTCGGTGTGTTGTATTATTCCGTATCAAAAAAACTGCCCCTTTTCTCAGAGAAAGAGATGCAGAATAACAGAGTAAATGTAATGGTTGCAGATAAAACAGTTGCCGAAGCAGATAAAGGATGAGATAAAGAATAAGAGCGAAGACGTAACTAACACACTCGGTATGCTGTTTTAGATAATTCAAGATAAGCATCAATGCTATAGAAAATGAGAACAAGAACGATTCAATGCCTAAATATTAAATTATTCTACTGCTGAAACCACAGTACAAAAACCCTTGACAGGAACTCGAATAACTGTGTTCGGTGAATAAGATTGCGTGTCACGTCAAAGGTAAAAACTAAGTATAAAGTAGAATAAGCACAAAGATAAACATTTACACGACTACTACCCCGTTAAGGGAACAAATCAAAATAAACAACACTAATAAGAACGTTTCCTCAATCAAATAAAATTAACATCATTTTGACATCGTGTATGTGCTTAAGAATATTCATTCCTTAAGACGTAGTAGGATGAAATGAGATCTGTTTAGACAAACTGCGTTCTAATAAAATGGTCCTATTTTGCACAACAGTCAAGAGGTATGGTCAAGTTTTTCAAGTCATTAAATCCTGTAGAAATGTTCTATAAAATTTCAATTTATATACGCTCACGATAGCGTAGTGAGGTCTAAATATTCTGCAATAGAACTGTCATAAGTAACTTGACACAACATACCTTCCCAGGAGATCCAATCGGGTCTGGACAACAGACAATTAAATAGAGTTCCGGATAGTGAATACCACTAACATGACCTTTATCTAGTGATGTAGACGTCTCTTCCCACCTTAAAGACAAAGCACATACTATATCACCATATTGTTTCTGCATTAAGAGTGGCCACGGTAATTCGATTGGATGAGTCCATAGTAATACCTAGTGAAAATAGGTAGATACATAATTATAACAGAAAAAAAATCTGTAAAGTCTATTCAATGTTATTGATTTAACTACTCACCTTGGTTTATTCTGATTGGTTGTCTGCAGTTTTTTGATTGATCGGCGTAATGAGTTCACAGGCAACAATGTTGAACTTGTCATTTAATCTGTTTTTGACTGTGGCTTACGTGTTCTGTTACTACACAACCTTGGAAGCGATTTTCTTATTTATATTAATTATAAAATATAGAACTACATATTATTACGAGAAAACAAGACACAATTTCGACTTAAAGTACCTTTCAGGTGCGTATATTGAAGTGAAACTAATATAGTGGTAACACCAACTAAATGAAATTCAGCATTGATTTCTACAAGAAAATATTTCCAATACAAATATATTAACTATATCATAATAATTGAAAGCTTTCTTATGGTTAACACTTTCATAACAAGTGCGTAGATTCACGGCATTATGAGCGTAAGTTAACATTATAGAGTTTCATACATACAGAAAACACCACTAGAGTGATTGTGACTTACATTCAGATACATTTAATTTCCTATAATTATGTTAGACTCATATCCAACTATGAAAGCTAATTATGAGTTGCACACACAAACTGACGGACGAATCGACGTAAAGCCTTATAAAGAAGTGCAAGAGTTCAAGTTACAATAGGACCAAAAAACACATAGAGGAAGTGAGCAATTAGTAAATCACACTAAAATGCATAGAAATGGTGAAAAATGATAAAGGACAATTAAAAGTAGGTTGATGAAAACAATCTAAACCGCCAAGCTGATAAAGGGTAGACATAACTACGTAATTGGCACCAATTAGGAACCACGTTACCAAAGTTCATCAAACAGTTCATTCCTAGCATCTCGAAGCTCTCAGTCAGGATGTTTTGATTTTTATAAGGTACCCAAGATAACAGTCACAGAGTTCACGGTTTTTCGTCATATTTTGTTCCATTCGCTTTTAACCTTCTCCCAATTTAGTCTTACTCCCCTAAACATGATGCGTTATAGTGGACAGCTACCTTGGATGCAAACGCAAGTCGTAGGCCCTTCAATTGATTGATGTTTAAAACTTCATGGACTGACTTCAATTCTCTACTTTTTCCACCACAAAAGACCTCACCACTGCTCCCTTAGTAGTTCAACATCATACTCTACAACAACTCAAGTCAATTTAATATAAGAGTAGTTGATTTATTAGATGGATCACACAATGTAACAGTATTGTTTACTGGATTACGTTTTGGACATAAATCATTGTTTTCAAGTTAGCATTCATCATGGACTGACATCAGTTGGAGGAACATTGGAAACCTGAAAGCATTGGATAGCTATTTAGTCCTAGTATGGGACTCCTCGACAATACTCACCCATGACCCCGCCAGGGATCGAACCCAGGACATTCAGATTCCGCAGCCAGCACGTTACCATGAATACCAACTTGAAACCAATCTATAAATCCCCGTGAACCCCTAAATCGTATGGTTTTGATGTTCACTGGTGAGTAGCTTTCTAAGGTAATTTCTGAAGTTCCAATGAGTTGTGACCGGTGAGGCAAAGCTGGTGGACATGAGGGTGATGGTCGCGCTATGTTGTGAATTGATGGAAGTAAGAAATATGAACCATTACATTCCCAACCAGTGGTTCAATCGTAACATGTTCGTCAATGAACCTGAACGAACTGCGTTCGACCCCTAGGGGGGTCATGAATGAGCACAGCTGAGGATTTCAATACCGGGAAGAAACAGCTGTCCAGTGCTCCCAGGCTTCCAATGTTCCTCCAATTGTTGTCAGTCCATGATGAATAACAACTTGTTATCAATCAATAAATCCCCCCAAAGCCTCAAATGGAATAAATCACTGTCCATAGTCATTTCAACATAGCTCCAAAAATTTGAGATATGGTTTATATAGTTGTAATTTTCAGTAATTACCTTTAATTTGGGTTTAACCTTCATGGACAATTTCAGGGTAAGATATCTTAACAGAAAATCATATACATACAAAATACAGAGATATAACTAGTTGGCATACAACCCTATAAAGATGAACAAACAAATACGTAATCTCAATGTAAGAGTAAAACTCGAGCATAACGGTGGAGTATAAGAAAATATGTAACCTGATCACAAATTATATATACATAACTTTAAAAAACATATTTCATGCTCTTCACAAACCTTGTTATCATCAATACTTGAGTTAATTCCAAAACGTAACTTTACACGGAATGCATGCCCAGAGGGTGAAATTGGTCCGGGAAATACAATCGGTCTCCAATGTATCGCTTGTTTAGGTTTCACATAGACGTGAAACAATCTATCGATCGGACTGATAAATTTCGAAGGCAATTTATCCAAGTTTTCTATAGGTGAGTATTTGATTAACGGCAACTGATCCACAGTGATTGACTTTGATTGCGTATGAAATCAAGCAGTCAAGATGAGGGGAAAATGCATAAAAAATGAATTTGAAGAAAGCAAATCAGAAATAACATCACTAACATGCTGATCAAGCCTGCCAATTTAAAATTTGATGATGAAGACAGAAAGAGACACTTAAATCAACTCTAAAGAACGCACTTTGAAATCATGAACAAAGTTTTATACAAATGATATGCGTTGTGTGGTTGGTATTCAATAGATGAAATGAAAAGTTCACGATCTACAAGTATTACATATGGATAGGGCTGGTGAAAGTTGAATGCACAGCTAATATCAAAATTCAAATAAGAAAGAATTTATAACATCTATAACATTTAGAAAATAGCTACCTGTTAGTGCTTTTCGAAGAAGCAAACTTTGATGAGTGAGAATGAACATCAAATATGATTTCTAATTGATAAATTCAGATTCAGGAATGCATTTATCAGATAAATAATAATTAAAAAAATAAGTGTAAGAACTTAACTCAAGCAAATAATGCTTAGTTTATTTACTTGTTGAGCTATGGGTAAGGGGTTAAGGGCGATGACTATCAACCAGTGAGTCACGGACTCGAATCCCGCCTCACCTACCGAGGTTTGGGAATCACGGATGTCCCGAAGGTGGGTGAATAGTATTACTTGTCAAACAATTAAATCTTGTAAATTGCTCGCAAATGTATTCGTAATCATATGATGACTAGTTACATCACCTAATCATGTGCATGACGACGCAGAGCATTCATAAAACCTAAAACCCACTGAATTGATGTCCATTACTTAAATCTGGCATAAATGATGAATGCCCTAAGTTGCTACACCTCATATCATCACATCGAGCTAGAAAGTCGTATGATGAAATACGGCGAAATAAGGAAGAAAGTAGTTAAAGTAATAGAAAATCGTGACAAGAAAAATAAGAAGGAATCAGATAACAATCAAATTCTTTATGAAGATTAAGGTGATAATAATGACTTAGAGTCTCCAATTATCTACATCAGTCGTCACATAGACCTCACTCGGAAAGTTCGCATTTCCACAAACAACTGAGACCAACAGTCAAAGACTTCATGGACTGATGCTATACATTAATCTGCTTCTTGAACCTACCTCAGCTAATATTGCATGACTGGGTAAATGATGACCAGGCATGCGTAAAGCATTTTCCACTTTACGCAATCTGTTAAAAATGAAGTAAGCTAGAGTTGCACTGTATGCCGGTTGTTGTATCAACAGGCTATTTTGATACGAATAAGAAAGTAAAGATTTTATAGCTAGATTGTGTAGTTGATGAAGAGGGTTTGTTAAACTGAATTACCATTGAAGATGATGATGAAGAGTTCCAAACAGGTATGAAGTAGATATACTTATTACCATAATCATCAACAATCTTGACGAATATGAAGACAAAATTTAACAAAAAAATATCATACTTCTAAGAACCTCAGATCCCATCGATTGTGGCAAAGATTTGTAGTATAATTGTTTTTACATCATACCGTCGTTGATTGGACCTAATTGATCGGTCTCTACTGGCTTAAATGCTCCTATGCGGATGCCTCGATATTACCTGTACTCTTCTAACGATAGTAATGACGGATCGTGGCTAGGAGAAGTGGCTACCGTGGCTCGGAAGTGTAGTAGATAACACTCTGGCGTTTGAAGCGATCGCTCCCGGGTCCGAATCCCGGTGGGGACAACATCACGCACCAGAAAGCAGGTATATCCATCTGACGAGTCCCATATAGGACGAAATGCGCATCTTGGATTACACTGTTATCCACTACCCATCATTACTATCAAAGATTTCTAATTGTAAAACGTATTGCAGAAACTGCTCAGAATATTCACGTCCATCTATTCATTGGACATATTTGAAATGCAGCTAAATAAATGTTTACACTTTCGTACAGTAGGCTAGGAGCCATAGATATTGTGTGAGGGTTAGTCATACCACTTAATTGTCGGGGCATCGGTACGTATGGAGGGAATGACTTTCTAGTTGAAATTCAAATGCCTGAACCGATTAACCACAGCCCTTCTTTGGAAACAGTTATCAGAGATGCACGGCCAAATTTATAAAAGCCTTGATCATAAGAAAGTTTAAGTCATCCCCTTATCTATTTACAGTGGATTCGTTATCATATTAAATCAGTAAATTTGGTTTTCAGGACAGGATAAACGTACACCTGTTTTGGCTCCACTAACTAAAATGGTTGTTGTCAACTTGACATCTTTTCACCTTCTCACTCCTACATTCCTTATTACCTTTCATATAAGCACCCATGATAAACAAGCATGTATGCAATCAAGTTGTTCGAAATGTATGGCATTAATATGTTACACGATTAGACAAGTTTTGAACAACAATTAGAACACTCCACCACCTCCATTATAAGAACCATAAGCTTAAGTTCTCGTGAAGGTCATCTGTGCATCGAGCCTTTTAATTGGAAACTAAACAGTTTTTCAACTTCTGCTAATTAATAAAACAATATAATCGTCGTTTTACATCACTAATTACCTATTGATTAACACAATAAATAATGCATGTTAATTACAATATTTACTACTACAAAATAAATCATATCCTACCTGATTAGAACAATTAACTATAGTCCAACCTAGAGTATAATGATTATTTGATGCACAGTAATTATCAATATGATTATTATGCGGATCACATTTTTCCTGATATGTTACATTAGCAATACGAAGAATACTCATATATTCTTGAATATATTTCTGTATTCGTTTATTTAAAATAACCATACTGATTAAACGATCTGAACTGATTAGAACATTAAGTGATTTGCATAGAATATCCAGCTTTTGATCGAAATGAAAACATTGTAAGTTTTCACAGATCACAGACTGCTGAAGTCTAGCCCAATTTACATCAGCTGTAAGTAGAGTAAGTTTACCAACTTCTAGATGAATTGATTGATCACAGCAATAGTTCAGATTCTTTGAAGATGATAAGCGCGATTGATAAAGAAAGTCCAAAGCATCCAAATTGAATCGACTTAGTTCTAAGCCCCCAACACTATCACACCCATTGCTTTCTGAAATGATGAATGATAATTAAAACGAATGTATTAGAAATTGAAGTAATAAAAAAATAGTCAGTCACCGTAAACGTAATAATTTTTTTCATTCCTATCCTATTAGAATACATTATTACTTTAAAATAACCTATTCTTCTCAGAATCATTAGTGAAAACACTGAACTATATGGAAAAGAAATCTGAGAATACTTTTAAGAATTAAACCTCTTATCATATGCTCATATTTTCATTTTCCCTTCTGTGATGAAATCGAAAATTATATTTGTTACTTGTTATTCACTTAATTACGCTGCAGCAACTTATCATCTATCATGAAAAAACCTCAACTGACCCACACCAATGATGGAGAAGAAAAACAATAATAGTAAATTATTAAGAATCTGGTTCCAAGTACTTCTGGAGTTTTTATATACAAACAATAATTGGATTTTTTGAATAAAACGAGGGTTTTCGTCAACTGGAGATAATTTGGTTCATGAACAATTACGGATATTCGCTATGGAAACAGATGTAAAACAACTCTCACTACGAGCCGAGGTACTCGACCTTACACTGCTTATTAAGTTTCTGAGGCTTTATAGTATCATTAAGCCTCTAGTACTAAGTACTGCTTGCATATTAGAATGTTTATATTTACAAAGTAGCATCATTTTACTTCATCCAAGTAAACCTCAATAGTTTAGGTTTTTCTACTGAATACATGAAAAGAATTAGAAATAGTTAAGTATCCTCAATAAATCGCCCGTTTTTATCTGCAATTATAAAACAACCAACACGAAAAACTATACGAATTTATTTCAGTATCTGAGCTGGTCTTATTTGACGTTTACGATTCATGGTTTATTAAGTAGTTTATGTTTTTACAATCAGTTTATATTTACTGGTAAAAAATTAAGCAGAAACTCTATCGAAATCAACTCTGAAACATACTGCAACAGTCATTTTAAGACAATGAACCAAAAGACTGTATCCAAACTACATAGTGTTGCCGAAGTCAAAAGACATTTCTTCTAAGTCTATTACAAACGATCGTTTAAGATGGGACCAGATTATGGAATGCAAAAAATCTTTTTCATAGCTTATAGATGGTTCCATAACTATGCCGTATACAAAAGTGTTACTTTAACAGATGAAATCGTATGCTATTTGTGATGTCAACATAATTGTTAATTAGAGTGATGAGCTACTTACTGCTGAACATTATAAAATCCCGTATACCATTAAATGAAATATGAGGTTTCCTAATGCAATAGAGTTGGTTTATTATGACATACTGTTGCTACAATGATGATGAATGTAACAAGATGAGGTCATGAAACAACAAACCAACTTCATATAGAAATAATTCGCATTACAGTATACTACGGTGTAGATTGCGGAGTGAAACAATGTCTCTTAGATTCTTCAAAAAATACAGGAATCTCCGGAAGGTTTTTATAACCGATCAAGGAGAACCGAGTATTCCCAAAAGGCTATTTGAGTATATGTGTGAGCTACAGAATGGTTAAGTGTCTTTCTAGAAACGTGTAGAAAATATCACAGCAGTTGAAAGCATATATAGTTACTTTCTGCACATGTTTCGATTTAACAGCAAAAATTTTATCGTTTTGCAGCTTCCTTGTTTCTGAAGAAGCGAGCCACCCTGAGCAGAGTGTATTCCAATTAGACGAATGTACATCTCCACGAGTACGAAACTGTTTAAACATTATTGGAGTACACGAAAAAGAACATGATGATGTATCTATCCTATCTGAAATAAAATTATTATTATTATTATTATTATTAGTCCCTTGGGTTCCTAATGGAACATAGGGCTTCAGTAGCACGTCTCCATTCCACTCTCTTCTCCAAAATCTTTTGAACCTGGCTCCACGACAGCCCACAAGCTCTCACTTTCTCCTCGCACGATCTCCTCCATGTCACCCTCGTCTCAAACGCCCAACTCGTCGCTTCCCATTTTGCTTCCACTCGAGGGCCTGACGCGTGATGTCCTCAGTCGACCTTCTTAGTGTATGCCCAATCCATCTCCACTTCCTGCTACTGCATATTTGTTAAGCGATGGGTTCTTGATTGGTTCGTTCCCAGAGCTCCTTGTTGCTTATTCTTTCTGGCCATCTCAACTGATCTTCAGTATCGAGCGTAAGCAGTTGTTGATGAATGTCTGTAGTTTGTTGGAAATCCCTCCCGTAATGCACCAAGTCTCTGAACCATACAGAAGCACTGACTTGACGTTGGTGTTGAAAATCCGGATCTTGTCCTTGATGGTGAGCGGAGTGCAGAAGATCTCCACACTGGTTTCAGGCTAATGAACACCTGTCTTGCTTTTCGGATCCTCGCAGCTTTGACGTCCTCGTCTGTGCCACCTGTAGTTGAAACAGTGCTGCCTAGATAGGTGAAGGAGGTTACTTCCTTTAAGTTTCTCCCGTTCATGGTGATTGGAGTTAGTTGTTGGTGGTGGTGTTGTTGGTTGGGTATCTTCATCACCTCTGTCTTCTCTATATTCACTTGAAGTCCCGTCTTCCTTCGCTGCCCTGCCTTTTCTATCAACTTGTTAGTTTTCGCCTGTACATCTTCAAGTTTGTGCGACATCAGACACAAGTCATCGTTGGCGAAATCCAGATCTTCTAGGTTCTTTTCCGCAGTCCAGCGTATCCCCCTCTTCTCACAGCTCCCCACTGTTTGCTGCATGATCCAGTCGACCACTATCAAGAATATCATGGGGGATAGTAGGCAACCTTGTTTCACTCCTGTCTTCACTTCACTTCGGAAGCATCACTGAGATCCCGTTGTGAATTACTTGGCATGTGGCGTCTTCATATAGTTGTTGAATGAGATTGATAAAGGTTTGCGGTATTCCGTAGTGTTGAAATAACTGCCAAATTACCTCTCGGTCGACGCTGTCAAAGGGTTTTTGAAACTTGATGAAGTTGAGGTAGAGAGTTGACTGCCATTATATACTCTGTTCTATGATGATGTGAAGCGTTGCGATTCCGTCCGCACATGATTTGTACCTCCTGAATTCCGCCAACCTGTTCGGGTCGTGGTTCTGAATCCAGAGCATCCTTTAGTCTCTCCAGGATGATGCGGCTTAATATTTTGCTTGCTCTGGGTAGACAGGAGCGTGATTCCGTGCCAGTTCTTCCAAACACTTAGGTCACCCTTCTTCAGCAGTTTGACAAGGTAGCCCTTTTTCCAATCAGTGGGCAGGTACCTTTCCTTCCTTCCACACCTTCTGCAATAGTGGTGTGAGCATGTCAGCTGTTATCCCTGCATCTGCTCTCAGCGCTTCTGGCGGTATCCCATCTGGTCCTGCTGCTTTCCCACATTTCAGTAGCTTCATGGCGTTCAGGACTTCCACCTTCGTTGGAGGATTTATGTTCACGTGTACTTCTGTGGCTAGACTGCAGGTGATATTTCTGGACGAAGTGCAGGTGGTGGTCGATTCAAGAGCTTCTTGAAGTGGTCGGCCCATCGTTTCCTTTGTTTCTCTTCTTTCGTAATTAAATTTCCGTCATCATCTCTTATTGGTTTCATCTGTGTTGATCTCTTCACTACCAGACAGCAACCTGGTTATTTGATACAATGTTGTCAGGTCTCTATCTCTCCTACCTGCAGCCTGTTCTGCATCACTTTCCAGTGGGTCGTAGAAGTGTCTTTTGTCTTTGCGTGCACTCTTCTTCACTTCTTTGTCCAGTGTTTTATACGTTGTACTCAGTTCCCCTTCTCGTTGTGCATCCTTGCACTGGTTTGTCTTCTGCTTCACCATCCTTCTGTCTCTGCTCTATCACCTTCTATGTGTCCATCGAGATCCATTCTTTGTCCTCTTTCTTCTTCCTTCCTAATACGGCTGTGCAGGTTTTTTTCCATATCTCTTTCAAAGACTTCCAGTGTTCTTCCACACAGGTTTCTTCAAGGATGTTCCTCGATATCTACCATTTTGTCTTGATGGCTGACGTGAAGATTTCCTTTGTAGTTTCATCCTTCAGTTTCTGAGTGTTGCACTTGAACTATGGTCTATCACCAACTTCCTTGAAGGCTTTTAACTTGATTTGGAAGGTTCCTTGCACCAGATAGTGGTCTGAACCTACATCTGCTCCTCTTCTTGACCTTATGTCAAGTAGGCTGCGTCTACCCTTTTTGACATTCAGATAAAGTCTATCTGATTTTTAGTGTCCATGTGGTGAAACCAAATCCATCTCGCTTTGTGGATATCCTTGTGCTTGAACACACTGCCTCCAACCACCAAATCGTTGAACGCACAGAATCCTGCAAACTATTCTCCATTCTCGTTCATTTCACCTAGCGCTTCTCGGCCCATGGTTAGTTTTTGTGTTATCCACTCCCAGTTTGGCATTCATGTCTCCCATTAAAATTTTGATGTCGCAAACCGAGGTCTTGTCCAGTGTTGATTGCAGTTGTCTGTAAAATCCCTGCTCTTCTCTAGATCCGCATTATTTGTAGGTGCGTAGCATTGTATGATTGTGACCTTCCTTCCTTCCTTTTGAGTTGAACCTTGCTGTCATGATCCTGCAGGAGGAGATTGGTTCTCACTGCATGAGAGCCTTCGATGCTGTTGGACACATCATGATAGCCACTCCACAACTCAGTGTGCTCGCGGTTGTCATCTGTGTGACTGGAGTGTGGGTTACCAGCCCTATGCCCAACTTTCCCTCTTTACCCGGGCTTAGGACCGGCTGGTAACTAGTAAACTAGTTAACCAGGTGAGATTTCCGAATATTTTAAACATATCAAGGTTTTTTGCCTTTGACACACTGATATGAAGTAAAAGTGCAATAAACCTTCAGTGGATGTGAAGCCTGAAGGCATCACACTACCTGCAAATATATTGGTAAAGTATAATTTTAGTCAACCAAAGTTATTCATACCAACTAGAATAATGACAGCAATGATAAATACTCAAACATTAAATAATCACGCACAATAGATCGAAAGTACACATTAAAATAACTATGACCCTTATATATTTAACGTAATATATACTCACATGTTCAATCAAGGAGAATATTACATTCAACATTTGACATCTAACAATGAGAGAACGATCAAGTGGATGACCATTAGGATAGTGTTCAGAATTCAACTGAATAGCACCTAATAAACTCATAGGCGTTAGACGAGCCAAAGCAACTGGTTGATTCTCATTGACCGAAGGATTAGCACTAAATCCAGAATAAAAAGGTTGAAAAGTTAATTACCTGTCTCACTGGTTCAATAGTGACCGAGTATCTAACAACTGTGGTACAGTATAGACAGAGGAACCAATGCGACTGCGTCAGCCTAACGTTATCAACTAATACGAATAAAATCCACCATATAGCTGACACAATAATGTAAGCCTCACTTCAGTTGAAGAAAATAACGATAATGTTTGTTATTGGTGGCAATGTACATACCTATCGATAAAATAAACTAAGGCACTAGAAAGTATGGTAAAAACGAGTGTATTGCTGTGGAGCTGTAAGATTATTGGTTAACGTCGTTGAGTTTCAACTAATGGGTCACGGGTTCGAACACCGCTCCACCTACCAATATCTGACTAGCCAAGTAGTATCACTACTTCTCATAGAATAGATGTGACTCATTAGCTTCTGCACGATTGTGTACAAGGTTTTTCAGTGCATTCTGAGTTAGATTCGATTGCTTTTTGCACGCAAGGTCACAGAAGCTCGATTGTTGAAATATGGAGACAATTATAGACTAATCAATATACACAACAAAGAACATTATAAATAAAAGCAACATTGCATGTAAAACAGGTCACAGCTGCATAATAAATGCATTAAATTCACCGACTGAATAACTGACTCGTTCAAAAAAAAAGCTGCGAAACTTGCCAAGCCAATAAAAAAGTCTCCAGAAAGAAACAATAGCACCTTAGATCTTGAAAACAGAATATCTGATGTCTTCTTATCCTCTCTACTTTAACCACTATGTTTGGCAGCTGTATAATCAGACGGGGAAATACTGCAATTCTCAGTTGAAAATTTCGTAAGATAAGCTGGACAAAGCCAAAAGGCTCACTTCTGAAATTTCACAAGCTTTCAACTCACCAGGAATGATCCAACTTCCCAAGTAAGTGATCATAGCGGTGGACTTCTTTACTCTCGATTGTCATTAACGTAGTCCTGATTTAATAACTTGTACTTAGAAGTTGAGAAGCTCACCCCAAGCATTCTGAAATTGCCACTTATTGTGTCTAGAAGACTGAACATTCTCAGCATTTTCATCTAAGATGACTGTCGATCACATACTCTAGATTGATTAACGGATTATATGTGACGAGATTTGTCCTTGAAAAGTCATATGGTGAGGGGGATACCTTCATATGCATGAACATTTAGACAATGTTATGTAGGAATGGAGAGAGTGAACATCCTCAAAGCACACCACTCGATATAAGGGTTTTGCAAGAAAGCTCATCATAAATTTTAACATGATTACAGATGACCGAATATAGAACTTTCAGTAAAGTGAGGTAGTTGTCAAGTGCTTTTTCAGTGAGATAAACATTCACAAAACGTTTCAATCGATGTGGTAAAACTTTTTAAAGCACATGTCAAAATGATTTGTTTATCGGCTACTTCTATAAAACATAATTTTAATATCACATTGAGCAAAGCTAGCCTTATATCTGCATTTATGCTATTAGTCCCAAGTACACTGAAAGATATTAGCTTGTAATTAGCGAACAACCAGGAAAAATTTTAATATCATTTTGTTTTCGCGCAGCATAAACCAGAAAACTAGTGCAGATATTTCTACTAAGGAATAAATCATGCTTAGTGTAATAAGCTTGTGATACTGTCTAGTCACTCAGATTATAAATGGTGAAGTATTTTCGAGTCTATGATCCAACCAGTTAATAGCCACTGAACCACAGTTCCAGATAGTAATCTGCACCGGTAGTATTTGGTAGTTGTTTTTTAAGGTGATATTAAACAAACCTAATACACTCCAAATTCAATCGAAATCAATCACTTGGAAGACGGTGCCTCTTGAAATAATCTTCAAAGGTGAAAGAAACTCGCAAAACTGATAGACTCATTGAATAAATAGATAAAGTGACTTACGTGTTTGAACCTGGACGCACTCGTAAATCAACAAGAATTCTCCAAATAGCTGCTACTGGTTTAGTTACATGCACGGAGGATGGTGAATATGAAACTTCATCCATTTTTATGTCTTCATTAAGATTAGTTTGTGGTCTGTTTTCAGTAACAAAAACATTTCTACTTGTCGGAGAACTAGAAACTCCTTTATGCGCAAACATAGAGGTGGGTACGGATCCGCGTTGAGCTGATGAGTTAAACTTTGATAGATCGTATTGATTGACTTGACTATCACTGACAATAAAGGAGCAATATGTTACGAAGCTTCCGTTATACTGGAACAATGGTTCCCAATATTGCAGATAACATTGAAGCTAGAAAAGGCAGCAAGAGAAAGTGAACTCAGCAGAATACTCATCTACCGAAACTTTGCTTCCTATTTAAGTGCTGCAATACATACATATAGATCTGATCGTGATTTAACACATGTTCAGTAGAGTGATAATCAGAGGTCGCTACCTTCGATTCTACTACTATCAACGTTTTCATATCTAGACCAATTATCACATAATTACAATAAATCGAAAAATGTACCAAATAGTGTTCAAAGTTTTTGAGAGGGAACTTGACACGGTAAGTATGCACCCGCAACTATTCTTGAAATAGCTGACAAAACATCTGTCAATTGAGATAGGCATAATGAAGAGTAAATCCAAGATGACACTTGATAACTGTGATTATCTGAGACTGCAAACATGAAATTACCCACTGTCTCTCTGATGACTGAACTCAGATATTTTTACATTAATGACGAATAAAAGGTGTTTAAGCAACTGGTTTAGTGCTTATTTTCCACCTAGAATGAATACAGCAGCTGGTGGGGAAGTTTATATTACAAAGAACAACTCCAGAGTTATATCATTTCTATACGTGTGTGTATACATTTAAATAGCATTACTACTCGTGAGTTAAGTAAAGAATTTCAAAAACAAAGTGTATTCTTTTCGACAGTTCTGATACGTACCATAGTTGATTTATAACAACATCATATGGCAACAGAGATAAATTAATTAATTCCCATAAATCAACAATCGAAAACACCAGGAATTCTGACAACGAACTGACACTCAGCGAACAAGAAATGTCTATCGCAGTCCAACAACTTCGTATATAACACCATGGAATTGAAAGCAATGGATGTTGTGTTCACTTTCATTTAGAATACAAACGCACGAATGTAAATATATTACACTGACTTGTCTAGAGGAGAGCGAAACATGTCCCTGGCATGTACCTATGAGGTTTCTTCACACCACCCGTGGCTAATGTGCTTTCACGGACAGCTTCGGTGGCTAGCTGTTCCATTGGGGTTTTTCCTCTAGTTGATTTACGAGCATTTTGTTTGGTTCTTCCCATTTTGAAAACACCGAGAGACAACGGATTCCAAAACTAGCCACCACCAAATACAAAAGTGGGTTCACTTTTCCACCAATAAGAAGACAAGAAGGTGGTTACATGACACATAATCTACGTAAATTACAGTTATTCGACAACGTTTTGAATGTATATTTCAATAAAATGATAAAAGTTATTCAACAACAATCATAAAGCATCACCATTACCGACACTTACTTCCAATCCATTTGGTGAATGAGTATTGTTCAATTTTGGTGCAAATGGTTCAAATGGAACAGGAAGTATTCTCAAATAATTCGGTGTACACACTCCATTAGACATCCAAGTTATACCTAACCACTGTGGTTCATGCAAACGATTTTCTTCTTCGGCAATATCAAAATCATTTGAGAGATTATTGTAGAATACAATTTCATTTGGTAACGGTAGTGGATGAGCTTTTAAAGGTGACTGTCTCCATAATTTCTGATTCAATACCCATGGCCAAAGTGGATGAGAAGTAGATAATTCAAACTGGTGTTGACTACTATCATCTTCCTTATGGGTTGCAGAAATAATTTGACTTGAGGATGGTGACGATGATGTTGATACAGGCGTATAATTGTGATAAGTAAAGTGTCTACGTAAATCATCTGTGTATAATAAAGGATCACTGGTTAAACAATATAAACACACAGCATTAGGGTCCTTTTTGAAATGAACAGGTCTTAAACAAAGCTTTTTACAGATCTGATTTGATTGTACAAGATTAATTGTTGTAGTAACAATCACTTTAATATAATCATTGATATAATCACAAACCGGTAGATGGATGCGTAGACCAGAATCAGTTTGAAAGTGAACACCAACTTTATCAAATGAATAGACAGAAGGTATATCGGGATTGTGCGTACAGTGTTTAGTATTGACAGATAGCCCAACAACAATACTCGCATTAGGCCATAAAAGATAAACTGGTTTGTCATAATCTATTCGACCATAATCTTCCTTTGTATTACCAATACTTTCAGTAATACCTCTGCTTAAAAAATAAACTACAGATAAAGATGACAGCGTCAGACAAAACTGAGTTGAAGTTGACGATTCTAAGTGAATAGGACTTAGCTGAATCACAGTTGAAATTTGCTTTACTCTAAATTCTAAAATACCAGAGTGGATAATCTCTTCGGTCGCGTCCTGAAATCGTAAACCGACCTAGAATGCCAAAAAACGCGGGATAGAATAGAACAGGATAGTAACACAAATATATAGCAGTTTGAATAAACCAAATAACTCTAAGAATAATATCAGAAAATCAAAAATGCCACGGATGACTTTATCAACTACAGGTAGTAAAGTAACTCTTTTTCTTTACAAGTTGACTTTGAGGAACAAACAACGTGCACCATAAAACTAATAAATGGCAAAATATCAAAGACTACCTTTTGAAACATTAACTCAGTATAGTGATGCGTTATTCACCAAACCAAAATATTTACGATCCAATTTTATCCAGATGGATAGTTTCCATACCATACTAGTGTCTCTTGGTTATCAGTGACGCTTCAAATTCAGGTTATCCATGCTTTGAAAAACTATTATCTCCCTACAGAAATGCATAACATAGTATTTTTCGCTTACACAACAAGCAATAGATATTTGAATAATGTAGTATGACTAGCTACGTTATTTATTCATGAAAAAACTATGCAAAACATTCCTCCAACTGAAGCAACATTTAAGCCTGACTATTTGAGAAACTTTGATCACAGCTCCCGAAATCAAAGCCAACCAAGTTACCACTGAATGACAGATTCATTTACACCAAGCATCTTAAAAGGATAAGTGAATTGATACACTAATTTTTCTACCACTATTAAGTATACTGAATAGAAATGTTAGCCCTAAAGCGTACGATCTAGTCGTTGTAACGAAAAATGGATGGAATAGATCTGAACACCAAATACTGAGCATAGGAGTCGGATGTCTCAACCAATGAGTGACGAACTACATCAAAGAAACTAAAATGATAAACAACTTAGATCATTTATTAAGGCGAAACTTCGTTCAAAAAGTATTTTCGTAGCATTACTCATATGAAGTGGAATCGACAAAAAAGCAGTGTCGAAGTTAGACAGAGGGTACTAGACAAGAAAGGCAAGTCGGTTGGTGAGGTTGTGAACTATCACCGATTGAAGGGTTTTGGCATCTGCTGGGCATGCCAAGCCACCACCCACCTAAACGTGGGATATCAGTCGAAACAGAACTGAATTAGAAGAAGGCTCAGAGTGGTCATACCAAGACATCCCATCAGTTTATGAGGTCTCCAACTGTTTTTTTTTAGCGGTGTAGGGAGGTATACACTATCTGGCTGGAGTTCTGAGGATAACATAAATTGGTGGTTGAAGACTTAGTGAATTGGCTCATAACCAGTCACAACAGAGCAGGCATATATACTCTTTGTCATCTTCAAAGTCTTGAATATTTCCACTAAAATTCAATTATTTATTCTTTCTACTCCATACACTTTTATTTGCCTTAATGTAACTTTTTTTTATCCCCCTAACATGCTGATTTTAAAGGTGGAAACTTGAACCAACGCACTTATATGTCAAGCTGTACAATGATTTGTTTGTTTGCCAGTTAAAAAACTAAAGCTCATCTCTATGGGAAACTTTCTTCAACTTACAACAATTCACGGTGATTATACGATGAAGTAAAAGTTCAGATTCACTTGTTGATTGAAGTTCTATTTACCAAGAAACATTTCTGTGCCTAGTTAGATATATTTATAAAGTCAATCTTCCAAATCAATACACTAAATGCACCTAGGATATTCGTTAAATCGGAAAACGGAAAATCTATCAATGATGTTACATTTCTTACAGAGTAAGTGATTACATCTCTATTCCGAAAACTGTCAATATTCTGTAAGACACGATAGGATGTAACTTGTAATAGAAGTTCAATCAATGAAAGTCAATAAAATTCAGGGGACAACTCACTCGAATGGGATTAATATCCACGTTAATCGTGTTGATGTATCGGTGTAAAACATGAAGAAGTTTTGCAGTGGATGATGATCTCAGTAATGAAGACTGGTGAACAGATGAAGTAGGGATATTTTTTGCATCGAAAGCATCGTCGTCAGTTATACAGTCACAGTTGACTTCGAGTAATTCATGAAAGAATTTGAAAAAGTGTAAGATAGCCGAAACTGTACTTGTTCGAATACATAAAGACTGATCCTGCCCAACCACAATACATACTTTGAAACGATTACTCTGTTTTGTTGTAAGCTAAATAATCAAGAATTTTAACAAAATAAATATTTATATCAAACTTGAAAATTGCTTCTTGTAACAAGGTATAATATACTGGAAATTCGCATGACAAATGTACATGATAAGGCTTGAGGTTAGGGATTGTTGAACGATCGCACCATAAAATACCTGTTATTCGTAGATAGCTGTACATCAGCAGTATAAAGTGAATACTTTAAGCGGAAATGATTATAAACGTTTGCTAGTAATTTATATTATAACACATTCGAGACACCGTTAACTTAATTTTCAGTCCCTACTCCGAAATGCTTTGCCTTCTCGTTGTTTATGACTACTTACTGTTGATTGCTCTTCATTATTAGACGTAAGCATATTTCACACTTTTAGTCAGTTGTCAGCTTATGTTTCCTTCTTCTTTCTTTCTTTTTCAGGTTCTCATGCGGTTTGAGTGAATTACCACTGTCAAAATTATACACGTTTTCCTACTCATCCGGTTGTAATAACTTAACTATAGGCTAGACGATGATTTAATAACAGCCAACCTTTACAACATATTGGAAAATCACACAAAATAGTTACCAGATAGCTAGCTAATAAGGAAATATATTGTTCTCTTCAGAGCTGATAGAAGTTTATCGCGTAAGGTGTGCAATATAAATTCCAAAAATCAAATCATAAATGAAATATATCGCCTCCTGGTAATGACTGATAAGATATGATTGTCAGTGATTCTGAAAACCCAGTGTTGAAGCCAGAAGGAACCGTTTGAAAAGCTTTAGCCAGTCATGCAGGTCAGTATTCAGCATCAATTATTATACGATAACTGTTTAACATTTAAAACGCATTGTTTCTGCTCAACAATCATGATTTGAATATCTCATTTGAAATACCTTACGCTACGGTGCTTAAGAATACAGGTTATATACTGAAAGAAAAAATAAACTGCCTCAAGAGTGAAGTGGACACAAAGAACAACCACAAGAGGTAAGTCAAAACGATTTTACGTTGACAGTTCTGAACTATTTAAAACAACATAACCGTATGAAGAGGAAATAGTGAGCAGACGGCAGATTCAAGCAATTATCTTCCAAATTCGTAATGTCCAAGCACTAGGGAAGGTAGACGAACTATATACAAAAAGAATCAAAAATATTAATCGAATAACTAAATGTTATCAGACAATACAACGATAAAATCGTAATTCGAATTCAATATCTACTCACATCTTCGAGTGTAGATGAACATTCAGATCGAGGAGGTTGAATACATGTAATTGATAAATACGGTACCGTAATACCAGTACGTGAATTTGTTTTACTGGGACTAGAATGCCAAAACACCGATGAGCTACAGTGCTGTACATTGTTTACTCCATCAACAGATGATGACACATTTATGTCAGTTTCACAGGGGATAATAATGACAACAGGCTCTCTTACACACTTTCTACGCATAAACTTATTAATTACAATCGGTTTACATAGTGCACATGGAGATTTCAATGCACCTTGTCGACAGTCCACCTGTAAAGCAACCATAACAAAAATTCGAGGTAAAAACAGATAATTGGATAACCTAATAGAGAGTATGTTAAGCGAGAGAATGAACCACTCCAGTTTAAAAATGCAGGTAATGAATAAGCTGACAACTAGAAATGTGATCCGTTACAAAAAAGTGAGCATACTTTTAAAAGTGAAACTGTAAGCAATGATTGGTCTTCATATTAAAAAAGTAGGTGAACCAGCCGCATGTTTAGGGAAGCAACAGTGGACTTTATTAAAGCAAATTACACCTTCAGTGATTAGTACTACCATTTATAAGTTGATTAACTAACAGCTGGAAAACTTATATAAATCATACAACAACAAAAAAGTAAGCTAACTCTCAACGAAGAACTATAGTCTTACGAATACATTACACTCACACCTGTGTAAATTAAAAGATCCGATTCCTCATTTGGAACAACAAAATTGTGTTTATAAGGTAGACTGCAGTGAATGCGATACCATATATATTGGAGAGACATCACGTCAAGTACTAACACGTCTAGCCGAACACGGTAGAAGTTCCAAAAAACCACCAAAAAATTCCTATAATCTAGAAAAACTTGAAAAAAGCTCTGCTATCGCGGCTCATGCCCTATATTCAGGTCATAAAATATCATTCGAACAGACAAAAGTTCTGCAAAAAGGGTTTTCTCTCTCACAAAGAACGGACCATTGCAGAAGCTTTGCACATCTGCTCATATCCTTCTTCGGTCAACAGAAAAGATGGGTTAGACATCCCATGAATATGGCAAACACTAATGACTCGCCTAGGCAGTTATAAATAATATCTGAAGAAAAGGTAGATTGTCTAGTCCTATTACATACACCTTATTGATCTACTATTTTCATCAATTTTACACCACTCTCTGAGTCATATACATTCGATGAACCATAACATAATCCATTTTGTTATCACGCATACTTCAAGTGTTGTCAAAAATACATTTATGGTTATCATTATTATTATTTATTCAAGATATATTGTCTCATCTTCAAATATTCATCCTTCCAAACTAGTAATCTATTCTTTCTCACCCTTGATGTCTCACAACCCCATTGTACTTTTCATAGACGAACTAAAAAATTTCCCCACCGTTTTTGTTTCACCTTACTCGCACCGAGTTGCTTATTCACTCACCTGTATTACATCGATCTTTTCTCCATATCACTATGTAATTGGATGATTATTATGATTGTCATCACCATATAGTGTTTAGTTTTCCTCATGGGATATAATTTTTTCCAAATATCATATATATACGATTGTACAGCTTGAAAATAAATTCGTTGAAAAGAGTCTCTTCGCTGAATATCTTGTTCTTGATGTTACAATGGGAATTATTAAATTGGATGATTGAAAAGGTCACCCACTTTCTGTACCAAAACTTGAATATTAACCTGAAAACTTAGTGTCAGATTCATACTCTTGAAAAGGATCTTCTTAGCAAGATCGAAACGTTGAGGAATAATACAAAATATTTGTTTATTTTGTTATTTGTTCTAATATACTACGCCGGGATTACACAAGTAAAAATACATCCTATACAATGAACTATAATCTTATCGATACCTTTGATTTTGTTGATGCCATTAGAAATGTCGATTTGACAGGTGGAAGAATGATTTCGTAGGATAGTGCATCCTTCTTCCCGAATGTCCCACTGACAGAAAGCCATTTCCTTCCTACGTGACTTCATTTCATCCCACTACACAGATGTTCATATTCCAAATCACTACTTAAAAGAGCTTCTTTTCCGCTGTACCTTCAATGTATATATTGCATTTAACGTGAAATCTACAGGCAAAAAGACGGGGTAGCAATGGGGTTCCCCACTAAGACCTATTTTAGCCGAGTGGCTTATGGCAAGCCCAGAAAACACCAACTAATCAACTACATACAATGAGATTTATATCTAACAAGAGATACACCAATGATGCCTTTACAGCTTGTGATGAAAATATAAATCTTGCAAACCTGTTTCATACCTTCAACAATGCCAGCCACCCAATCTACTTCACTCGAGAGTCAGAGTCAAAATCAACGCTCAATTTTCTTGATATTCAACTACGAAAAAAATATGATAATTCTCTTCACTGATCTATTTACAAAAGTCCTACATGAAGTGGACAATTCACTAATACTCAAAGTTCGATCTTATTACGTAAAAAAAGAAATCTTATCCATTTACTTTCCTTCGAAGATCTCGAAAATATGTTCAGAGAACATTGTTGACGAAGAACTCCAAAACCTTCGAAGGATTCTAGTGGAAAATGGTTTCCTGTCTACATTTATCGATAACAGCTCAAACTTAAAGGACACAAGTGAGCGAACACAGCGTCAAAGAAGATTCTTTTGCCGAATCTTGAACTCGAAAATGACACTGCTCCAGACCACTTTCAAAAACAACTACCAAGACCCTGAAATAGAACATACTTCTCTGCCAACCTTCGAACCATTTTTTCCTACAACAAACCTTTTGGTCAGTTTATGAAAGACAACCCAATGCAGTGGGCCACATGAATGCATGCATATCAGTTTAATTGCTCCTTTGGAGATGAGTACATCGGCCATACCATGCACCGGCTTGTAATACGAACTCGAAAACACTACCCAGATCAATAAGAGAACACCTTGTGAATTCACGTCACTGCTTTTGAAAACTCTTCCAAAATCCTCTACAATGTTCTATCAAGCCTCTCAAAGGGAGGGATATCAAGGCATTTAGGTACAGCTGAAGCAGTAGCCCTCCAGAAATTCAAACCATAGCTATGTGGTCAAAAAAGTACGTTCAACTGTTATCTATGAGCATCATAAAACCTAGACTTTTCTGGATAAATCCTATATTACGCAATTATGTTTGTTTTCCAAATCCCTAATTTGTTTTCCTCCTATAAGCTCTCATTTTATCACACAACGTTTTTTCGTTATTCAATATAGTTTGCACCCTGACAGGGATATAATTCCGGAATGTTCCATCTTTTGTTATATATATTCACAAATGTACAGCTTAGAAAATGATTACGTCAAGAAGGAAATTTTTTCCTTGCTGCAATTGTCTTTTTTCTTATCTTTTCCTATGATTCAGTAGGTGCATTCCACTGTCTGAACATCATGTTGTGCTTTTGTTTCATGCAGGTCATATACCAAAATGCAGACTTAGAATAATACTACGAACTTATGGATAAAAAATGTAGCACCAACACATCCTGTGCCAACCAGCTTTCAATTACCGAACACAATTATATCTCCTTTTCTATGTGGGAAAAATCAATTTATAACTCTTACCTGCAGAGTATTTATTGAAAACTCCAAATGATTAGAAGCATTCATATTCCTACCAGCTATATTCATAATTATGTGAGGTTGATTGATTTGGCAAGTGAATTCAGCTAAAAGAGTACTGTCAATCGGTTTCCACATAAGGAATATGATGTGGCGAGCTGTTATAAATAGACGGCTTGGAGTCGATAGCAGACTATCAGAATCACTTGAGAAAAACAACCTCTCAAGCAATGTTGGATATGAAGATTGTGAAGATGATTCTTCTCCATTACATGCAGAAGAAATAGAAGGTACTATTTGTACAAGATGTGAAATAAGTTCACAGTCAGCTAATATTAACAAATCATTCATCAAAGATAACTCCATGGAATATCCACTGTAAGTATACTGAAAATGAAATTGAAATAAATCGAAAGGGAAACAAGGTTAGTCGAATATGCGAATGATAAATAAGTAAGGAATAACTGACTTCAATGTTTATCTCATATGACCAATCCAACTTGTGCATTTAAGCAAATATAACTAATTGAGTCCATAACCGATTCTTAGCATTCTGCAGTATTCGATATGGTTTATTAAACCTAAGTTTGAGGTCTATCTTTTGAAAAATGCAACAAAATGTATACCATTTTCAGCACGATCTCAAATCCATCTCCTTAACAAGAAAATGTAAATTCATAGACATCTCACTACTAACGACCTAGTATAATTCAGGTTCAAGATCATAATAGGATACAATAGGCTACACTGTGACGGATAAGTCATGTTTCATCGGGTCTTGTGTATTAATGGAAGCGTGTGGGCAGTTGACAATCCTCCGCTGCTCACACTATGGAAGCCTATTTCTTCTTATGAGAAACAAAAGGATGTGTCTGGCTGCAGAGCACAAGGAATATCTGCTTGAGGCCTATCGCACAAATCTTTGTGTGGGTTGTTGTTTTGAGGTTTGGCTGTTCTAACGCCGGATAGAGAAAACTCATACCCCTGACACCGGAAGACCATGGGGGGAGGTGTGCGCTGCTTTTTGGGACCGACCTTTTTTACCTGATCTTCATTCTCATTGGAAAGGCAGCATCAGCGTGGTACTGCTGGTATACTTTCATATCACTCTTATTCTATTCACCTGCTCTTTGTATACTGCTGTGACATGTGGCAACTTCAACCTATGCACCTGTGTTCGAGGTTCTACGCTGATTTTGCCAGTCAGTCAGTCACTGGGATGGATACACAAGAAAGAACTTCGAAACCCCGTATATTTAATTATCAACCCAGACGATAGTATATATAGTCACACATACATACACAAGACAAGACAAGATTCTGAGACACTGCAGTACTTTCTCATATTTTGTTATACTGACTTCCAGCTTCTGCACTTATTAATAGTTAAGAAGAAACAAGTATGGGGTGTCGTCAATGATCTGTCAGAACCTCCTAGTGGAATAATATGAAGAAAGGTAACTATCAACTAATTATATCACATATAAATTCTATAGTCCTTATGTTATGCAAAGAAACGAATTAAATGATTCAGTCAGGTGACAGAGCACTGCAGTGATAACTCAAAGACCTATAATTCGAGTCCGAGACTATCGTTGTATCAAAATAAAGCTATTTCGTAAAACTCTAATCGATGGACATTAAGGAACTAAAATATATCACACAGAAAAAACGTTTTCAGCAACCGAAACATCCGAAGGAAATGCAAAACAAATTAACTTACTGATTCAGAGTTTTCATATTTCATAAGGGCAGGTGCAAAGGTAGCTGAAACATGGAATGAATGTACAATGGACCAACCATACAGAGGATCATCCCTATGATAAGGAGAAGAAAAAACAATACGAAGATTACAGAATGAAAACTGAACACCAATACGAAAATGCTCACAAGAAATAACTATTTTTAGAACGATCTACAAAATTCTACTTATCAGCCAACTGTTATCATTGTACCATCTTTCTAGAACATAATTATTGTTTCACGTCTCCTTAAAAGTTCAGTATAACACGGTCACCTTTAGACGATAGGTGAAATCTGATAGTATTATCACAGGACCCTCAAATTCTACGTAACAATCAAAAATGTCACACCTAATATCAAAATATTAAGATTCGAAGCGGGAAACAATGATGCGATATATGATAGTGTGACACAAATCAGTATTATCTTAAAATTACATTACGTAAAATACTCACTTTCGTAGATTATTTTGCTGAACAATAAACGCAAACAGTTTACTTTGTGAGGATAGCGATTAAAAGAATATCATCAAACGTCCATGTCATTAAACGTGGCCTAAAAACGGGTTGATTCCTGACGAAATGTTTACCTCAAATATATAAAATCCGTTTGATATATCTTTTATTGGCGATATATTTGACCACCTAATAGGTGAAAAGTCTACCACACTGCAGTCCGCTGTGATTCACTATACAGTTGTGAGAATTAACCACTGAGGTATGAAAACCACTGAGATATGAAAAGATTACAAGATTTTTACCACAACTGTCTTCGTAGTGTTGCTCGCATATTGTGAAATCACCACATCAGCAATCTAGATGTTGGGCAAACGGTCCTAGGTAAGGAATGCAATCAGTCGATGGGATTGTGAACCTTCGATAACTTACACGAGCCTGACTTTTGCTACACATGCCAAGCCACCACCTACCTCGATGTGCAATGTTCCCTGAAGCAGGATTGCGTTGGGATAAACCTAAGGATGCTCAGACCAAGACGTGATACAAGTTCATAAACTCTCTGACTGTAGGACTGAGTTATGTAAACAGTTGTAGACTGACTGAGGCCGTCGAGATGAAATAAATCAATAGCTGGAGACTCGCTGATACGGCTAAAAATCAGTCATAATGAGGCAGATGTATCCACTCTTTGACATCTTTTAAAGCTGAAACATTTTCATTGTTCTTCAGGTTCTTTCCCCTCCCATAAACATTTTTTTTTACTTTAAAACCACTCCTTTTACATCTACCTGTTCCTCGTATGTTACTGTGGCGTGCTGTGAGTTAAACCAACGCACTTCTGTGTAAAGCTCAACGTCGCTTGTCATTCTGTCTCTGTTATAGATGGAGGATTAGGCTATGGGAACACTTTCTTCGGATTTAAAAGACTTTAAATGCCAAATTGACATTGAATACAGCGAAACGAAGCTGAGCCTTTAATGAATAGTGTTAACATTTCCTAGGTGTCGTTTTTCTTTCTAATGACTGACTAATAGAAAAAACCAACGTAGAACCTCACACAGAAGTTTATCGGCTCAAGTAGAAATACACAAACCCAGAAAAGATGGAAAAGGAGTGATATCAAAGTAGATAAAGCGGTGTGAGAGAATAGCAACTAGAAGATAAAGGTTAATGCAAATATACAAGCTCTAGATGTCAAGATGTGAATAAACCTGCACCGCTGTGACCGATTTTCAGCCATGTCACCAAGAATTCTCAACCACTGATACCTACTGTCTAGGAGATCCTGGCCACGCACTCTACATCTCCTCACTCGGGTCAGAACATGAGTCAGGGACTTCATCGACCGATGTCACGTCTTGGTCTGGCCACTCTGAACTCTTTTTCAACTTAGACCAACCTCCCCTAGCATGGCACGTCGGGGTAGGCGGAGGCTCGGCATGCACAACACATGTCCAAGTCATTTCAGTCCATGAAGAGGTTCACATCATCATCAATCCAATCGCATCCCTATACAGAGAACAATAAAAACAGTATAAATACTAGCACCACACAAAATTTTGAGCTCATTTGCAAGATTTTTACTTGACAACATGATTGTTAAAGACGAGAAACACACTGTCTCTTTGACTTTGAAACACAACTTCAGTGTTACAAAATGACAGATTCACTCTTATGAAGTGTAAATGAAACTCTTATCACAGTTAATAGACAAGAGCACTAAAAACAATAAGGCCTTCACAATAACTCACATAGATTATACTGAGTACCAATCTCATTATTATGATTCGAAATTTGCCATAACTCATCCATTAAAATTATGTTTTGAAAAATCAAACTTTCATTGTAAAGTAATACTTACACATCACTTAAAGTGGCTAAACGATTCCAATCTTTTGCTGGATTTTGAGAAATCGCATTTGAACTAGACAAACTATAGTCAGCATTGTTTTTCACATTACACATAAATTCAAAAGGTACAGCTACAATATTTATACAGTTGGCAGTTACAATAATTTGTCTATCATCAGAAATCACAGCGACTTTGGACGAGAATGATTGTTTCAAAGTGACTTCATTTGGAAAGTATGGTCTTTCAATGAAATTTTCTAGTAATGGCTGGACTTGAATAAAATCACAGGATAGCATTAACGCATTTGGATTTCTTATGTTCTCCTTATGCTCAGTTAACTAAAGCAAAACAAGGTGGAGGAAAATGAAAATATGTAGACGAAAATATAAATGAAATGTATCAATAAGGTTGGAAGCCACTGAATTAAAAATGTCGATTTTGCTAACAGCTTCAATGTTCTGATCATTAAGTGGTAGTTTCACTAATTTCTTGCACAGATCAGCAGCCTAATGCGAATCATCTCATTATCGGATTCCTGGATTCCCTTCTGCTGCACATTCGCTTGTTAGTATAGGGAGATGACTCCAAACCAGTGGCTCACTGTTTGGAACACCGCCCTACTTACCGAGGTTTAGGCAGTCAGGTAGTATCATTAACCCTCATACAATATGTGTGGCTCATTGCTTTTTCGATTCGAACCTCTGTACTTAAAAGTAATACTTGATGTAAACCAGTTAATACTACAATTAATAATTAAGTAAATGCAGACAAATAAAATTGAAATCTGCAAACCATCTAGTTCCATCAAGTGTTTCCCTAGTGTTTAGCCATATGGATTATCTAATAATGCACAAGATTATTCAGTGCTCATTTGTATAGTAGAAATTTATTTGTACCTAAATGGCAGTGCACAAGAAAGTGACCGAATGTTAGATGGTTGGGGATGAAGGGAGGAAATTCAAGACGTACGTTTTGTACTCGTCAGTAAAGCGTACCTGATGAAGGTTGGAATCTCTGAGAGATCAGTTCCCTTCAGGTGCAAATACACCTTGTTAGTAAGTGCTAACGAACACGAAACATGGGTCTAGGGGTTTCGCCGATATTCTTCAACCACTTAACATTAATCAGGGCCCACTGCAACAGTTATCCTTGTACGTTGATAACCACATTATCGGGACTTATATCTACACAACATAAAATTAGCTCTCTCTAGTGATCAGTCAATGTTAAATAATAAAATCGACTGTTGGAGTTCTTCATCGGCTGAAATAACACCTCCTTGTAGAGAAAAAACGTAATATCTTGTCGACTAAATAATGAAAGACAAGTAAAAAAAAAAGAGAACTTAGTAGCTGGTACAATGCTGCATTGGTTTAGGGATTTCGACTTACAACCATTAGGCCATGGATTCCATCCCTGTTCAACCTACAGAGGTTTGGACAGCCGGGTAGTATCCATATGCCCTCACACAATAGGTGTGACTCATTGCCTGCCACACGAATGTTCAAAAGGCTGTTGAGTGCATTGCACTTGCATATGCTTGCACTGATTAAAACAAACAAAATTGTTTATCAGTATAACTTTAAAAAATATCAAGAGGGTGAGTATAACCAGGAACGAGACATGAGTGCTTAGAGAAGGAATTTTAAGAGATAATGAGACAGATAATCAATTCATTTGCAACATAACAGTCGACTTTGAGTTATATCGTGTACCAGCTAATAACTTTTTATTTCAAAAACCCAACAACCAAGACTTTTGTAACATCCCGAAACGGGTACGCCCAACCGTTAACCACTTCATTAATCGCTAATACCTATCCTAATCCTTTTTTCATCGTCCAATGAATGCAGTAGTTAATGCATATTTATTTATGATGCAGTTCAGTGCGCATGACATATGTCTCTGTCACTGAAGCTCTATTTCTAGAGGTCTTGTATTACAGTGGACTTTTGCTCTGATAAGGTTTCACAGTAGTGACAAATGATGTATATCGACAAATACTGAAAGAGTTAACCTTATGCAATTAGATCTCATAAGCCACTAGTTCATGTGTTCTATAGCAAATTGACCAACACATTTCTATTAATCCACCATATTTCATAGAGTTTTAGTGCAATAAGAGCTGACAAATCGTCCTACAATTGATAGTTATGAAAGTATTACCAAAAATTTTCAGACTTTAATTTGCCTTCAGAAATCCTTGCATTTTGAGAGGTTTTTAGCTAGCAAATCTATCTTCTGCATAATTTAAGTCAACTAAAGGATACCAAGAAAAGAGATCATTATCTACTTTTAATAAGCTGTTATTAGATGTTGTGAATAAGATAATTACGCAGAAATATCAGGTTTCATGGTGTTATTGACTGAATGGATTATGACTAGCTGCTCCAAAGATTTACCATAAGTTCATATTCCTTTAACGTTACCTCGTTAGGCTATGGTCTTTCTAGGTGAACCTACGCAATGAAATCAAATAACAGCTGAGTTAAATGTAACGCTGATGTTTCTTCACTTATTTCGATTCTGGTAATTATAAATACTACCTGTAAATGTGAACAAAATCGGTTAACTGACCATCTAGTTAATCAGTATGGGCTATCAAAATTCATCTATTCTAAACATAGCTGCTGAGATTTAAAGACATTTAATAAATTTCGGTTGACAGTAAATGACTATATTTATCGATGTTGGTATTGACAATTTGGCAACCTTACAACGAACGTTATTTTTAGTTTTCATTCATTGGTGCATTCTACCTCATGACGATATGGTTCATCAGCTCAAACAATAGACTTTCTTAGAAAATGAATCTTGAGTTAAAGGCCCGTTCAATCTAATACCACTAGGGCAACAGAGTAGTATCATAAGTGAGGCTCATAGCTTAGTACATACATGTGTACCAGGTTAAGCATTTCGCGCATCTTTTCGCAGAGTACCCATGAATTTTCGAACTACTGAGTAGGTAGATTACATGCAAACGGTCTGAAAAAACACAGCTAATCTACCACTGATTCTTTTCAACAACAACAGTTGGTGTTACATCCACACTTTGCTTTATATTTATCGTTGATAAGTGTTAGGTTACACCAAATGATTTCTCAGAGATCAGCAGGACTTGTATTCTGTGTCAAATAACTTACTGTCATATTATTTATGAGTCATTATCGAAACAAATTATGTCAAGTTGAATGAATTCTCCAGTCACGACTGGCCTAGGTTTCGATCATACGTCAGCTATTCACAAACTATAATCTAGTCGACCCTAGTTATCATCCAAGTTCAATTCTCGAAATTCAATGAATTGATTTGAGCGATAAGTAAGTCTTTATATTCGCATTCGGCTTAGTTTATCTATCTTTCCATATGTGAACTACTTAGAGTTCTGTAGAATAACTTCGACTACAAGGAGTACTTCTATCTTCCTGATGTTCGTCATGATTACATCGTGGTGTACTCTCATGTCTTAAAATAAAATTTGAAACTATTAACTTGGTAAAAAATACTGCGAAAACTTCATCCCACCACATACTCAGATTCAGATCTAACGAATAAGAATTTGAGAGAAAAGATTTTGAGGATCTTTCCCAGTCTCAACCATATGATAGTATTTGCTTAGTGATCAATTGATTAATTATTCCTCAGCGACCGCTTAGTGTACTTCCGATATGGAATTGGAAAACTAGTTAGTCGCCACTTAAATACGAAATGCTGCTTCAAGACAGGTCACAATGTAGGATTAATTTAAATATAGGAAGAGAAAACATTAATCGTGTTGACCAGTCTACTTATCTAAGGAGTAGCATCAGTTCATGTGAATTGGCTGCTTAATTAACCTGAGTATGGTCACAAACAGTTTGTGTTCCACCACATGAAGCAATCTATGATGTAGGTAATGTATATACAACCAATAAAGTTGAGTAGTATGTCAATTTCACGCATATTTGAACACTACTGCCTTCAAGGCATTACTCATACGTTAAAAACTATAAGTTGTCATTCATATGGCGTAAATTATTCAGTGGATGAAGTAGCATCACTGGTATACGTTTGAATGTGGTTTTTTTCAACTGAAGTAGATGGAACATATAATATACGCATTTATCAATCACCTAACCTGTAGTAATATACTTAATAGAACAGGAAGGAAGAAGCCTACAGAATCTCAAATTAGTCCACAAAGTTTCTGCTCGCTACTCAAAACTTAATATTTCAAGTGCCGTGTTTATTTCCTTCCTTGTTGTAAACGTATTTCGTTTGTATTTCCTGGTTTTACTTATTTCCCATTGTACTGGTTTGTTAACTTGGATGGATACTCACTTGTTAAGCATCCTAAGTTGTGAATGCTTGTTCATTGATGAAAATCTAACCTTATGATTTCGGTAGATCAGAATATTTTTGATAAATACATCTAATCCATGACATCTGCCTAAAAATCACATAAGATGTAACAGTTTTGATAGTGAATTCATTCGAAATATTTCCCTTTCTATTTGAATGAACTTCTTCTATTTGACTGGGGTTCTAATTATTATTTTTCTTTTAAAGGAACTCCTGTGGAGGATAAAACTGTAGCACTACATTAATTGGTCAGAATTCATTGTCAGCTAGCTAACCTCCACTTTACCACTTAATGACTATTTCATATTTCAAGGTCACATTATAGTCTTTTTATTCTGCTGATATTTTGCATAAAAACAACTGTTTCACATTTGACTACCGCAGACATTATATATATATATATATATATATATATATATATATATATATATAAAAGAGAGAGAGAGAATTGGCGGATCACACCTTCGATATTCATTGAATGAGGCGGAATGATAGCTATTTGTCGGTTGCATTGAGCGAACAGTTTCGAAGTTGTGAGTTAAGTAGCAAGCTAAGTCATAAGGTCTAATGGGAATTTTAGCTTCGACATCGTTAGAATTTTCGCGACAATAGTAATATAACAGTCATGCCAATAAACATATTTAAACTGAGAAAAACAAGTGCTGTACAAAATGAAATCTTAGGATAACTCACCCCAGACAATAAATAGAACAGTCGAAATGAATCAATTGTAGCATTGATGATCGGCATTGAGTGAGTAGTTAAAAACGGTAGTGTCGATCTAATACCTTTTGTTGCATTGCATAGTGTGAAAGAAGAATGAATTATTGATCCCTTATAATTCACACAATCATTAATAAAACTTGTAATTTCATACATTACTTCTGGAATGATAACAATATCTAATGGTCGAACATTAATTTGAATATTATTTTCATGGTGCATATTATATACCTTACTTGAGTTGTTGTCAAGGACAGACAAATCTGATTGAGATGCAGAAAAATAATCAGAGGTTGTAGTATATTTTGAACAGGTTCGTGTAAACACCATTCGAAAGAAATTTTGTCCGATGTTTGATTTATCTTCTGGTTTGCTGAGATTAGAATTCAAGCGATGACGTTTTCGAGCATTTAGAGGTATCAAGGGAATATAATTTTTTTCAAGCCAACAAGATTTGTCAGATTGCTGACGTTGGACTTCAGGAGACATATATCTTCTATTGTCAGAGTCATAGGTTGCATTCAAATAAGGTTGGAGAAGTTGAAGAGGTTGAATATCCTTTTCTAGTAGTGTAAACAATGGGATCTCTGATCTGTAAGAAGTGTTTTTAAAAATAATAATGATAGCAAGTTCAGTTGACACGATAGCTATATAAAAATGTTGGAACACACTGATATACATTTCTGAACAAGTACGATTTTTCATATAGAAAGTTCACCTCACTGACCTATCTTATCACCATACATTAGAGATAGTTCACATTTATTCCAGTGATCTCCAGTTTCTAAATCCAATTACAATAAATACGATGGCGAAAAATTAAAATTACACTAGGTTTTTTTGATTTACAAAGCCGTTTACACCCTCGTTCATGATACAACAGTAATTGTTAACAATTTCTAATCCTCACTGGTAATTGCAGATAAGTAAGTAAAGTAGTAGCATGTAAAGATCACGTTTATTAACTTAGTCTAACAGCGAAATGTTAAACATATAAAACTCAACGTAGAACCCCGTACAGAAGTGCATCAACTCAACTTGCCATTCTTCATAGCAGCATGCAAAGAAAAAGTCGATAACAGTAGATTAAAGTGCATGGAAGGATGAAGGTTAATGGAGATCCTAAAACTGTATAAGACGTCAAATACTGAATAAATATGAACCATATTGATTGATTTTCAGACATCTCACCAAGGGTATTTAACCACAGACTAATACAACGTCTCGGTCTAGTTACCATGAGGTTTGTCCCAAACTGTTCCTACTTCAGCTAACATTACATGTCAAGGTAGACGCTAACTCGATATGTATAACAGATGTTCAAGTCACCTCAGTAGACAAAGTTTCACAACCTCATAGATAAACTCACTTTCCTTTCCTAGCACCCTTTGCTTAACCTCCTATATTGGTTATATGGTGATTCCACTATACGTGAGCAATGCTACCAGGACAGTTGTGGTAGAAACCTTGCAATCTCTTCATATCTCCTTTTTTCAGAGGTTATGTTTCACAGCCGTACAATAGGATAGATTGGACATGAGTGTAGTATACTCATCCCCTATTGAGTGGTGAAATATCTTGCCAGTGGCAGAGATGACATTAATTCTCAAATACCAAACTGGCTTATGGTAGTCCAGTTGAGATTTCATTAGCAACCCATTTCGCCTGGTTTAACCATCTAAAGTAAGCGAAGCCGTCAACGTGTTCTACAACTACATACCCTATCCTTCAGGTAAGAGTAAATGCAGCCCTGTCATGAAGCATCATCGTACACTTTACATGTGTGAAACGCATCTCAAAAACTCAGATTTCAGCTAAACGCGTTTACTGCGTTTCGTTAGCGTCTACACTTAACAGGAGAATGACATCTTTGTACTCCAAATCAACCCGATGCATTCCAGCAAGTAGGTTAATCCCTATAAAGTCAAAAGTACCTGGGGTTATTTTTATCAGTATGTCAATAACAAATTCAAACAGGGAAGATAACAGCAAGCGTTCCCGGCAGACTTCACTCGTTGTCGTCAGTTCAGATAACAATACCACAAGTCTTTATACGGCCACATGAGTTTGCATAGAAGTTGTAATTAGCATTACATACTTGATTGGCACTCCCTTCACAGTTAGACACTGGAACAACACCTCTCGGTCGACAGATGCAAAGACCACCTTCAAAGCAGGAAATATGGCAAGTGCCAGACTCCAATGAGTATGCCTGTGTTCCAAAAGCTGTCGCAGAGTGAAGACTTGATAAACACATACTCATTCAGTTCTGAAACCTGTCTAGTTTCTGCAACTCTTTTGTTATCAAAATCCAGTTACACGTCGAATAACTATAGAACCCAGGACCTTGGACACGATGTTGGTTAGACAAATCCTCCATGATTATCGTAAGAAACCTTTCTTGCTCTCTTGTAAACTGGAATGATCAGTGATCTCAACCAGTTTGACCGGCCTACGTCTTATTTCCTTGCATTATCTACGACCTCATTACTCAACTCAGTAACTCCCCATCTCCATTCCATGAAGATCCTTATGGCAAACTGTTAGGCTCTGCTGTTTTGCATCGTTCGACGTTTGAAACAGCCTTCTTAACTTTGAGAAGAGATGGAGGATCGATACCTACTTCCCGATCAGGATGAACAGCAACTGAAGCACAGCTGGAAGCGAGTTGAAGTGAGCTACAATGTTTTCCGTCTAGTGTTCTAATATCCTCTAGAAAGAGGTCATCAGACTTATCTCTTACGTCCATTCTTCCACCAACCACTACCTTCATCTTTCAAGTATCCTTAACAAGCCGAAATAACTATATTACATAGTACCAATGCCTCCGACATCTCTCTCACTTTGGCAACCCAACACTGCTGGCGATCATTGCGAAGACTCTTAGCCAATTTAGGTTTGAGCAGTTTTCGCTTCCCATTGTTATCAGAACCTGCTGGAATGAGCCTTCTCTCATCAATTAGTTCGGATGACGTCGCAGCAATCTAATAACATTTGCTAACCTTTGGATATGCGTCGCTAACCGTTTTTATCACTATTTCTATAGCAGATTTAATATCATACCAAGTTTCCTCAGGATGAGCATTGCTCTCATATTCAGATAAATGCTTGGCTAACTCCTCCCTACATATGTTACTTTACAATCTCATCTACAAACGGAGCATAGACAGGTTTTACTGCAACATGTTTCCTTCGATATGTAAGGCACAGACATATACGTGCCTATACCAACGTATGATTGCAGTTCAAGCAGGTTTTCCATAAAGAGTTTCAACCTTCCACCAATCTTCTACAACGATAGCTTATAGCAATAACACTTATCGGCGTCCATCAATGGTTGGATGTCGGTGGGGACCACGTGAGATAGTGTCTCTTCTTATGTTTGAAGTTAGTGTTGAATAAACAAGTGATTGTCAGAACAAAATTGTAAGATACGACCGCTTCTGTAGGTTCATTGACATGGCATTCCGTAAATACCCCAAGATGTCTTTCGGACTTACTGAGCTTCCTTACTTGGGTATTTAAGTCATCTCCTCTTATGACTAAAAGTGAATGTCTTGCTTTCCGTAGCAAAGCTGATTGCTTTTGACAGACTTTATCCTCTGTATCATTCGAATGGCAATAGTATATAGGTGAGAAAAGATCAAGAAGAGGCGTCAACGACAGTTACAATCCATCCCGGTAAACTGCAGTAAGCTTTAAATGTAATTTAAGCCTACAAAGTAACGGTTATAGACTTGTGAGAAAGAGCATAATAATCATCTACCGTTATTAGATGCACTCTTAAGTCAACGAGGAGATGGTTCAATAAGACAGTCAGTTAACAGAAAGCCTATATGGACGGGACAATATCTTAAATTTCGCAGTTTTTTTCCGATCCGATACACGCGAGGTCTAGTAAAATGTCTGCTGAATAGGATCTATCGTATCTGTACATCAGATACGATGGATGACGTCGAATTACTGACCAAAACACTTTTGAAAAATGGATATGCATTGAAGTTTATAAACCCTTGAGGAAGTCAGGTAGCGCCAGAGCTAACTCTATACACGGTTCCTAAGAAAAGCATAGGGTAACATTAGGTATTGGAAAAACATATTATGCAGCAAATCTTATCATAGTGGAAAACCGAAAACATATGTGACAAGAAATCATAAACCCATTTCCAAATAAATATAAACACATTTTCGTGAAAGATGATTGTGCATACTTCGGAAACCACAGTAAACAAGAACACGGATGAAAAAGAAATTTTACAAGTGGACAGAAGTAAGATACCCAGTGCTTAAAAGTATTACAGAGAATAAAGCTAACAGTATTGATTCAAATTACCTTGATGATTTTCTAATTAACACTGCAAACGAGCCCACTTGAAAATCAATAGAACAACATTCTTTCTGCAAGTCTAGGGTAAACTGTACATCATTTAGAGTCCAATGTAAAACAGGATGTTCATCAGCTTCCTGAATAAACCGTGTCAGCATTATTTGACCATTAGCGCAGATCAAAGTACATTTGGCCTGTAGTATGATATTGAATTGAATCTCTTGACACTTTAAAGATGATGAATTTGCAATTTCTGAGGTTTTCACTTTAGTTGGATGACCACTAATATTTGAAGGTAAATAAGATGAACTTACTACTGACCGACTGGTTTTTATTTTCCCAGTTGGATTAGAAATTGTTTTGTGACCCATTGTTGATATATCTACACATGACTCGTCAATAATAGAAATGCTATTTAGTGAAGATGTGTTTGCAGGTGAATTAACACAAACAGGTATACACTTGGTATTACAACGATGGTCAGGAGAATCCCTAGTGTAATGTTTTCTTGATAACGGTCTATTGGATGTTTCACAAATTAAAGTTGAAAAATCCAAAAGCTGATAAAGGAAAAGAAAATATAAAAAGAGTTTTTTTCATTATTGCTCAAGTGTAAAAACGGAAAAGACAACTATAAATGGAAAGATGAACCAAACACTTGTTGATGCAGTACAGTTCAGATATGAATTGAAAAGAAGCTTGCAGTTCGGCTTGTGTTGGTATGATTAACAACTAAGCAGTTATCGTATACAATCGCCAAACGAAAGATCCACGTAATAACCTTTGAAAAGGATTTTAATTCGACGCTAAGTGATAAATGAGATCATACTACAGACAGTACCAAACAGTAAAATTATAAATATGTTTGAAGACCAATTCATGAAACATGCGTTTTCCAAGAAAAGCCATAGTGTATCAACTCCAACATATTTCCGTAAAGAATAACAAAACCAACAGAATTCCTTTGCTTAAGATTAGGGATTGTTGTTCAACATCTACGACAAGGAATACATTTCATCGCTTGACTGTGAACTCAATAAGAAAACAGTATTCACACAGTAAACATGTATTTCATTTCTGCTGTGAAACTATGCAAGCAGTGAAACTCAAGTTATGTCAACTGGACTCATCAGCTGGTTGTTCAAGACATTATGTGAGTGTGTTGACTAATCATCCAACAGTTTACATATGATCGTAAGCGTTGAAATTTGCGTAGACGGTTATTAGAAGGATGTTTAATCTGGACACCGAGTGAATGAAATACAATACTCTACAACTCACTGGGCTAACATAGAGAAGACGGCAGTACTGGACTGTAGAGTGTTTACTTCAAACGCAATAGTACTAAACATGGGCACAGCGCATGCGTTTATCTATAATGGAGACACCCTTGAAACAAACATATAAATTAGCATCTTAATAGTGGGAGAACAATCAGTAGGAGAATAGAGTCTTTAAAAGCAGTAAAGGCAAGTGGTCCACGTGAAGCGAGAGAAGGCGTGAAAAAGATACACTGAAATTTCTATAAGGTACTATTTAAAAACTTAAGGCATGCACCATTCACTTTTAAGAATCGAAAAACCCCAACAATAAAGTGTGAATCAGAATACAGTGAAGGAAGCTTTCCACTGAAACTAACTCCAGAAACTAGCTTCTCCGCGAATTTAGTAGCACTACTTTAATAAGCAATTCTAGACTTGATGAGAAAGAGTTTAAAACTTTATCGGTGCATAAACTGAAACGTACGAGGTAGTACAAAGTTCCATAACGTTTTGTTCCTATTTTATTTTTGAAATAAAAACCTAGTGGTTTGCTATAGAATCCTATTCTTAAGCACCCGTTTGTCAAAAGAGAATTCTTGCCAGGTGGCTGTTCATGAGTATAAGATTCATCAGTCATTAACCAGATCTTTAGTGATCATGATAAGTTAATTCGGATGGGTTGCAAGAGGAGCAAAGTCAAAGTATGAAATAGAAAAACATGAGTGGCTACAAAGCACTCATATTGATTTGCAAGATCCCGTGGCATAAATTGAGCGATCTAAGTACCGAGCGACCATTTTACTATCTTGAAGCACACCACTGACTGGATAATACAGACATCAGATGTTCTAAACTATGACTGAAATCACAGAACATCACTGTTCAGCAGTTGAAAAAATAACACTACATCCGATTTAGGGAAAATACGGTTGATTGGATGAAGACAAAAAAAAGGATCTATTAGTCTACTGATAATTACAATACATCAATAAATATGCTTCATCTCATTTATGTTGAAATCAGTGTGAAATAAGCTAACAAGCATTCACATTACCTTGGGAATAACAATACCGAATAATCCATTATAGCAAAATTGGATGGTATTCACCGTTTGACTTAAAACTTTGAAATCTGGTATTTTGTAAGTCTGAGAAGGCAAACAGCTCAGTTCATGATCCAATCTAACATTAATAATTATATTTATAGTCATTAAATTACTACCATCTGTTACTGGATTACGAGAATGAGTTTCATCCAGCGTATTGGAATCAAGTGGTTGATTATGATTGAAATCTAAATTTGCCAACACATGACCAGCAGAAACTAAAGTGTTTTCCATAAGTAAATATATTTGACCAGCAGAAAATGTCCAGTGTATATTCGACGGCAATATATAACTGTTTTCCGATATTGAGACCATTGGTAGCTCAAATACCGCACATGACCATAAACAATTACTGAAAACAATGTCATCAAGTGGTGTCGGTGAAAATCCATCCTTGATAACTTTTTCTGAGCAAGAATAGTTGGAGAAGTATAACTGAGAAATCCCAAACAACAGAAAAGTGTTATCATATTGCGTTAGTAGAGTTTCTAGGTTTTGATGATTCTTACTTTCTACATCAGCAGATAAACTTGACGAACAATGATTGATCGTAGTGAATATTCGTATATGTTTTGAAAGAACCTAAAATATTATTGTAGAAAATGAAATTCATTTCCAGCATAAAAAGTAAACATTTTTTTAAAAACATAAACATTCATTTAACCAAATAACATTTCTAGACTGTAAATTTAAATTAACAAGTCTATAAATTCAGTAAGTTATAATTTATGAGAAGGAATACTTTTCCATGACAATGAAGAGGAGGCTTACTTTGTCGAACTCTAATAATTAATAGCTAATTCACCAATAAGAATAATGATGTGAATTCATTTTAATTTCAGTAAGAAATAATATTCAGTGTTTTCCAGAGTGATGTAAATGTTAAGTCAAAACTAGAATTTAGTTTCGATTAAGTTATAATGAATAGCAAATGATGAAATTAAAAAAGACTTATCTATCTCAATCTTTAAGGAGGAATACTTTAATGGCAATTTCATTATGCTTTTATTATTGTTTCTGTTCTCAGCTAGCTGCACCATTAACTAATGAAATAATTGTCCCTAGCAAACAGATAGAGTATGCATGCCATTGGAGGCACGTGAATTGTTCATACTTCACGAGTATCCCTATAGTAGAGGTTTTTGCACCGTCTTTAAGAGAACGGATTAGTTTTGTGTGAATAAGAATACAGCGCAAGGGACATTTTACATAAGTCAGGTCATAAATAAGCATTTTAAGAAGGTTAGTGTTCTTAGTTACAGAGCCCTATCCCCAGTTAACTGCACGGTTTCAACCTCAGGTCTTTACCATGATGTAGGCTATGCACATCATAGAGGTAGCTGTTTTAAGTTTTATCATTATATAACAAATGTTTCCGGTATGGCAGGAACTTAAGGAACAATTATTTCAATCAGTGTAAATCTTCAGGTCATTCAAGTATGCAAACGCAACCAACACATTAATTTAGCAGCCGTTATTACGATTATAATTCATTGAATTAGTTTACTTGACACATTAGACATCCATACAGCATGATTCACTCAGGACGGAAGGAATCAGGTATACTCAAAAATGTTTAAGGTTTGAGAAAAAAATAGAACTTTATCATAACAGTTGACCATTAACAATGATTTCCATTTTTTGCAAATACTTATCAGCAAACTTATATAACCTCATCCTGCTTGGGTATTATGTCAGTGGCTATCTAGATCGATTTCATGTTTCACAGCCAAGCAGTGTGAACCCATTGATGCATAAATTTGTAGCCTACTGAAATGAAATTACTATGAGTTTTAATAACAGTAATTCTGCGCTTAATATGCTTATTCAAAGCAATATTTTTTCGCACAATTCATGTTACGTTTATTTCACCTATACAATTACAAAAAGTGTAAATTCATCTATGACATAGTAGCAAGATATCTTTTATGGGTTTGTCAGTCCGTAAGGGTTATTACAACAGCTTTTTTTTATTTTTCACTAAAGAATCATTCAGTTAAACTTCGACGACAATAGTCGCAGTAGATGGTTACGTTGATTTATTTAATCTTGAACTTAACTTCATGAAACATCTTGGCCTCTAACATCAACAAGATGACAAATATACGCGGATAAAAATAGCTCTTGATCGATCATAACAGTTCGTTTACTCTTTATTTTCAAATAGATCTTGAACAGTAAACTATTTTATGCTTGGTTCATCTCTCACTATGTTCCCCTTTCTGACCTGTTTTTTTCCTTCTGTGTACTACACTCACACAGATGTATCATTGTGTGAAGTTCCCTGGTAGTCATCCAGTTTTTCGATCTCTGACATAAAGTTGAGAAGTTATGAATACATGCTTAAAGCTTGATGATGGTCGTTTGATGAAGGTAATGTTAATTGCAAAGAAACCGAATTTTAGAACGAAGTCATGTTAGACAAGTAAAGACTGAATATTGGGGAAAATGCGACACCACAAAGCCAGAATTAATCACAACGAAGAAAAGTTAACTCCCTCTTATGTATTCTGATTCAGTTCTTAGGTAGATAGGGTATGATTCTTAAATCAGAGCTAACAAGTGTATATACTCAAAGAGTAAAGATTTGTGTCAATAAGTCTAGAACAATACAGTGCACTACTAGATCAGTCCTGTGGCTCTGGGATTACACACTACTCCCACCCAGTGAGTCACGCGCTCAAATCCCCCTCCACCTACAGAGATTCAGTTGGCTAAACAGTAATATTATGTGTATGAACTACTACTCTGTACATAATCTAAAGCAAGATTGTTGAGTTGTATTCATATCTCTTGATATTATTCTCAACGTCGTAGACAGCTCGACTCCAACTGAGTAATATGAAAATGATTTTTTTTTGAAGTAGGTATCCAGAATTAATGAGGAACAAAAATACCTAATCAAACTTTTGATTTGTTGTACGACTGAGAAAACCTTATACAATCTAACAGTTAGGAAAAATGACTACTATGTAGTCAAATAACTACCGGTTGGTATTGAACTAGGTGAAAAGTTTCACGCAACTAAAAAGTAGGTACTGCTACAACCGTTATCAAGCATTTCATCTTTGATGATTCTTGAGGCTTATCTATATCACAACGCACTGTAAGTTAGGCCGACTATACGTAAGTTTATTTGCTGGCTTGTTAAACACGCTGTATTTCTCAGCTGAACTATCTTCAAATAAGTTTCGTTCCACTGCTTCATGCCTAGAATTATCAATTTGCGTAAACTTTATACACATATACAAACAGTTTCATTACCCTAATGTATGCTGACTGATAAAGTTTTACAGTAAAAAGAATGAAAATATAAATTAATACTATGCAGTCTAACCTGAATTTTAGAGTTCCTGAAAATCTTTTCACAATAAGATAAACGTTTCCAGACTTCTTTCCATTGGGCCATATTCCCAATAGCCAACGAATATGTAGGTGAAATGACAGATGAATAGGTAGAAAATGATGAACCAATAATATTAGCTTTTACCAATTCCTTAGAGCTGATATCAGAGCCACTTTGTGATCCATTGTATAATTGACACTTTCCTAGAGAAAACGGTAGTGTAAAAGGTAAAAGGTTTAATACATAATTCAGTAGTTTGAAGCATATCGACAATCCTTTAAAAATATTCAAAAAGCACTCCACAGAAAAGCGAATTTTTACTGAGCACCCAATGGATTTTAACAGTGTAGGACAAAATGATTTGCCCTGATGTTAACCCCCCTTGAAAACGGCAGTAAACGCAGTCACTAAGCGAAAACTAAATGCAAATTGAAAAAAGACATCGTAATCCCAAAACTCACTGAAGTCCTCCTCATCCTAGTATGGTCTAAGTACAATAAAAGGCGGAAGTATTTAAAAACACAGGTTAACCAAAGGTATTTGTAGTGTTGAATAGCGGACATGAAACGAAAGATGACAGAGCAAAAATTATTGGAAAATGAAATTATCCATGTAGTAAGGCCAATATATCCGCGTGCGGAAACTTTATGCATAGCTAAAACGCCGTATTCAGTCAGCTCCTATGGAGGTGAACAGTATTCCACAGTTAGTTAAGTAACAAGAGTAAGAAAAAACATCTCATATCAAGAGACTGACAGCATACCAGTCCACTCTACATCTTTAAGGTACATCTCTTTTGGGATTCAATCAAGAAGTACAAGATTATCCAGTAGACATGTTGACAGTTGTACCACCAACCCCAGTTTTAGAGCACGACATTTTCAACCTGAAATAAATTATCATATACAACAAGTATACCCATTCTATATGTAAAATATACTTGGCAGAACACTCTGTTACGCCGACAGACTTCGATCTTCCATGAGAACTGCATGGAGATGTGCACTAAAGTTGAATCGTTAGGCAGAGATATGTGATGCGAAACATTTAAACACAATAAATCAGAATACATAAGACGTCATTTATTGCCGATACATCTAAATATTCAAGAGATGTCACTTAGGATATGTGTTAAAAGTTCATCATATTTGCTGCCAGGGTTAAATGGAACTTACTGAAACTTCAAGCGTATGTATTCGAAAATAGAATCCTAGACAAAATCATACGGCATACTGCAAACATGCAATAAAACAAACGATGCACTTTATACAGTAGAATTTAAATTAGGCTATCAAAAATATAGGTGTTTCACAGAAAAAAATGCTTACTTTTCATAAAATCTGGTGTTCTAACTACTGTTGGGCATTCAGCTGTTATATTCGCATTCTCATAAAAGCTTTGGCAAGAGTGTATTTCATGTTTCATATCTGGTAGTCTTAGATAGACAAACCAGTTGAACAGTTCAGGCGTAACTAAGCAGTCAATCTTGTCCAAATATGCATGAAAAATACTAGGTGCTGTAAATCGAAATAGAAACGTTAACAAAAGGTTAGGCGAAAACTTTAAAAAGTTTTAACTTGCTATCTGATAAACATGATTTAATAATAACAGCACATTGAAGATATATGCATAAATCAAGAATGAATTCTTCTTTACCATTGTGATTAATTTTAAGCCTCGTAATCCACAGTATTCGACATAGTGATCTCTTCTATTTGAATGACCACGGCCACCACCACAGTCCTTAACATTACTAACAACAAAACTGAAAGCTTTCTGTGTTAATTCTATACATTGATCTGATCATATAAGTGCGTTTTTCTCTATTTTCGAGCTTGTCCAGAAGACATGAAGTAAATTCAACAAAAGCTACAAACACCTTAGCCAGTAAATAGAACTTTAGCCTTATATTTAGCCTAAGCGTTTATCATTTAAAAGCTGTACCATAGACAAACGCTGCTGAAAAAGCGCCACCAATTAGATAGCTCGATTACGACACAGGTTACCTCAGTAAAAATCGATCTGTTCAACTTTAAAGCGTCAGTTTTCATAGAGGACCATAAAGCACATAAGACACTATCATGAGACCAACCATACTGCATAAATGTGTTTTGAAAAAACTCACTAGCAGGTGAAGCATCCAGTGAATACGGAATTTGAACAGCCAAACAAAACAATGGTTTCGAGGAACCTTTATGATCACTTGATTCATCAAGCATTCTCTCCATAATTGGACAAATTTTCTTTTCATCCAAACAATTCAAGTACATTAGTAAGTTTGTTTCCAAACTGATTTGTAGAACAGAAACTAATTTAGTGAAACAGAGACGAAATTTGGCTGCTCCATGTAGTCTAGTACTCCATATCCAACATTTTGTACCATCTACAGAAAGAAATGGATGCATAGTTCGATTATGTCCTGTTACAAACAGTCAGGAAATAAGTGATGGTATATTTTTAAGAAATACCATAGTAATATTACATAGGGACCGGGAAATTAGTAGGTTCATGAATAGAATCACAGTGACGATCGTCAGGGTCTACAATTGATGCTTTGCAACCTAAGTTAAGAGACCTAGCTTCTGAATATATCTGTTTTTACTTCAATTACAGGGAATGGTGCTTGATTTCCTCTTAACTTCAGTAATGACTTCTGAGTTGTGTTAAAATCTACTAGTACAGGTTACATTGTATGATTTAATTACAAGTTGATCACCTTCTGAAGATATTTTGTCATGACTGAATTGGATCAAAACCAAGAAACTTATCTAAAGAGTCAGTGCACTGTAGAACTAAGACCCATATCCATTGTGTTTGTCAGGTTGGTCAGTTGTTTTGGCTTAAAATCAGACATCAATGATAGTCATGCATCGTAACTTAGCTGCTACAGCCTTCATCTTCGTATAACACTTACACCTGAAAGATGAGAAAAATGATTAGATATATGTGGAAGATATAAAAAGGTACCAAGTGACAGATCTGCAGGGCGACTTTAAAGGTCACCCTAACAATTGCTGTGGTAACCAATTACGATTCTCCACTTTGTGGGAAAAAAAACCTCCTGATTAAAATATGGAAACTTGATTGGCTATTTCAGCAGTTGCTAGGGTGGACTTTAAAGTCACTCAACCTGTACTCGAAGTACCAATTTTCACTAACCTGACTGGAAGTCATTTTGCAGGTGATACTGGTGCACTGGAGGCAAATAAAGATCTTTGCATTGGGAGTTACAATAGGTTTTCAAGTGAAGTAACTGATAGAAGAGATTACTTATAATACACGAAAGATAGCCAACAGTTTGTACAGAAACATTCATTTCCATTGTATCCGCCAACATTAACCGGTACTCGAAATGACTTACAGAAGGTGAATTCCTGTATAGATGAAATTAAAAACACGTAATAAATGAAAGGTTACCGCTCGCTGAAATGTATGTCATATATGGTCATAAGTCCCTTTAGCATAGTGATTTGGTGCAATCGAACAAAACAATATAATAGGATAACATAATAGTGAACTGCTATGAGTTCCTCCACACTGTTTGCTAATCTGAAATGACTGATTAAGTGTGTCAAACCGTCTAGTGTAATTGGGCATATGCGTTCCTTGCACCGATGTCTCAATAATCCCAGCATTTTAGTTAGCATTATTTTCATAATAGACAAGATATTACCAACTAATAAATTATTATTTGTAGAATTCCAGTGAGGTAGAAAAATAGATTTCTAACGTTTCTTGACTTCGGGGATATTGCTTCCTCACAGAATAAAACCTGTTCCTGTACTTGTTACCATTTAATATTTAATCAACCGACACTTTGTACAGGTTTTATTCTCTTAAAAAGCTAAGTTGCAAAATGTCAAACATTTATTTTTCTAACTCATTAGGATTTTAAAAATATATTTCATTTATAATCCACTTACCGAATGCTTAACTTATTCAACTATATCAGGTCAAATTTTGATCCTGAAGTTTATAAAATAAATTAGTGACTATGAAATTATCACATCATGGAAGTAAATATGAATTTGTAATGTTTCTTTTTACTTCAGAGACACACCTAAGCCTTATAAAGTAAAATTCATGTTGGTAAAATTATCCTGAAACTTAGTTGTTTTTAAAATAAACGTGACTAATTATCGTTTGTAAACGCTACCGCGAAGCTGGTCAGTGATAACATAAAACGACGTACCTCGTTTTCAGTAACTTATAACCACATAAAATCAATATAAACTTGTAGATTTGGAATGTATCCCCATCAGAATTCATAAGAAGAGTAAGTCAGTAGCACTGAAGAAACTAGTGTCTCCTCAGACATTTGAAATCATATTACAGGGTTGGTGTAAAGTTATGGAATTCATCCCTTTGATAGCCTTTTCACTGTCATATTTCTTGTTATCTTGACTTATTTTTTTGCCTCTTTATGTTTTACTAGAACTATGATGCGCTGAATTAAACACTCAACTCTTGACAGGTAGCATACAAGTTTGAAACCAGCTCCAACGACAGATATTCGGTTATATCCATGACAGTCATACAATATTTGATTCATTACATGGATATTTAAGTGCCTCACTGTATCATTTACTTACTCCTTTTTCCATCCTTAGATGAGATAATACGATGTGGTGTAGAACTTCAATAGCATCGTAGGCATGAAGTTAAATGCTATTTGAAAGTCCCTGAAAGTTATGCTTTAACATACACCAGCAGGAAAAACACTTCAACCAGGAAATGTAGGTTAACAACTTATGATATAACTCTTGTGTTGGTTGAATTCTTATAGACACATAAAGATTTTGAAGTGAATGCCAAATAAAAATATTGTAATAAAGATGAAGGTGTGTACAACTTACCACAAATGCGGATAACTCAATGTCCACAGCATACATTCAGCATTAACTAATTTGAAAATTGATGACATACTATCATTGGCAGTGAACTGTGTATCTTCTAGACAATGGTGCACTTGGGAATTTGAGATCAAATCAATGCAAATACCAGCGAACTTAATAATCATTCGGTTATAACAGTAAGCTATTAGCTGTTTATTCCACTCTTTACTAGATAAATTCTGTACACCTGAATGTATATCCTGTAACCAATCATCAACAGATTTCATTGGACTACCCAACTCCATTTGGATAAATTCACAGCTACGTTTAAACAAATAAGCTGGAATATTTTGACGAGTCATAATGTGGACAATATCATATGGATAAATAGGTGAACGACAAAACAACGAAATATGATCCAAGCAAACTTTCAAATGGGGAAGTGTATTACTCTAAAAACAGAATAGGAAAAAGCACAAATCATTCAAAAATGATTATGTTGTGAACATTATATTTAGTACATTCAAAAACCACAAACAAGATGATGCATTATGCTATGAACCCCAGCTACCCGAGAAGACCCTTATTTTTTTTAATAAACATCGGTGGATGGAACAGGGTTGAAATCCATGATCCATTAGTTGTAAATGGATTGCCTACGCTAGTGAGTCGCATTTGGACCATGAAATTTACCCCATTGGGATTAATACTAATGATTTGTAAAGCGAACATAACAATACGTTATACTGGTTATTAGCTGCAATTTCAACCTTCGGCTACATACGAAACTCTGCATAATTAACTATTTTGTTCACGGTCAAATGTCAAAAAAACCAAACACAGCTATCTACTTACTTGTTTGCTGAGTATTTTACGAAGGTTTCAGTTAAAAAAAGAAAGGAGGGTTTAAATCTTTCAATAAGTGTATTCAAGAGGATATATCCGTCAGAATCTTAGTAACATAAAAACAACAAATTTTGTAGAATACGGTGAATTCATGATATATCATCCGTTTCCGATAAATCGTGTACAGATAGGCTAAGACAAAATCAGTTTTTAACCTTGTATTCACAAGATTAACCAATCACATACACTTATCCAATCTTTCCTCTTCCATCTTTCAAATGTAGCAGAATGATAATCTGAATCTATAAACACTAAATAACTTTGATTTCAAAGAATTTATTTCATTCGAACTCCCTTAATCTGAAACATTTCTTTCTTTATCTCTCATAAATGAGCTCTCATCTTTTCAGACAATAAGGTTAGTAGATTCCATTTACCTGAATATATCTTATAGTTTTTGTAGCTTGTACACAGTTGGAAAAAAGGTGACGATATACCATAAATCCATTGTGTTCTGTATAACTTGTTGTTGCTGCTTTACTGAAAAATAGAAACTTTACCACATGATCTTAGAACACAGGTATATACTGGTGCCTAACAATAACTGTAACTTTTAATCTGAGAGTAGCATTTGATTTCGTCAATCGACGGATATTATGACAGTGTCTTCAACTGAAATAAGTGCCCTGCAACTGCATCACTCTGTTGAATGTTTTATATTCTAGTACCTGTGGATGTGCTAAAACCCCATGATGAAACACCAAGTGATTTGTCTGCACCGAGTGTTGCCCATTAACCACCTTCACTATCCCTAGTTTTACTTAACTGTCACACACTTGGTAATGAACCAGTTCTTTTCCTCGCCTAACTTCTCTGGAATTGGCTTTGCCACAGAAGACTCCTAAGTAGACCTGGGTCATGAAAACGGCATAATCCTACTACAAGAAGATAATGAACAGATACAACGTCTTCTAGTCTAGTGTATTGTCCAACAGTCTATTGCGTTCTGCTACACAACTGCTAAACATGACCATTAAAGTTAGAGAAAATGAGAAGGCGTCAGATGATTACCGGAAATTTCCATTATGAAAAAGGCTGTTTGCTAAGTGCCAACACATGAGTATGGTAGAAGTTACGCCGACAGTTTTCGGCAGAAGAGGAAAGTCAGCCGGTGTGGTCATGAACATGCATCCACTCAAGTAGCTGCGAAATGTGTTACGAACACCTAGTCATCAACTGCCAAGTCGCAAAATGTTACATGAAGAATGTTCAGGTTGGAAAAAGATCACAGGCGATCAAAAAAAAACTGTAACAATCTATGAAGTCTCTGACTGTTGGTTTGAGCCGTATTGGCGAATGTACACATAGTGGTTGGGGTTTGCATGAAAACAAAAAACGATTGTGGGAGATTCTAGGTGATATTGTTCAAAATCCATTTGAATTGTGCAGATGTATCCACACATTATCTTCATGTTAATCGTCATAATGAACTTCGTTACTGTCTCATTCCCTCCAGTTCCCTTTTTTGGACTTTTTATGACTTATCAGTTTCTCTATTTTTCTATCCTTTATTATTTATGCTTTCTACCTTGATGTGCTAATGTGGGGTATGGCAACTGTGACCCTTACGTACCAAGCATCTCATTGATATGCATATAACCTTGTTATATATGTGTGAGCGGACACTTGAACCCTTAAACCCCATTCTTAATGGTCACTAAGTTCCTCGGAGAATAGAAAAGGCGGTAAGATCACAAAAAGTATACTGCAAAATCAAAATATATACAAAACACAATGGTTTACGCATATTAGAAATGGTCTTGGCTTTTCCAAGCCTTTCGAGAAGGGCGTCTCCTATCGGTTTTGTCTCTCCAACCAATCTGGTATCTAAGACTATGTTCACGTGCCTTTTCTCGAAACCTCGAAGCAAAATGATTGGTTGAGAAAGGCTTCAGGGATTTAGGGCATCTTACCAGGATTCGGGGAAACCATAACAGATACTGAACGGTTGAGTTAGTGACTGGATTTTGCAAATCGGATAATGTTCACTACTGCCTTCTTAATTATATATAGATTTCAGAACTTGTGTTACGAAATGGATATAAGTATGTTCAAAAACAACAGCTCTTTATAAGAAATACATACGGAAACAATATAAGCAAATACATGAAAATCATTCATAACCACCTCACAGAAAAATATTTTTAATCTAACACTTTAATCCCAACTTTATTTCAAAGAGAAAAAAAATACAGAATGCCAAATTTGTGGGATTATAGTCATCCAAACTTACCATATGAAAAACTATGAGAAGCATGTACAAATATTGTCCCAGCATTCACATCCACTCGTGTATTACACGTGGAAATATGTTGAGAGAAACGTGATATAGATAAATCACTCGGTACAAACGCAGAGATACCATCTAACATTGAGGAGAAGTGAGAGCAAAGTAAAGAACTAAATTTAATCAGAAAATCAAGACTTAAAGTTATTTCGACAATGCGTATACTAATTTTGCAATTTCAGGGCATATGGATTTTATTTGATCTTGTTTATTATAAAAATGTCTACAACTAACCCCAAAAGCATTAATCCTTTGGTTTCACTACACATAAGCAATACTAAGAAGAAACTGATGATCATGCGTCGATTTTTAACCGTTATGTACTAAAGGAGCATTAAAAAGCACTAATTATTACTGTACTCTGTTTTCGATAGAAAAAGTACAATTTGCAGTGTGCCCTTTTAATCCTCAGTGTTTATATCAAACTTCCAGCGTTATTTAAATGGTTAACTGTCATCATCACGTTGAAATTGACAATATTGCTGAATTCTCGAGAATGTAAAAGAATCCATACTTATCTTTAAGTATGGTTTTTAAAATATCACTATTTACCAGGCTTGACCCGAAATTGCCAGAAAACTAAGTATAGACACTGTGGTAAAGTATAATTTCCTACTAGATATCGACACGAAATGCACTTAACAACCAGGTGCACACTTGTACAGTAGACAGTGAATAAAATCTATTGTTTGAGGGCTGATTATGCTACCTTGCTGCCTAAAGATGTACAAATGTACATATATTAAATTCATAATAATCGTTTGTCATGTGTTTGTTTTTTACGAGATATAATGATAGTGAGTTATTATTATTTCCTGGTACTTGTAATTCTCTGTTGTTATGCTGAAACGAAGTGACCAACCACTGTTGACATATGGGATCTCAATGTTTATTGTTATAACTGACTTGGTTGTGGCTAGCAGTGGAATCCAGGACAGACATTTCTCCCTATTTGGGACTTGTTACCTGCATGTACATGCAACCCAATGAATGATGTTGTTCCCACTGATATTCGAACTTCATACCAATAGCTCCAAACACCAAAGTGTTATCCATTAGCCCAATGAGGCACAATAGCCACCTCTGCTCACCACAACCAAGTCAATTATAACGATAGTGAGTTGTGTTTTAAAATCCATACACGATTCTGTCAGAAGTGTAAAATTTTGCGAAATATATAAAATAAATAAAAACACATGGAAGCCAGTGTCGTTCATTAATTTAAGGGGAATATGGTAGCAGTAAGCAACAATATTCTAATAAGACTGGTCTAAACTGAGTTAATGTGACATGAGCGATAATCAAGAAATGTAAACAGGACGAAAACGTTAATAATAATAATAATAATAATAATAATAATAACAATAATAATAATAGTAGTGGTGATAATAATAATGTGAAACAGTAAATTTAAAATAAAGTAAAATTAACATTAAAACGGTGACATGTGGGACAGTTTGACATGAGAGTAATCAATGTTCAAGACAATCAGATGCCTTACTAGGACCATGTATGGATGATTTATCCATAGCTACGGCTTCAAATTATGAATTCCAAAGGCTTCTGTAGTACAAAGTAGATGAAGATGTAAGCGTTTAGGAAGGTCTGTTTGGGTTTTGTAAGTAATATCGAATGGGGTATTCAAGGCTGAATGTTCAGTATCGATCAAGTGTTGCAAAATGGATGAACTGATTGATTTTCTTTTCTGTTTACTAAGCCATACTGGGAGATGTCCTCGAATGCTGCGAAAGATAGACCTAGACAAACGACCTACATATCCAGCTTCATAGGATCAGGTAAATTGGTAAACACGAATTAAACTGGTTAATTTTGGTAACTTATCCTTCACTGTGGGGCATATCAGGGGTGACTTCGTTATGTTATTCAGAAGTTGGATGCATCAGACACCTTACGAATCGATCTTTCCAGCCGGTTCTTCAAAATACCGTACAAAAAGTTTACACCTCCCTTTACAATAGATTGTAGAAGTCTAGGCAATCCACAACCAGGGTGGAACAACAATAAACACGTATAATGCATTCCTACTTTGTATTATTTTTGCTTTATTTGGGGATTACATTACAATATTTCGACAATTGGCTTTTCCTTCTGCCTATTTGAATGTTCTGCATCGAATAGTATCGCACCGTAGAATTTGAATCACATCAATCGATACAAAGTGATGGTAGAACACGCATCAAAAGCACACAAGCTATAATATACAAAATACTGATGCTTGGAACATATCAGTAGTTAATAATTCAACAAAGGAAGATAATTCACACGGTGATACATTTCTCAGTTATTTATATGCAACTCGATGATATCTAAGTTACAGTTTTACAAAGTACTGTAACAACACGTTTCGTATTGTATGAAATGAAATGCATCCGTTTCGGTTCAAAATAAATGCTTATAAAGCAAGTATTATGTATAATATTCACTTATTTTTATGAATGGAAAATAATTCCTGATAGTTTATTTTTTTCGCAAACGATTTATTTCTTATCAACTGGATAATAAATTTTCAAATATTAGAAATACTGTCCACTCGACAGAAATCGACTGGTTACCTTCTACTGTAATTGAACACGGAGGATACGGATGAGAATTTCTATAAGCATTTATCAAACCCTCCAGACGGTGAACTAAGTTCGGTGATACTTCAACGGAATACGAACCAATGAGACAGCGATTTTGAATAGACTCTCGCACTCCACTCACTTGGTACTGACGAACAGGTGGAACTGGACAAGTAACAAGATAAAGTTATCTGAGATGCATAATAATGACATAGTTGAATATTCAGCCGAACAGGTACCACATATTGTTGATAGAGTCTTTTCAAGATAAATTGCGCTAATGCAAATTACGAAAATAACGTTTGCAAATGGAAAAAAAGCAACTGTGTTGAGTAGTAATAATCTGTTTAAAATGAACACAATGTGTCGTAGAATATGAATGACAGAGAAGCTGTACACTGTAATGATAAACTTTGTTTCAATAAAGTATCGATCATTAATGGACGACTGTCCAGATATGAAACAGGTGATCCGGCGATGTATAGTTTCTTGAACAAAAACTTGTTGATAAACGAGGAAAATAGGTTTAAAGCAATTCACTACAGTCTAATCATGTTTTATTGGCCTATACCATTATAATTATAATGTTTTTATGATATGTTTAAATGAGTTCATTTCTAGTAAATTACATATCAAGCAGCCTACATTTATTGTTATCAAAGCAATCCAGTTGAAACTAATTAAATATATAGATTTACTGATCTACTTGTAGTTCTTCGTTGTTTTATTGGATCGAATTGTTCGACCTCTATTGGCAATATGGGTTCCTATGCGGATGCCCGGATATTGCCTGAATAGTAATTATAATAATTTGTTCAGTTGTGGCTAGCAGAGGAACCCAGGACGTGCGTTTCGTCCTAGTTGGGACTCGTCAGAAGGCATTTGAAGCGATGGGTAAGAGGTCTGAGTCTCAGTGGGGACAATATCACTCACTGGGGTGCACGTATAACCAGCTGACGAGTCCCAAATAGGACGAAACGCGCGTGCTGGATTCCTCTGCTAGCCACAACCAAACAAATTACCATAAACGTATAATTTTTTGAATTCTAAACTACACTTTTCCTGTATGTCTGCCCCTTACTGGTCACAAGAAACAGAAGGGAATGAAGCTTGTATGAGCTTGGTTAGAAGAAAATAAAGTGTTTAAAGAGGAGTTAGCTAAGCACTTATCTATCTGAACGTGATAGCAATGCTTATCCTGAGGAAACCTGGCGTAATATTAAGTCTGCTGTAGAAAAAGCAACAAAGACAGATGGAAACCCATACCCGAAGGTTAACAAACGTCATTGCATTTCCATAACGTCATCCGAACTGATTGATGCTAGAAGACTCATTCAAGCTGCCTCTGACTACAATGAAGAACGAAAGCGCTTTAGACGAAAATTGACTAAGACTCTTCGCAATGACCATGAGTAGTTCACAGCAGCGAAAGAGACAGAAATAGAGGAATCGATACTAAGCAATACTCGACAACTATTTAGGCTTACTAAGGATACTAGCAAGCAAAAAGTGATGATTATTGAAACCATCAACCTTACAGGACAGACGGCTAGAACGTTGGGCAGAACGCTTTGAAGCCCCCAGTCCAAATGCTCATAGCGACGATTGAGTTTCCTAAAATCCAGCCCGAACCTGAGTGGGACATAAATGTCGACGATCCAAATCCTCTTGAAGTTGAGAAAGCTGTATCGAATCTGAAACGATGCAAAGCAACAAAACCTGACAGTTTGCCACCAATAGTTCTAAAGGATGAAGGTAGGCAATTAATAAGTAAAGTAACGGAGGTAGTGTCATCAGACTAGTCTACTTCTCTGATCATCCCAGTCTATAAAAAGGAAGAGAAGTCTTATTGTGACAACAATAATGGAATCAGTATGACTAACATCGTGTCCAGGATCCTAGGCTTTATAATTATTGGAAGGCTAAACGTGTCTTAAGAACAAAAGAGTTGAGGAAACTGATCAGGTTTAAAAATGAAGGAGTATGTTTCGATGAGGTTTTCATCCTCCAACAGGTTCTGGAACACATGCATACCAACCGGCGGTCGACACCTGCCATACCTATCGATCTTTGAGTGGCATACAACTCTACCAACCGAAAGACGTTGCGGCAGTATTTGATTGTGGAAGGAATACCTGGCGAGTACATAAGCCTAGTCAAAGCTCTTGACTCGAAATCGCACGGTTAGTGGAGAACTGTCATCTGAACTGACAACAACTAGTGGTCTCGTCCGTCAGGAATGCCGGCTGTCAGCATTTCTGTCCTACATCGTTACATATGCATTAATGGACATAACCTTAGGTAACTCTGCCTTCACTGGAATTGATCTACTCCCTGGGTGTCATCTGGTTGACTTAGAGTATGCAGACGATACTGTCCTGCCAGGTGAACACGCTAACAAAATGTAGGGTCGTCTGAATGAAATAAGCAGAAATCTGAGTATATTTGACATGCATTTCATAGCTGTCAAATATGAGATGATGCTCCGGATTGGTCTGCAACCAATCCCAGTTTGATGATAGGGTGTGAAGTGGTGGAATGTGTCGACCACTTCACTTACTTGGGGAGTTGCATTAGCCCAAAAAGGATGATTGCTGACGAAATCTCAGCTTGGATACAGAAGGCCTGTTTGCCATTCATCAACTTGCGTCATTTTTGGTATCAGAGATAAACCTAAATACCTATTAAAGAACGAATACACTGAGCTCCATTTCGTTTTTTCTTTCATGCCGCTGCATTAGGTTGGAAGAGGATTCAGAGTGGCCAGACTAAGACATAACACTAGTCCATAAAGTCCCCGGCTGTTGGTCATTAGTCATGTTAGCAGGTGCAGACTACCTCGCTGGGGTCCCTGAGACCATAAGAAACAATGGTTGAGGACTACCGATGAAATGGCTAAAAATCGGTCACAATGGCGGAGATGTATTCACTCCTTTCCGTCTTCTAAAGCTTGAATATTTTCCTTAATCTTCATCTGAAAATTGTTCCCCTTCCGTACATTATTATTCATTTTGATATTAGTCTTTTTATATTGACTTGTTCTTTGAAGGCTGTCGTGAATTCTGACAAACTTGAAATGATGCAGTTCATTGTGAAATTCTACGGTGATTTTGTCTGTTTTACCATCTGTCTGTCTGTCGGCTTGTCTGTCTGCCAATCCATCTATCTCTGTGTTTGTCCAACCTTTCACGTAACTTCGTTATTTACATCAAGAAAAATAGTCAAAGCAAATTTTCGCCCAAAATCTGCTCATCGTACAACAGTTTTATCTACGAGTAGTCTATATCTGACACTACAGCCTTCTCGCTTATAAAAGGTGCAAGCAACAGCTTTTCGGATATCATTTCTGTAGAATGAGAACTTATGAATATTACTTTTGATGCTCTTGAATACTAACTAAACTAGTAAATACTAACGTAAAAGAATCAGCTGCATAGTCAAACAGAAAAATCATCACAGTAACCTGCATGAAATTGCGATGATTAAGGTTGCCATGCTTTACAGCAAAAAGGGACGAACTTGATCGATAAACAATGAGAGATGAGTGAATAAATACATGAAAGTTAGTAAAACGTTCGAAATTTGAAAGGTGATCAACAGAAAGTATATATCTGCACTACTGTGATTGATCACCTAGGTCATTAAGCGTCTCCAGCCACTGATTTCTAATATCTCGAGGACCCCAGATAAATAATCTACATCTCCCTACATGGCTCAGACCAATAGAATAGGATTTATGGAACGGTGCCACACTATGGTCTATCTACCCTTAGCCATCTCCCAATCCATTACTACTTCAGTTGGCACTGCATGTAGTGGTAGGCGGCGGCTCGCAAGTAGAACACATGCCAGCCACCTGAGTTGGTAAAAGTTCACAACTCTACCGATCAACTTGCCTTTGATGTTTAAAAACATGAAGCGGAACGACCACCATTTGATTCCAGTGAAAAACTTGCATTCACTTCATGCTTTCTAAAAACCTAAACTACATGTTTGCTTTGTTGAATGTATTGTAGCATTCGACCAAGTCCTTTTGTTAAAAAGAACTGAATGTGCAGTAATAAAGCTTAACATTATATACGCAGGTACTCTAAATGTGGTTCAAATTATGCTGCCATTATCTTTACCTTATAACGACAAAGTTAGTGGTTCCATATAATAATAATGATAATAACTATAACAGATAACATAACACAACTCATCAATCTAGTGCACATTTATGCACTCAGCTGCGTTCCACTTAGTGTATGACAGTTTACAAATCCACTCGGTTACCAGAGTCGGTGTAGATAAGGAAATTAGGAGCGGAGAGCCAACAGATGATAGTCAGGGACTTAGATTAACCTGAGAGCCATAGCTTCAGCTCATGGAAAAAGTGTTTCATATTTTGTGCTTGAAATTTTGTTTGCTAGTGGCATAACTATGCTTCTCCGAATTAAAGTTCCGATCATAAATTATAATGTGTTTTCTGGTATTTCATATTGGAACCAAATAGATACAAATAGCATTCTGGATGTAAGCTTTTGGATTAGGTAACCAGACTCACTTATTGTATGCGAGTCTATGACAGTATTCGACTTTTTAAACTCTAGTGTATGTGTCAATAAGTTTGAAAGTGTAACCTATTACCCGAAAACTGAATGCTTGAACTCCTTATTCCCACTTAAACTTCTCAAATATACACAAAGTAGTGCAATAACTTACGATCAGAAGGTGTAACATTGGATTCATTCAAGTTCAGTGAGTAAACGGAATCGAACCAGATTGCTGGATAATGTGCACGAATATCTTTATCTGTTATATATTTGCTATAATCACCTAAGGTCAGTATCGGTGAATAGTAAGATTCCGATGATTTCTGGTTATCTTTTGAACATGTACTAGGTTGATCAGAAGATTGTGGTGACAGAGCGGAGTAAAATATTTCACGCGGATGCGAAAATGATTCCGATATAGATGAATCGGCATCTACCCGACAATATCCAAGTGATATGAAATTTGGTCGATTCTTACTTAACTAGAAAAACCATGAAAAAGATAAGTCAGACAAATATATCTTATGCGAATCTAATCAAGGTTATGGTTTCATACTTTAAACGAATACAGACTAATGATTAAAATGACTTGATAAGAAAGAAATTAGTTCATTATTTCCTAGTGATATGGTAAGGAAGACTTAAGAGAACGAAGGTTTAATAGCCACGTTTCAGCTTTTAATCTGAAAAATATGAAGCGAAAGCTTTCCTGTAAGAAATTTTCATTGCTATACCTATTGACAACCAATTATTCCTGCTTATGCTTCATGTAGGTGGACAACCAAAACGATGCTCAGAATGAAAACAAGATAGGTCATTTTTGCACAAATACTATAAGGTTAGTCATTCTAAAGAATATTTATGCTAAGAACAGAGATGTGCCACGTTGCAATATAAATACAAATTTTTAGATGCTGTTGTTAACGTACACTCAACGGAAACTAAAGAATGTGTGCATCAAAAACATGTTCTATGAAGGAATTTGTCAAGAGGTAATCAAAAAGTCCTAGTGTCAGTTTGAAGAGCACTGAATAACGGTAGAATACTGAACAACTATTTCATCTAACTCGGGAATTCCCCAGAAGTGTACACTGACAGATTTGTAGTGTTTAGATAAGAACCTTCACATCTAAACAACATAATATCATTCAAATGCTAGTCAGGAATCAATATTACTAAAAAAAATTAGTTGTTCGACAAATAAACCTACATTGTCATCGTATACCATACAAGTATTTGATAAAGAACATTTAGAATTTCTGTTGTGCTGGAACTATGTATATCAAATGCAGAAATATGAGCAGGATCATGCTTTGCACATGTTGAATATTCAGGTTGTCCACAGCAACATATACAACCCACAGGATAACATTGAAATCCACGAATTCCAAGCTGAACAAGCCGAAAATATACGTCCCTCAAAGTAGTTTGGAAAGCGATGTCCTGAAAACAATTTGAACAAAAATTAAAAAAACTCAAAAATAAGTATTTATTACGAGCAAACTCATAGTTACTTTGAAAGATAATAATGGTGATTTATTCATTCGAACGGTTTTATAAAATAATGGTTACCATGATGATATCAGAACGATACATGAAAACTATGTTTCCCTTGAGAACAACAATGAAAAGTGAACAATACACATGATAAACGTATAATATTCGAACATCTGTAGTCCGAATTTCGTTATGCAGTGCCGAAAACGATACTTTTTAAGAATAACTGAGGCATTATATATGTATAATTTGCCGCATACTTCTCACCTAAACCTCCTGCAAAAATTATACAGTGGGTGATAACAATCAACCCAGTAATATTACAATATAAAATATACTACGTTACTCGCATGGTGTTCAAATTATATGAGTCAGTTGAGCTTCCAAGTACACAGTTTAGTTTTCATCTTTGTTGTTAGAATTTCCAAAAGCGAACCGAGCTACATAGAGGAATAGTTCAATTACAAAATGTACATATTTGCCACAAACTAAGCAGCATCTTCTGGAAATAATGAACAAACTTCATGATACTTTTTATATATTCCGAGGGGATATAATACGCACGCTTGACTGACAGCTAACTTCGTACGCAAGATCCACCGACTTAAACTCGGACAAAATACCAGAAAAGGCTGAACTGTATGAAGGAATTTATTCCGCCGAGAAGAATAGTCAATCAACCCAAAAGCACATAGTAAAAGTAAGTGATAACCAATCAGTGAATACCTTGAAAATGGGGCCAAAAATGAACTACTGGCCATGTCGTAAAAAGTGGCGTGAAAACGATAATTTGAAAATTTCTGGATTAACCAACAATGTTTTATGCAAATCTGGAGTCTTCCAACAATATTAACTGTAGTCATTCCTCCTATTCCTTATTCCAGCACAGCATGACCACACTTTCACTTGCTAGATAAAACTCTAAAACACTTTCGTCCAGTGAATAAAACTATTTATATGGTTTTAAATTTGACAGCTTTCCGGAAAATGTAGATTTTCCCACAAAGATTCTACACAGAATATTTCTTTGAGAAACATTTACTCTCAGATTGTTCTCATTGTCACTACTGACTGAGAGAATAAATAACGATAGACCATGCATTAGAAGAGTAATTTTCTCAAAATCAGAAAATTAGAGGTAAAATTAGGTGGCAAATTCTTTTCGAACCGATAACCGACTATAGCAGAATTATTTCTCAGTTTGGTTGAAATCCTATTAACTTGTACCGAATTTCTTTGTATTCCGAATGAGGATTACCGCTGTTAAATGTGTGACAGGTAAGTTGGCATTTTTAGATGATGTCTTTGAATGAATTATTCAAACTTCCGTCTTGACAAATTCACCTATGGGAATCTATGGGAATAAAATAACCAACAACCACAAAAAAGGAAGTACAAACTTAGTGCACATTACTTTTAATAATCTCATCATTACTTGAATTGTTTAAAAGACCACAGAGTGAATGCAACCCGTTTTCTCGGCGTAATTACAGTTTATCGCCTAAGATAGTGAAAGTAATAATCATTGATCAATGGCACGGAACTACCTTATTGATGACCTTCGTCCAGGTGTAAGTAATCATTTTTTACACTCTAACACTGAATGACTTCATAGAGAACACTGAGAGAGCCTTTCAAGAATCAAAATTATTCTTGTAATTTAAAAAACTGTTACTGTGGTGAATGCTACTTATAAGAATCTACATCAGTAGTAAACAGGAAAACTCTGGAAAACACAAAAAGTGATTAACGACAGACTGATAAAGATCCAGAAATGAAGAAGACACAATGTCAACTGAGAAACATAGATGACAAGGACACCGTACACTGGGATTTTGAAAAGAAGAATGTTTGCTGCTGCGATTTCATTGTAAGTTTCAATCTTTTCACCATTACCGATAAACCATCTTCGCTGATCCATGAGACTTCATCATGGCCAACAGTGCTGAACTCAAATCTGTCGATTCGTGCTACCAAAACGTTTCATGAAGTGACAAATACGGAATATGAAGAAAAATTGCACTATTTCAGACGGTGATAATTCTCAGTGATGTAAATGTAGCCCAATGGCATAGCAATCGAAATGCAACACTTTAACAGTAAGATAGTAAACAAAGCATGAGAGGAGAATAGGGAGAAATGATAAAAATGATGACAACAATAATGATGAAGCACCAACATAACAAAAGGAAGCAGGCTAAAGCAACCAAAATTAGGATATGGAGTAATAAAATCCCCAACTCAGCAATCCACTTCAGGGATAAATGGTAGGAAAAGTTGGTAAACATTACACCAGATAAGAACAATGGAACACGTGAACCAAGATTAATCTGCGTTCAAGATTTATCCGGAAGTAGTGATCGACTTTACGCCTTACCACTTAACACGTTAAAACATGAACTTCTACTCTACTCTCACTGCAAATATTAAAGTGAATTTAATCAAGTTTAGTAAGTTATTAGTTATATAACCGTAAAAAATCCATTCTGATTATACTATTTTTAGTTCTTTTCTTGTCAAGGAAGGACCAACTGTTGGTTTTGTTGACTGCCTAAACAACCTAAGTAACAGAAACCGCCTAGATTAGTAGATGATTGACCAAGCCTCAATGCGAATACAGAAAGTGAGAATGGCGCGCGTTACATGACATGTAGCACTGGATACACTCTTATCAATGACCATATTTGAGAAAGATGGGGTTGCATTGTATTTTAGATGAATGAAAACTGTAAAAATATGAAGTAATAAATTCCGCGGCGATTTCATTTTAATGTTATCAGTCACAATTTCTGTCTTAATGATATAATTTCAACCTTCATCTACTAATGATAGATTGATTCGTAAAGTTGCAGAAAATGTTGTCGATCCCATGCGCTGGTCTAAATAAGCTGTCATTAATAAAGCTTCCATACGGAATATAAACTGGAAAAGCCAATGATGTGAAAATTTAAGTTAACTAAGAACGATTTAAATATTTTATAAAATAGTTGCAATAGACATAAAACCAACTTCAAAAATTAAACTTAACCATCATTCTTTCAACTTACAGTGAATTCACATTTTATCGCAGGTACGGAATGATGGAAATGGCGTTTGACACGGCGTGATCTGATACCCGAATTTGAAGATGAGCAAGAAAAACCTTCGGGACATGGCAGCTACATGTAACAGAAAAAAAGATCAACGGAAAAATACGATAAGTAAGTATACTTTTCCGTTAGGTAAGTGATTTACCGGTAATAAAAGACGTGACACATGTAGTTAATACACAGCGATTTAACTTTCGCCTACAAAATAATAATGTACACAAAAAAGGAGTTAAACCCTTAAAAACCACAAGTTCGTTACAAAGGGTAACTTAATTTATGATGTGAAAATGCTTATTTTATCTGAAACACTAACTTTGTACAACATAGGCACCCAGAAGTACGACACACAAAATAATATAACACTAAGACAGAAAAGACATAAAGTTAAGGAAAGAAAATGCAACGAAATCACAATTGGAAATGGCTTATTAAACAAGGAATCTCAAGAGTATAACGGAAGCTTGGATCATACTCGGTCTACGACTCGACAACAAAAGGAAAACGAAAGTTGTATCACAATCACCACTAGTTTTGATTTACAGCGACGTCTGACATCGCGTTGTGCGATCTGTCGAAGCCCATTCATGGGATTGTGAAGCACCACGAATCGCCAACCTAACAAAATAACTGTATGATCATTATATCTCATCACGTTGTACAAAGAAATGAAGGATAGATAGCCAGCGATAACAGCTTTGTAAACATTTATTCACAACCATAATAAGTTTCCTCTCGTCTCACGACTGATAGCTACCACCCTGATGTGATGGTCTGGCTTGAATACCGAAATGACCCAACGAAATTCGCTGATGCAATTCTTGTTCCGTCAAGGTCCTACCATACTATAAAAGTCAGCTGAGTAGTGAAAAGACAAAAAGCAGTCACCGTCTTAGCTTAAATTATTACGCTATGACGGGGGTCCGAGAGCATAGTCGTATTAATGGCTGGATGAAGGTGCGACAGCAGCAAAGTGTTCTCCAGCAGTGCCACGTTGATGATACCATCCTTATGAGGAGGAAGAAACAGTCCAAAAATAGCACACCAGCACCCTGTGGCACACCGATGCCAGTAGTATGGCTTGACAGACAAAATCAGAAAAACAAACTATAGTCTCCAATTTCTAAAAAGGTCATATGTGACCAGCCTCCACCGGATGTTTCTTGGATTCTGAAGTCACCCACAGCTATAGCGAACTTCTCTTTTTCCGTTATCTTAAGAGGAACGAGTCTTCTACGATGTCAGCAATCTGGAAGTTTCAACCGCTCTCACAACTGTCAGCACTTACGTTCCCTCAGACCACTATCAACCTTCCACATCTTTATATTCTAACCTTTTCCCACACCTCTCGGTTAGTATGTCTACATCGTCTTTATTTTATTCTAGCTCTTCAGGTCTTGATAACGACTTAATTGCCGAGAGAGCATGAGTAGTCTCGTTAAATCATGCTCCAAATTGTACATTGGAGCTCTCGATATCCACACCTCCTACCAAACCGAAAAACAAGTTTCGCTAGCCAGAACTCTGACATTTTGGGCCATGGATACCAGCTTTATTCGTAAGACATTCATACAGGACATCACCCAGTCAACATAGTGAAGCTGTGAAATCCACTTTGCTGGCCCCTTTAGACTCAGTGACTAGTCCTTGTGATCATACAGGTGTACGCATAGCACTAAGCACCAAGCCAGAAAGAATATTGCTCGACTATATCCAAATTGACAATCACCTGTGCGCTGTTCGACTAAGCAGCACAATGAGAGCTTACAGAATAGTAAAACTCGTCGTTATTTCTTTACAATCTCTGCGTAAAAACCCACTGTTTGAAGATTGACGAGGTGAAGAATGAGTTTGACCGAAAACTGCGTAGCCTCCTACTGAAAGCCAGACGCCAAAATCTGGTTGTAGCAGGTCAAAAAATTCCTTCAGAAATCACATGAACGTTTGTGTAGCAGGAAATGAGTCACATACATTGCGAGAGAAAAGGATACTACGAGGTTGCCCAAACCTTAGTAGGTAAAGCGGTATTCAAACCTGTGACCCATTGGATGAAAGTCAACTCCTTAGATGAACAAGCCACCACTCCATTGTCTTTGCAGGCGATTTCAATGCATAATTGGGTAGGCTAAATAAAACAGGAAAACACTTGGGTAACACTTTCGTAATCCCTGGCAAGCAAACAGATGACAGAGATCGTCTACTACATCTATACTCGGACAACTATCTATCTCTGGCCAGCACAAACCTCAGACAAACAGAGATAAAGTCCACAACATCAACTCAACGGTGGACACTCAGAGACCATACCGCTGTCAGTGATCACCGGAATTGGACCACTGGAAGGCTGACACTCCTTCTGGAACACGCATTTGTACAGTGATCACATTTTGGTTTGAGCAAAAGTATTTCTGAGCCTAAATGGGGGTAGAAGAAGTGCAGCTGCAAGACTGTTCCAAGACCACCGCGACGATGAGAATACCAAGGCTGTTTTCGGTAAGAAAGCAGCTGGACAGTTATCGCAATAGGATAATATCATCCAGTCAGAATAAGCCCGATTTCACATCCAATATGAGCTAAAAGCAGAGCTAAAGACAGTCAATGACATTGGGAAACTTGTTATGAAGATTCCGTGGATCTTAATGCATTGCTGTTGGCTCTGAACACAATAAAAAGTGGGAGCAACTCAAAATGTAAACTGACAAGAATTCTACACATGACCAAAAACAGTGATGCATAGCGAAAAGCTGAGATGGGAAAGGCATCGAAAACAAATAACAGTAAACAGATACTTAGACTTATAGACTGGGGCAAAAAGATTAATGGATAGTGAGACTACAGCAAAGAAGGATAGATGTGCGATTCACTCGCACAAGAGACGACTGGAACGATAAGTGGAAAACTTTAAGGGATGGTTCAACTGAACTCCAGCCACTCTTCCGTTATCCTGTTTGAGCCTGAGTGAAACATTGATACAGGACCTCCAACCCTTGCCAAAGTTGAGGCTGTAAGTAATCTAAGACGGGGAAGAATAACACGGTCAGATGAATTAGTGTCGGAGGTTTTTAAGGACATTGTTCATAGATCATCGGTTGTGACGTGTTAGCTAGCTTATGGGAATCAGATATGATGCCCCTTGACTGGGCCTAATAGATGATTGTCCCAGTCCTCGAGAAAGAGTACAAATTCTCTTAAGGTAACCACAGGGAAATCACTTGAAGATTCTAGGTCCAGTAAATATCACATACTTAAGTGAAGCTCTGGAACAGAAAATTGGAGAACACTAGACACGTTTACTACCTGGTCGTGGATGCATTGACCAGATGCTCACACCCCACCAAGTCCTCGAAAACAGGCACAATTACCAGTGTCTGATATTAGCTGTATTTCTTGACCCGAGGGAGGTATTCCACTCCGTCGATCAATAAGTCACAGGACAATACCGCTTACTGGAAGGAGTGCCAGGTTAATACGTCTTCATGGTTTTGTAGTCACATACCCGTGAGTGTCGGAGAATATGGTGAGTCATCGGGTGATTTGTGTACATCGAGGTGTCTGTTAAGGATGTCCACTCTCTCCATTCTTATTTAAATGCATCATAGACGTACTTATGGAGGTCTCCCTCTCGACTTCTGACTTTGATTGATCTTATCGCAGGAGAATCCTTAGCAGATCTACAGCATACAGAAAACATAAACCTGTCAGGATACAAAGGGAATAGTTGGCTCTAGCCAACTTATGCTATTTTTGGCCCTGCCATGATATCCGACTACCTATTAGGAGTCGAATGTACTGCACTGTAGTTCGCTCTGTTCAGCTGTATGGCTTTGAAACATAGTCACTAAAGGTATAGAACATGAGGTGTCAGATGTTTGCCTGAAGTTACCTCATTAGCACAGGCCATGTGTCAGTTGACAAGGTTGTGAACTTTCATCGACTCAAGTGGCTGCGACATATGTTACATATGCCTGGTTACCACTTTCCCAACCACACAATGTTAGATGAAGTAGGTTCAGATAGGTAAAAAGTTGGACGCGACCAAACTAAGAACATAGTATCAGCCCATGAAATCCTTGACTGTTAGCGTGAGCTGTGTAGATAAATGTAGACATCGTGGTTGGGGTCTGAGTGAAAAAACACCGCTGGTCGGAGACTCTAGGTGATACGACTTAGAATCTATTCGAGTGATCATGATGCATCCACAAATTATCTTGATGTTAATTATTCTCCTTGTCCTTTTTTCACAATTTTCAACCACCTTTGACTGTTTTCTCTCATATTATCTTTCATTTTGGTGCATCCTCGTTTGAGATACTGATTTGAGATGAGGCGATTTGGGCCACTACGCAGTAGTCCCAGGTCCTATACCGATACTAACTTACTGATCGTCACGCATCTAAAATCAACATTTAGCATCTGAAGTCACATATGGAAACGTTCTCTTTTCGGAAGCACAGGATAATCAGATTCATTCCTTACGATAAATTTTAATTCTCAATTTGGGCCTTTGTGGGGATTTACTGATTTCAGGTTGGTATTCATCATACACTGACATTAGTAAGAGGGACATTAGAAACCTGGAAGCACTGGAAACCTTTTTCACCCTAGCATTGGATGCCTCAGCAACGCGCACCCATGGCCCCACCAGGGATCGGACCCAGGACCTTCAGGTTCCGCGGCCACTACGTCACCTACCAATGTCAGTCCTTGGTGCATACCAACCTGAATTTTGAATTTTATTTACTTTGAAATTAGAGAAATTTCGGAAAATTCCGACGATGGTATTGGATAGTAACTGAAAGGGGACGTTAAACGGATATTTTAACAGATCTGTTCCAAAACAGTTACTGCATAATGGCTAAACTTGGAAACCTGGTTTCCATTCTCTAACTATAGTTACATGTTATCGTAATGATGTGACAGTCGTTTGACTTTAAATACATCACTCATTTTCTAGTTTAGCTGATTAGTTGGATATTTGTATCTTGTGTCTCGATATAAGCGCACGGATCATCATATAAAAGGACTAATATTAGTGTTGTCATTATTCACTTGGACTTACTGAGGAAATAGACTACTTGCAAAATGCGTACTTACATCCTGAGATAGTGAAAGGTGTTAGAAATAAGCAGTTGGAGACCCTCGGTAATATGGATCCAAACCAACCACAATAGTTCAGAAATTCAATGACACAATTATTATACTATTTTTTGATGATAACCGACAACAACTATATCGTTTGCGTAGTCTTAATCTAATAAGGAGTCTTCTGGGACGAGATTAATCCATGTAAAGTCTCATAAGCATAAAGAAACCTCTGCAAACCCGTCTACGATAAAGCTATGCTTGAAGGACGCCACTTGACGCAGACAACTCACGTGATACTTGATCATATGCTTAAACCCAATCATTGGTTTTCAAGTACAAAAGCAATATACTTACCGGGTTATCCTTTCAGTGAGAAAGACTGCCATAAAACCTCTTCATTGATGGAATAGAATGCATGATTTAGGTTAGCAAACACAGCTAAAATTAACGACTGTTCAGCGTACTTGTGTTCCAAGATCTAGTTGACACGTTCATAATCAGATTTGAAAGCTGTCTACCTTTATCAAATTTACTGTTCCCCAGCTTAACTTATGCGCCCGATATTTATAAAAACTGGAATTTTAGATACTACGAATAAAATAGGAATTTGGATATCTAGACTACTTTTGAAAAGCACTACTAATTAGCATATTTATTGCTATTGTAAATCTGTTTTGGATCTAACAGAATGGATAACAAAGTAACAATAATGAGAACCAACAAAAGCAACTACGATATGCAATTACACTTTCTATGATACCACGACACATCAAATGACATAGATTGTTATGCAGTTGATTCAATCGCTCCTAAGTGAAAGATAGGAGATATATAACATCAGTGAACTAGATTTTTCTATGAAATATCCGGTTGTTCTTGAAACGTGGATATTGAGACTTTCCGTGTTTGGTGACTACCAATAGGAACGCAGAAATTCGTCCCTTTGATACAAGAGCAAAAGCCCTTTTGTCTCATCTATGAATGATTTCAATTTTTACTTTTACTTTAGATACTTTCAATACATTGTTTACTGCAATAGGTGTGATTACCAATTTTGTCGCAATAGATAAAAACCTGTTCGCTCCTTTCAAAGATGCATCAAATTTACACAAAACATTTTCGACACCCTTTGAAACTTGTTTAATATTTCACTTATCCTAATAACCACTTTCATTTAGGTTACTAGACTAGTGGCCAAATGAGAAAGAAGGGATCTCAAGTTACTTTGTCCGTAATTACAAGGTACTCTCAACAATAAATGACTAAGTTTACTCTAAAATGAGTAGAATATCCTGTATAGGCGAAACAAAAGCGCTTTCAGTCAGTCAAGAAAACAAATAACTTTCATATAATTCATGCATGCTAAATGAATGTCCTAACGATACATGATCGTGCTGATAGTGGGAGACAAAAGTGGAAAAACATTGCAAATGTCGATATGTTATCCTATTAATGACTCAAATTGAGATATAAAACCTAAACTTACTGATATATCTAAATCAAGTTTATCAATGAAAATCCCGATTACGAAAACAGGAGCCAACACAACAGAACGACGTAGGCGGCGAATCTTTCTGCGTCTTAAATATGAATTTTCTTCATTACTTGTCTTACAAATGTTCGACTGGAAAGTGCTGTTTCCAAACTCCTGGAAAGCATATGGATCATATAACTGAGGTGTTTGTTGAATTTCCGCAACAGGATTTACAGTAGTATTCATGTTGCGATCATTAGTTGATAGATCAACAACCACCTCTCGCTCATAGGCATCTTCTAAGATACATTTGATAAGCTCTTTTACAGAATCAGTATCTAACTGCTTCTCTTCTGAGTCACGATCAGTAAATTCATTCTCTGACTCATCCGAGTCTTCTGTAACTGTGAGAATACTGGGCACAAAGGACCACACCCAAGAAGCCCAAGACTGCTTTTCATAATCTACTCCGTCAGATTCGTAATTTAAATTACTGTTCTTAATGTTAATATCTTCTACACCACCTGTTTCACTTTTGGCACAGTTATCGGAACAAAGCTCTAAAATAGACCAATCAAATGTTTCTGTAGTGATATTCAGAAGAACTTGAACAAGTCGACATAACAAAGGTATCTGAGCTGGACTTATATGCGCAATAAAATTTTGACAGTGTATTTTCAAGTTAGTGAGTAGTGCTTGGTTTATCAAGGATGAATTAGTGTTAGGTGCACAAACTATCTGAACGAAACAAGACATGCTAAATCGATAGGAGATAGGATCTTCGTAAACTTCGACGTAACCGTTAGGTCCCGCACGATCGAGACACACAGTAAGGTCGAAAAACTGTATCAGGCGATGGATTACATAGGTAGAAAGGGGATTAATGTCAGCAAAAAAAGGATTTCCTTTGGAATCAGTTACCAAACAGTCAGCTTTGTTTACACTAACAGATAATACTATATCTTCTTCGATGAATTTTAAATTTAAGTTGTGAACAACAAAGTGAATATTGGAAAGTAGACGATGAATATAAACTTCCAAATAACCAGGAGGAACATTTGTGGGCATAGAGTGATTTTTGTACGAGTATAGATCTGCGAAATCCGCCGGATATTGTTTATTTTGATCTCTTTCTTTAACATTGGGTTTCTTTAAACCAAAAATACATTCAACAGTGTGCAATGAAATAACAATACATTCGGAATTTAATTTAGTCCATGGTACATGGATTCTTAATTCATGTACATGACCAGATCGGAAATTTACTGGGAATGGAATAATATCCTCTAGAAAATCCAATCGTAAGTCTAGTTGCGTTAGTGTCAGATCACCATCCCAAATGGACATTGCAAATTGGTCATCTCTCAGTTTAACATATTTATTAAGGTAACTCATCAACAGTTTTCCGACGTAAGTCTCCAATTTGAAATAACGTTGCATTTTGAAGTGATTTCTCTAATTCCCAAACGAATAAATCAATAGGAACCCAATAATGTTTGATCTAGAAAAAACATAATACATGAAATTATTAAATAAGGAAGTATCAACATGTAAATGAATCAGCAGGAAAGTGTGACAACACATCATTTCAGACAATCAGCATATTTAATAATGGCTGGTTAGTATAAACCAATAGAGTACGCCGAGTACAGAAAGTTCATTTACACTCCAAGCATTTCATTATTTCACACCAAACTAAAAGCTAATATGGATTTCCCTCAGATGCCCAACATAATCGTAATTCTCACTTTTCTCATTTATATTAACAAATGCACCACGTACATATAATACACAGAAAAAAAATCAGTTTTATATATTATAGTCATCTGCGGTTTTCTGAGCTAGGTGATGAACTTTCAGACATGCGAAGCCCACCCTAGACAATTAAGTGTGGAAAATATTGTGATTTCAATGGTCGTCTTTCAAATATTGAACCTAAAGAACCAATTCATAAAGCTAGACACCAACTACATCAACATGTATGCACCACTAACCAGATTACCGTGATCTAAACATTAGCGTAGTAGGGAAAATGTATCTTGGATAACTGGTATATCCAACACTGAATTTTAATTATATTCCTAGATTATGCAACCAACCTTACACCTTTGAGACTTGGAACAACTAGATGATAAAGTTACCTACAATACACTATACATATTCTGCTGCTTTAAAATGAGATCCCTAGATTAGTACATGAGGATTTTCTTTGAATGTTCAAATTATACACACGCAGTCAGAAATACTACTTTTCTTCTTGAATGCGAACCGCAGTCGGGCAGATGATACTCTTCGCTAGTATTGAAAAAATAGTTTCATTCATGCTGTATGTGCTTTCAAACATTTGGTTTATGTTAGGAACATAAAACAACGTTGACCATTGCATAAAATACAAGCTCCAACTTCATAGTTATTGTAAAACGGATGCTACGTGATTACGGATATTCAATCAACTAAAAATGGATGAACATGTCACTCCAAGACATTTCTAGAAGTCACTGCCTGGAAGGCGTAGAAAAATAGATTCTTTTACTTCATAAGTTTGATATTTAGCGTTTCTACGGCTTCATGATCAGATAAAAAATATTAGTTTTCAGGACTAGGTAAGAAGGAAAGTTCATAGCACAAGGTTGCCACAAGAAAAATGCTGAGTCCATGAGTGGAAAAAGTGGAAACTGAGGGTGAAAAAAATTGCATTCGTAGATTTGTACGCTATAAGCATGGAATTCAAAACATAGAAAGGTCTTCAACAAAGCAAAGAATGTTGAGTAATTAGTGCTCGGTAAAAATAAGCCATTTTAAAATACAGAAAATGAACTAGGAACTAATTGCGCAGCTGCCTGTGTTTAATCTACCGTACACAAAATCTACGGCTAGAATTTGCTCGCTAAGCTTAAGGAACCAAAATAACCTACATGCAAAATACCCATACAGAGGATAAAAATGTTAGGTGATGATCCTTACCTGTTGCCTACTACAACGCCAGCCCAAAAATGGCCTGCCGAGTACTTAGATTTCGTTTTCACTATCCAGATTTTAAAAATGCTCTGTTACAACTTTGGTTTTCATTGTTTAAACCTGAACACTAAAGCCATTCAGTTTTCAGTCATAAGGATAGTAAGCCTGTTGGTCTGTACTAAGCCCTACAGAAAATGTCTCTGTAAAGATGTAGTTTCTCCTTGAACGCGTTGACAGAAGGTGTTGGTACTACTTGCTGAGGTAAGGAGTTCCAGAAGCTGACAACACGAAGGGAGAAACGCAGATTCACGCCAAGTTGATTCGACCGCGGCTTTTGAATTTTCTAGTGATGCCCTCGGAGACAATCAGTCTTAACAGGGATGAAAAGATAGGACACATCAGCACCGAAGTCATTATTAGGAATACGAAGTGCCAGTATGAGATTGCCCCGTTTCCTACGGTAAGACAGTGGATGTACTGTGGAAGGTACAAAGTGTTCCGGATATAAACCGGCGTGAAGACCACGATCTGCACTGCCATAAAACAATCCGGGCAACTAACTGCTTCACAGTTTCAGTTATGATTTACTACTGCGTATTTCACCTACCATTCAACTCATGACCTTGAGGTTGGCAAAAAAGCAACGTAGCGACATCCTTGATTTAAGTGGTGTCAGTCTGAAGGTAATCCCAATATCCAATATTTTTCTAACTACCCAGTGTAATCCAGTTGATTTCTTCGCACCTGCTTCTATTTTTTGAATAATGATTTCAAGTATCTGATGAATTCTGATGCTCTAAGTCCATCCACTTGCATGATGTAGCTCTGGTTAGCCCGTAGTGTTGATTGAATTTGTAGAGATTGTATGATTTTTCCAAGAACTGACAAACAAATAGATTCCACAAGCCAGATTTCACCAGGAAGATATTCAGACCGGCCGTAAAATGACATAGGAAGGATGTCCAGCCAATTCAAAGGAGGGAAAGTGACAAGAAAAAAAGGTGTAAGGAAGTGGAACACCGTCAACATAAAGTTAAACTGGGGGGCTGAGATGTTGTTATCATTACTAGATTATAAACATCTGGGCCATGGTTGTTAAGAACGCTCCAAAAGAAGTTGAGCGCCGAGTCAGGTTGATTCACTGCGTGGTTAAGTTCGAACATAATTCTAGCGTGTTTAAAAAATTTGAAAACAACATTTTTCTGAGCGTGTCACCATGTATACCACAGCTTTTTCAGGACTATGGTCTGAATTTCGATAAGCTGATTATTCCCCTAATTTGCTGATGGGTGTAGCGTCATACACTTCCCCAAAATCAATAGCCTAGGGTTTGACGACTTCGACATTGATGCTGACCTTGATAGTTTAACTGGACTCGCTAAGCTGAAGGCACCCGGTCAAGCATCCTCGCCATTTGGCACGCTGTCGTGTTACGTTGCATTGCTCGTATTCGACTCTCTAGCCAGTTAGTTGGAACGCATCGGTATTTTGGCATAACCATCCAAATATACTATTCCATCCGACTACGCTATCGTGTTCTTCCTTGGTCTCGTATTCGTGGGTATATAACAAGTTCGAATAATTAGTGATTGGTCTTTGCGTCTGTCAAGTTCGCACCAGGACAAATCCTAAATTGGTGAGCCCGACGTGATCACATATCCCGACCAATAACAAGTATTGAATTGGTGAGCCTGTTCCATTTTATATTTGTTTATTGTTTTCATTTCGATAACATTTATATATCCATTTACTACACTTTCTCATGTCCGACCACACTCCCAAGCTTATTCGTATTAAGCCGACCTCGAACACGATCCAACTCGTGCCATATTGGCCAGACAATGCAGAAACATGGTTTCTGTATGCCGAGGCCGATTTTCGAGAACAGGGTGTCTCAGATCCTCAATCTCGATTTCTTGCTGTCATACGTTCACTACCGCGAGAATTAAACAGGTATGTTACAGCAAACATGTTTAATCCTGAAGTAAGTGACCCTTATGCACTTCTAAAGGCCGCACTCTTGAAGAAAAGCGATCTCACAGATCGCCAACGTCTAGACGAATTGCTTCGTAACATCGAGCTAGGCAGCCACTCAGCTACTGAAGTCCTCGCACGCATGCGAGAAGTAATCGGTGCACGAACATTTGACGATGGTTTCTTCCGAGAACTATTTCTCTCGAAACTACCACAACCGGTGCAAACCGTGTTGGTGACACTCCAGTCAGTCCCACTCGACGACCTGGCAGCCTCAGCAGATAAAATACTGGAGATATCCAGCAGACCCGTCTCCAACGTATATTCTATCTGCGACAAAACAGAGCGCCAGGATTCGGAGGTGACCAAGTTGTGCAACTCTGTGAAACGGTTGCTACGATCTCGAAGTCCTAGATCACGTAGCACTTCACAGAAACGCACCTTGGCGCATCGCAGCAAGTCGCGTGGTAGCCCTAAAACGAAACCCAACAGGGTGGAAAACCCTGAATGGTGCTGGTTTCATAACACTTACGGGGATGAAGCCAGAAAATGTCGTAAACCATGCCGTTTTAAGAAGGACCCGAACTCGGGAAACGGTCACGCCGGCACGTGCTCACGGCAACCGTAGCCGGCGGAAAAAGCCGTTTGCTCTACGTCACCGACATTAAAACGAAAGTCCGCTACCTCGTCGACACCGGCGCAGAAGTTAGCGTTCTTCCAGCAACGACAAAGGAGCGTCATCTCGACCCATCCTTCAATCTTCAAGCAGCCAACGGCAAGGCAATCGCGACATTCGGGAGACGGTATGCCTACCTCAACTTAGGTTTACGCAAACCTATTCACTGGATTTTCCTCCTGGCAGACGTCTCTATGCCCATCATTGGCATAGATTTGCTGAACCATTACGATCTACTCGTAGATGCTCGCCGTCGACGACTGATAGATAACAACACAAAGTTATCTATTGGCGGCACCACCTATGTAGGTCCGAGTTTAGCCATCGTTAGGACTAAACAATCAGGCGACGCGTCCTACCAGGCAGTTCTGGAGAAATATCCAGAGTTACAACAACCGAAACACACTCTTCCGTGCATAACCAGCAATGTTATGCATCACGTCACAACCACAGGTCCACCTGTGGCATCCAAAGCTCGCCGTTTAGCCCCCGAACGGCGAAAAATGAATTCGACCATATGCTGGAACTGGGCATTATCAGACCGTCAAACAGTCCTTGGGCATCGCCATTGCACATGGTGCCCAAAAAGGATAGCAACGACTGGCGTCCGACCGGTGATTACCGAAGGCTTAACGCCAAAACAACTCCGGACTGCTACCCTATACCCCACGTTTACGACTTGACCGCAACCTTATGCGGCATGAACATTTTCTCGAAAATCGACTTAGTCAAAGCGTACAACCAGATACCTATGGCAGCAGAAGATATCGCGAAAACAGCCATTATTACTCCTTTTGGCCTGTTTGAATTCCTGCGCATGCCTTTTGGTCTT